AGAGTGCAAAACCGACCATTTCGATATATGAGCCGTTATTTTTGAATAAACTATAATTAAAAATATTTTTTTTATTATTATTATTACTAAAGCAATATATCATCTGACATAGATATCAAGCTTTATGAATGTGGCAAAAAGAAAAACATATAACTAAGAAGAGACTAGAACCCTTAATGAACAATAATTATTTATAGCACTTGCAAACATTGATTTATTGATTATTAAAATCGGTTTGGTAAGTCAGTCTTCGACGATGATCTGCAGTATTTATCAGCTCCGTAGCCAGTTGATTTGGGTAATTCTCTAGCTAACTGATGTTAGTTTACTTTTGGATTTCATCGTTTGTGAAGAACCTTGGAGCATTGGTAATTTTTCTCAGCGTTTTGGACTGGAATCTCTGTATTATATCAATACTGGTATTACAGGCAGGTCCATATCGGTTTTAGAACGGCTTTATACAGGAGCACTTTGTTTTCTGTTGATATGCAACAGTGTCTTCCTATTAGCCAGTTCATCTTATTGATAAACGTTAAGCAAATCGTGTGATATTTTTTACACTATAAAATTATTAATTTTTTTATAGAATATTTATAAATTTGGACTTATACCATTTATTATAATAACATATGAGCCGTTTTATTTTTTTATGCGGTTTAAGTCCAATTTTTGTACATTAGGTACCAAAAAAGTATCTTTTCACACATTTTCCTACGAATGTTCTATGGACAAAGGGATTTTTGGACATAAGTTTATTAAATAATTTCAACGAATCTTAAATACCTTCGAAGGATAATATTTTTATGATAATTTACATGTAAATTTACAGAGTACGTAGTTATATTAGAGCAATAAAAATGTTGGAAATTCGGAACTTCTAAATTGACCGTTTTTAATTACCCTAATAAAATTATTTGAAAAAATTATGGAACGGGTACCAAAGAGTATGATTCCACAAGGTATATAATAGATATGAAACAAATTTTCAGTCAGTATTCGAAAATCAGTTTAACTAGTACTTTAACACATCGACCAGAATAAAAATGCCAGCAATCAACAGGAATAGCAGATCGGGAGTACCAAACACTAAGAACAAACAAGCTGCTCCTAAATGGAAACTTTGTTGTGAAGGAAAGACGGTGTTGTGTAAACTGCCATGCAGACGAGAGAGAATAAAAATAATTAAGATTGGCTTGAAGAAAATAAAGAACACTGCAGATATGAGAAATAAATTGCTGATACGCAATAATATAAAATTTCTCAAAAAACAGGTGAAGATGGATAAAATGAATGATCAGAAAACTTGCAGGACGATGCAGGATGACACTCATATAGAGACTGAGGAGGAAACTCGTAACATTCCCAAAAATAATTAGTTTAGGGGCCCCAACAAACCCTTAATCCGCCACTGGATATACACTATATATATATATTTTTGTAAACATATTCCATTTTGTACTTTTTTGTTGCTTTTAATAATAAAATAAATAAATTTAAAATAAACATATATTCTTTGCTATCAAATTACCATGACTATTTTTGTACCACATTTTATATGTAACAATTGACGATAAGTTTTCTTTGATTTTTACAATCGTCCAAAATACTCCTTTGTAGATCTTAATTAAACTTAATTAATGAAATTACTAAATTTTATATATTTTTATTTCTAAACTGTTAATTGTTTATAATATAAAGTTACAAAAAAATCAAGAATACTGAACATTTAATTTTGCACATAATTAAGTAATAAAATCAACAAAATAGTGTCGTTCATAATTAAACACATAAATATGAAGGAATCTTTTTTAGTAGAATTTTTCGGGAAAACGAGAAACACAAATCTTAAAATTTGCAGCCATTATTATAAAATAAATAAAATTATGTAATGGGCCGTCCATACTTCGTATTTCTGCATTCAAGTGGTATCTACCCCTAATTAATTTTGAAAATAGTTTAAAATACGCGCGGAATGCGAAGTATAATATCTGGGGTGAAGCATCACCAAGAGAGCAGAAAAGCGGACAGGTCGCAGGGGTTGCAACTCCCGGATTTAATGTTTTAAAGACTTTAAAATTGGGTATGGGGGATTTAAATTTTCCACCGCAGCATCGTCTCGATATTTAAATTTGTAACCCGGAAACCAGGAACCGGAAGAGCGCTCGCCGACACCCTGGGAAAATTTCCGGGTCGAACGTCACGACGTCCCGAATTTAGTGACTAGGAAATGATGAATACACCGCAGGTAGGGGAAGCACCCTTAACTACTTTATATTTACAGCAAGTAAAACAAAATGTTGGAATATATAAGCAATACGCTTATTAATTGTTTATTAATGACAGCTATAATATTCTATTAAATCATGATAAAACAGCATATTTGATTTATATTTTTTATTTCAGTGTTATTACATAAATGCTTAAAAGCATGAACGCGTTTCGCCTGCTTGCAAGGATTTCAGGAAAGAGAACCCTTTGGCCCACGGTTTCAGGGCGTGTCTGAAAATCGTATCAGGATTATATAAGATACGTGGATGTGAGAGGTGTTCGTGCGAAGGGTTGAATTTGAAAATGGTGGCAACGGGTGGAGTCGCAAAATTGCGGCGCATTTGGTCAAAACTACCAGGATTTTATGAAGGGTTAGAGCTGCGTTGGGGTTGCAACGACGCCGACCAACGCTGACCCTGACCTTTTGGGGCGAAGCGTCGCGGCGCCATGGAAAAATCGCATCAGGACGATAGGAAACGCAGGAGGCTTAATCCACCCCTCGCCCCATTTATAAAAGGCAGCTGCTACACATTGTCCTCCGATATAACAGCGATGTCGATGTGCAACTTGTTGCTTCCCAGCCACGTCACCTTTTTATTTCTACCCGGTATAAATAAGCATAAAAACGTGCCTAAAAGCAATGCCCCGGACACAAGAAATATCGGCAGCTCACATCTTGTATCCATGAACAATCCAAATATCAAATTGCTAACCATAGCACCAATTCTTCCGAATAAGATAACAAAGCACAGCCCTACAGCGGCTACACTGCTTGGAATCAATTCAACAGCGACACTACCTATAGCCACGTTTCCTGTGGCCATAGCCCCTTGGAATAGACATGCTACCAGCAAATTTTCCCAAGAAGATCTTAAAAAGTAGATGCTACCAGAAGCTATTGCTCCCAAAGCCATCGTCAGCACAGGCACCAACCTCTGAGAAACTTTCCCATTCATATAACCAGACATCAAGTTACCCATCACGCAACAAGTACCGATCATCAATGTGCTTTCGAACAGCTTAAAATCAAACACCTTATCTTCATCAATTACCATCGAAGCCAAATCCTTCACCGTAAAAGTATCATTCGGAAAATTCGCTTCAAAATATTGAAAACGCAGAAACAATTCAGGAAGCCACAATCCCAAACCAATGTAACTGCAAATAAATCAATTAATTTCTATTTAATTAACATTAAGCCTAATTACCTAAACATATTGCAAAACATTATGCAACTTATCAAAACGGTCAAGCTGGCGGTCTGCGATCGAAAAAGTCTTCTCATCTGCTTCAACATATTCTTAAATATGACCGAAAGTTTACCGCAAGCATTCACTTCGCTCTCGCTCCTCAAACAGTTGATAGCAAAGTCAGATCTGCGGTTGTCCCAATGCATTGCTTTCAAAACAATCAGAGCTTCTTCCGTTTGACCCGTGTTCACCAAATACCTTGGAGTTTCCGGCATTCGAATCAACCATAAACCGGTTAACAACTCTGGTATTGCTAGCAGGAAAACAAATACACGCCACGACTCGAATTGAAGATCTAATGGCAGAATGAAGTATGCTATTGTAGGAAGCAAAGGCCAGGACAAGGTGAAAGCCGCTCCCAAATAGCAAACACTCTTAGAACGAATTTTTGCCGCGTGGAATTCAGCTAAGTAGTTAAAAACTATAGTTCCTGGAGCTCCGATTAAGAAACCGTTGCTGAATCTGCAAAAGATCAGCACGCGATAATCGGAGATGCAGGACCATATTGTTGTTACAAGAAAATCGCTGATTAATGTTATAATAAGGATTTTTCTGCGACCATAGGAATCGGCCAAAGATCCCCAAAGGAAAGCACTGGAAATACCGCCAAGTTGAAAGGCTACGTTCAAGAAGCCAATTTGCACAGAAGTTATTTTCAAGGATTTTTCGGCCGATGGAAACACGTACGATGGAAGACCGTTTTGGAATCCGTTCGTTAACAAGCAGATTGCACTAATCGCAATTATTTTATAATGGAACTTTCCATATCCTAAAAGATTTTTTTAAAGACTATATATTTAACTATTAGTTTAATTACCTGCTAACTCTAATGCAGTATCTAAATCTACGCTCTTAAAGTCGTTGCCCTTTTCTATGAAGCTTTTCGGCAGATACACGTTTTTTAGACTCATATTTGAATCAATTATTAATGTATATTATCTTATTTTTATCACTAATTATGAATCGTTAATTTAGAAAGCAATAATAAGTTGTCAAAGGGCTAGGTGTGAAATGAGTGGGAAAAACTGCAACGACTCATTTATATAGGAATCGGTCGAACAGGTGGGAAAGGTAATTGATTTCCTATCCAGATAAATCATCTCTAACGACTACAAAATCAAGGTTATTGGCACGGAACGTAAACAGCAATTATTTGTCGAATTGATGATGTCGGGGGAGGTAAGGAAACAACGGGAGCGCACAGAAATCAATAAGAATTATTCAAGGGAAAATATGCGTCGGTAGAAAAAGATAGATAGGGTTTGATGTGTTTCGGTGGAAGGAAATGGTCGAACGCTTTCCTTTTCCAACTTGAGAAAAGGGTCGCTGTTAGGTATCTTCTAGGGAAATTCGGGTAGCAGGATAGCAGGACCCAGTAGGATGTGCTTGCAGGGTGAAAGCTTTCCACCAGCGGTAGATCAATAAGTACAAGCACAAGGGTGCGTTTTAAACGGTTCGGCCTCAATTAAGTTTTGCTCAGAATTGATACTGCGTCTATTGCATTAACTAGACTATTATCTTTAATAGCTCTCCAACCTTTTATAGGAAATAAATTGCCCACAGATAGAGCGTCAATAGCCTGCATAGCAGGGCAGCAGAATATGAAAGAGGGGCTTTTGAGAGTTTCACTCGTTATCACTTACGTAATTATGAAAACGAGCTTTCCACATTTAAATTATTTCATCTTGATACACTTTTAATTTTACTAATAAGACAATACTTCTAAATTAAAAAAAAAGTATAAATTAACGTAAATAAATAAATAAAAATAAATAAAATAAATTTAAAAATAGATAGAATAGCGGAAAATTTAAAATAACATATAACAATTTTCCATGTTTTTGTTTAACTACCTGCATTAAACACATAATATATACTGTGTTTGCAGTTGCAAGCACGTAAATTGCTTAGGATTTAGTTCAAAATTGCATAGTAACGCAACGAGAAAATTTAACTTTAAATGTAGTAGACGGCATAAGAATGATGTAATAATTTTTGACGTAAATTGCAGTTGAGTATAAAGGTGGACACATTCCCATGTAACAACAGATTGCAATCAGACTTCACCGCAACAAAATCTGAATATTGTATTTTGTTACATTTTATGCTAATCTTAGTTGAATCAAATAACAGAATGCAAAAAAATAATTTCACAATGTCTACACATATTCTTTAGACATTATTTGTTTTATGTTGGATTTAGATGTATAAATATTTGCCAAGAATTTACGCTATTTTTAAAAACTTTTTATATTACAATTGTACGATACAGTTTTCGCCTACATTCTTACAAAGATAGCGTCCAAAGCTTCTACACGCCACGGTAATTGTTAATCTTTAATGCGCCCACCTAATACTCTCGGATTTGTGACGAGCAAATAGTCTAAATACGTCACCGCATCGTCGCAATTATCTTAAATAGTCCAGAAAGCCGGGTCCGGTTTCTAGCATTCGTCACATAGTCACCTAGCAAAATGGGCCAAAGTAAGTCTATTTCACAATATATCGTAAACTATTAATTAACTGTAATGTATACTTTCAGGTGCGGAAGATGACGGAGGTCAAGAGGATGGTCTCAGCATCGAATGTCAAATGGATAGTAAATCTGAGATATCTACTATTCAATTAAGCGTAGTCAATAATAATAAACCCAAAAGCGATGATTCCAAATTTGACTTTACATCAACCGACATCGAAGATGCTCTTGAAGAAACTGGTAAGATTAATTTGAAGATTTTAAGTCAAATAATTTTACTATTCTTTTAAAGGTTTCGGTAAATTCCATTTGTTCCTCATCCTCACATGCGGATTAATTCTGTATGCCGTCACCAGCGAGTGTTACTCCATAGGTTACATCCTTCCAGCAGCCCAATGCGATTTAAATTTATCCGTCGATGACAAATCCTTATTAACGTCCATTGGTTTCATCGGCGTGATGACCACGCAATTCATCTGGGGTTTCGTCTCCGACACGAAAGGACGCAAGAACTGCCTCATCTACACGCTCTTCCTCACTGTACTCTTCAGCTTAGGCTCTTGCCTATCCCCATATTTATGGTTATTCTTAATCTTCAGATTCCTGAACGGAGTAACGTAAGTTGTTTCAATGATTTTATTTAAATTATTTAAATGTTATAACCTGCAGAATTTCTTGCGCTTCTGGTACGGTATTCGCGTACATGGGAGAATTCCTGGCAATGAAACATCGACAAACAAGTATAATGATATCCTGCATCTTCATCGGACTATCAATTTTCCTGCTACCTTGCATGGCTTGGGCTGTGCTTCCTCTTAAATTCTCCTGGAATATCTTCGGCTTCGAGTTTCTACCTTGGAGATTATTCATATTGATCAGCTCCGCGCCTACTCTCTCAGCATGCGTAGCTCTATTCTTCCTACCGGAAAGTCCTAAATACCTTCTACAAGTCGGAAGAGATAAAGAAGCTCTCAAAGTGCTCAGAACTATACATAGTTGGAATTTTAAAAATGAAAAATTCAAGGTTAAAAAGTTGAACAAGCCTGAATCCGTCGAGCGAAAGGATAATGTTATAGTCGGTTTCCTAAAACAGATCTATGCTCTGTTCACGTTGAAATACTTGAAGAGCAGCTTAGTAACTTGCAGCTTACAGTTTGGAACTTTGGTGGCTTCAAGTGGTCTTCTGCTTTGGTATCCTGATATTCTTCTGCAGGTGTCTAAAAGCACGGAAGAGGCGACTGTGTGTCAAGCTATCAGTTCGGGTAACCAATTTCTGGATTCGGGTGATGATCTGATTGAATGCAGCAACGAAATCGGAACTTCAATATTTACTCAAAACATTTACATTGGTGTAGCCTACTTGATTGGATTCGTCATCAATTGTCTTGGCGTGAAGAGGCTCGGCATTCGGATGCTCTTAATACTCTACTTGATTTCATCTGCTTTGGCCACTGCTTTATTGTACTGGGTTACGGATAAGTTGGCCATAGATATTCTGTATATAATTGTATTAGCTGGAAGTGGTCTTTGCGTTGGTTTAGTGAACACCGCTGTAATTGACTTGTTCCCAACGCATTTGAGGGCTATGGCTGGATGCGTTACCATATTTTGTGGTCGTCTTGGAAGCGTCATATCCAGCTCCATCTTTGGACACTTGCTGCAATGGAACTGCGACATCACATATTTCCTTTATGCATTTAATTTGTTAGGTGAGTTCTAATTGTTCATTATCCTTAAGTTTCTACAAATAATCATAAGATCAGTACTTAATATAACTCAAGATTCTATTTTATAAATTAATTTATATTTTTTTTACTTTGACCCATTTTTAATATTTTCGATTAATCTTATGTGAGTGATTTAATCTAAAACTATGGATTGTAGCTTAAAAATTAGCCTTGATATGTCGATATCTCGGCTAAAATCACATAATCAAAGTACTGAATGGGTTAATTCTTTAAAATAACAAATGTCTAGATTCACATAGTAGCCGTTTTTACGTAGTATAAAAATGGATAAGATAAAACTGATATTGCAAAACCGTGAACTTGAAGTCGCGTAATCTATAAAACAAAAACTATTTATATTTTTTCTTTCTGTTACAGGATGTGCCATACTCTCCATCTTTATATACAAAAGAACTGCAGCTCAATGATCGATTTTACTTCATCTGCAGCTCAATAGATACGCCTAATTAGTTCCAAACATGTGATATTATTTTTTAAACGGTTTTGTACAAACAATAAACAGAGCGAGAGAAAAACTCAGCCGTATACAAAAAGGGAAACAACATTGTCTTACAATTTAGGTGCATAGGCACGTGTCATTACTAACAAATGATAAACTTGATTATTAAAAAAGCCTGCCGTTCGATGTACTAATTCAGTCGATGCTTGCGAACTTACGCCGCACTTGATAATGTGATTATAATTACACTACTTGCCATTTATTTCTGTAAGTGATTCTGATATACTTTGAGTAAATTTATAAAATTTATATGGATTAAGTAACTTGTTTATGAACTTTTTTATATAATCAATGCGACCTCATGCTGATTATAGCGGAACACAATAGCAATTGTCTGATGGAAGTGGGAGAAAAGCAATTGAATAAATATATTTATCCGTTGCAAATATTGAACATTAGTATTTGAGAACGCTGCTGTGCAAATGTTAGTTAAAAAATTAAAGATAAAAGTTCGGTGTTGATTCAATTTAATTTGATGAAAATGTGCAAATAGACATGGCAAGTCACGGTCCTTATTATTCGAAAATGAGCTGCCTAATTTAATGCTGCCGTAAATCTCAGCATTTGCATATTTAAATCCAAACGCAAACTTTGAACAGATAACAAAATTTGTAACGTAAATTTCAGTATTTCATTGCGTTTTAAGTAATGAGTGAGTGAAAGTTGTAAATGAAAAAATGGGTTTTCAAAACTATAATTCTTGCGATAGGAAGCATAAATTCGAGGAAGCAGTCGCATTAACAGGTTATTATTCATAATGTATAGTGGCAAGTAAATACATTGATTAAATTCATTTAGGATATGGAAAATTCAACCTGAAAATACTTCTGGCTTCGGGAGGATGTTTGATGGTTGTGATCATAGAAACTATGGCGATGATGTTCGTAGTTCCGGCATCGCAATGCGATCTAGACTTGAGCCTTTCAACGAAAGGTTTATTATCGGCCATCAGTTTCTTAGGAGTTGTCTCGAGTTCTCATATGTGGGGCTTCATAGCCGATACCAGAGGTAGAAGAAACGTTCTCATAGTCAGCATGATCATGAGCTTCATCACTAGTCTAATATCAAGCATAATCCCATACGATTGGCTCTTTATTTTCATTAGATTTATAAATGGATTTTTGTAAGTAATTACATTACCAAAATGTATAAAATTATTAATTTTATGATATATTAGCGTTGGCGGGGCGTCTGCTGTAGTCTACGCTTATGCAGGTGAATTCCACGATAGGATTTACAGACCAAAAGTGGTTTCGTGGATAGCAACTTTTGTAGCTTTTGGGAATATGCTGATACCAGGATTAGCGTGGTTGATCCTTCCTTTAGACTTCAATTTTCCCATATCGTTTTTAGAAAACGGTTTCCGTCCATGGCGTTTATTGGTGATATGTTACGGTCTTCCCAGTCTATTATTCGCTTTCTTCTTATCGCACTTACCAGAAAGCCCGAAGTACTTGGTAGCTCAAGGAAGATGCGAAGAGGCTCTAAATATACTTAAACACATGTACTCTAAAAATTACAATAGAAATCCAGACGAATTTCCTGTATTTGAAATTGAATCTGAAGAGGACTTAAGTCTCAAGAACGGTGGTGTATTGAAGACCATGTGGTTCCAAACAGCGCCTCTTTTCAAAAAACCCTACTTACTAAAAACTTTAATGGTTTCCTTTCTACAATTCGGAGCTTTCTTCTCGTAAGATCATGAAGAACAAACTAAATAAATATAATCAATTGATCCAACAGTTCTTCAGGTTTGATCATGTGGTACCCAGAGGTTCTTAACAGAATGGCGAGCTTTAGCGTCGCGAATCCCGACGAATCCGTGGAAATGTGCAAATCCATAGAGTATTACAACGAAATTACTGCTAATTCAACTGTGATTATGCAAAATATATTGAAAATAAATCAATGCATTCATTTATATAATTTTAGATTACTAGTGATATTTGCATGGATACAGTTGATGTGAATGCGTTTTTAACATCTTTGCTTATCGGAGTCGTTTTTGCATTTATGTACATCTTCATTGGTGCTGTTATCAACATCGTCGGAGCCAAGAAACTTCTTATTTCATTATTGATAATAACCACAAGCTGTGGTATTGCTGCGCAAAATGTTAAGGAACAACTTTCCACTCAAATATTGATGGGTATTTTCTTGACGGAAGCTACATGTGTTGGCATTATAAATGCCATAGTTGTGGAACTGTTTCCAACTCAACTAAGAGCCATGGCTTTAGCTATTTCTTTGATGGCCGGAAGGTTTGGAGCCGTGGCTGGTTCCAATGCTACAGGACCGATTATTTACTCGATATGCAATTATATGTACTACATATTTGCAGTGGATCATTTATGTAAGTTGCAAAAAAATAAATAATGGAACAGATGTTAATTAATTTATTTTATAGTGTTAATAATAACAGTCTTGCTGCTACCATCTCCACCGAGCATCAAGAAGATGATACAACCTAATGTTTAGAACAGAAATAAAAATATTTATTGAATAATTTAAAGTTTATTTTATGTTTTCATAAATGTCATCAAACAAATTCCTGATTATATTATTGCAGTTAACGTAATAAAAATGAAATACGTCAACTTTCTGTAATTTATACTGTAGTTTAATTAACTTTTGTTATTTGTTTTTTACCTTATTCATTATCTTATTACCTTATTCATTATCTCGAATAATCTATGTTGAGATCACAAGTGCACATAAAATTTAAAGTAACTTAAGAAATACATACTTTATTTAATACGTACTGTTTTATGTATATTTTTTATATGCAAATATTTATCTGATAGTGTTTTTAAAAAAATTGTCAATTCTGTGCCTGATATATCCATTCATTTTGTAGAATGGATTGTACACTATAAAATAAATTATAATTTATAGAAAATTAATAAAAACATCTTAGTTATGATTACAATATATATTTTTTAATTAAGAAAATTAATGTTATGTGCATGAGTATTTTTTAACTGAATCACCGAATACTATGCTAGTCACGTTTTCGTCATTGAGCTTTGCAATGCTAAACCTTGTGTACATAGTGATAGGGCATTGAAGATAGAAAGTGAATATTCCACAATGAATAGTAGATTTTAAGGAGTCCAACAAGAAAGATGGGTTTCGACGTAATACCGCTTACAAAGCACACCTTCGAAGATGCCGTGTCGCTCACTGGTTTGTACCAAATAATTAATAACTTATTTGAAATTCATTCAATTGATAATCTTCTAGGATATGGAAAGTTCAACCTGCAGATTCTTTTTGCATCCGGAGGATGTCTTATGATGGTAATAATAGAAACAATGTCGATGATGTTCATAATACCAAGCGCTCACTGCGACCTCAATTTAAACTTAACTACGAAAGGACTTCTATCAGCTATCAGCTTTCTTGGTTCCGTCTCAAGTTCGCATATGTGGGGCTTCATCGCCGACACCAAAGGCAGAAGAAACGTGCTCATCATCAGCATGGTGATGAGCTGCGTAACTAGTATAATATCGAGCATAACCCCATACGACTGGATGTTCATCCTGATCAGATTCATAAACGGATTCTTGTAATTTGGTGTACCCTTCAAAACGCTTTCGCTTATTAAGTAACTGCTTTCAGTGTGGGTGGAAGCTCGGCTGTGGTTTACGCTTACGTTGGAGAATTCCACGATAAAACGCACAGACCCAAGGTGGTTTCTTGGATAACAACATTCGTTGCTTTTGGAAACATGGTAATCCCAGGTCTGGCTTGGCTGATCCTTCCACTAGACTTCCACTTCAATCTCTTCATCTTAGAGCACGGCTTTCGGCCTTGGAGGTTATTGGTCATTTGCAATAGTCTACCAAGTCTGTTCTTCGCTTTCTGGTTGTTGCGTTTACCGGAAAGCCCGAAATACTTAATAGCTAGAGGAAAGTGCCAGGAAGCTCTGGAAATCTTAAAAACGATGTACGCTGTGAATACGGGAAACCCGCGGGATGAGTTTCCAGTGACAGAGATCAAATCCGAGGAAGACTTGGAGAGCAATCTGAAGATAGATGGAGTTCTGACCACAATGTGGAAACAAACAGCACCACTATTTCAAACACCATATCTACTAAAAACACTAATGGTCTGCTTCTTACAATTCGGAACTTTCTTTTCGTAAGAAAATTAACAAATGTTTGATAACATTCAATAAAACTACATATACATTACAGGTCATCAGGTCTAATAATGTGGTTTCCAGAATTATTAAATCAGATGACTATTTTCGCATCGAACAATCCTGGTAGACCAATTCAGTTATGCACATCAGTAGCTTACTCCAACTACATTACAAACGCCACCGTACGCAAATTTGGATTTGAAATATGGGTTTCCAAGAGTAATATTAAAATTATTTTATTTTAGGCATTGGCAGACATTTGCATTGATTCTGTGGATACAACAACTTTCGTAACAACTTTAATCGTCGCAGTGCTTTTTGCTGTAATGTACATCGTCATTGGAATCATAATAAACATAATTGGTGGCAAGAAACTCTTGATAACTCTAATCACCATAGCCACGGCTTGTGGTCTCGCTGCCCCATACATTGAAGGAGAAATTCCTTCCATAGCTTTAATAGGAATCTTCTTAACAGTAGCTACATGCGTTGGTATCATAAACGCAATTGTCGTAGAACTGTATCCCACTCAGCTAAGAGCCATGGCTTTATCAATCTCGTTGATGTCTGGACGTATTGGGGCTGTGGTTGGATCAAACGCCGTCGGACCTCTGATCTACAACCTATGCGAATACATGTTTTACATATTCACCGTTGATCATTTGCGTAAGTATTAAACAAAGCTACATTCTAGTAATATCTCTAAATTATCAATTAATTACAGTGTTGATACTAATAGTTGTGTTGTTACCATCGCCATCCAAACAAAAGATGATACAACCGAAAGTCTAAATATAATATACATAATAATTTATTGCGAAATAAGTCTACGCCTTGAACAATTTAAATTTCTTAAAATATTTTTGGATCTCCTCTTTGGGATACGGCTTGGCCGCAATGCAAGTTGGAATATTCTCGGGCTGCTCGAACCACAGTTTGTGCTTCACATCCGCCTCCTCCAGCTTAGATTTAAGACCCATCAAAGAGCTCTCGTCGCTCGCTTCAAGAACTACAGTGTGCATGTTATCCAGATCTTTTAGATATGTTGCCATGTGATCATCTTCATAGTATAAATGGGTCACAGCTGTGGCGGCATGGCAAGCTTGTGCTATCAGAGCTCCAACTGGCCACTTCAACTCCTTCAGAAGATCACCCCTAACAACCACATATTGTATTATTGCTGAAGACATCTCAGGTCCTGAAAAAAATCAAACTTATTTTACTTATAGTCTTTTAATTTTATTATTGTTAACGTATATTAATGTATTTATTTAAATAATTAGTGTAAAATAGATATAATGAATTCATATGAAGTTGAACAAATAATTTTACAAGGAGCAGTCATAATGTCGTGTAAACAAAATACGGTAGCAACGTTTTCCTATTTGAAAAGAGCTTAAGTCAATATAATCTGTCTTTATGATTAGCAAGCAATTATGCAACATTTCAAATTTAATTATGAAAAATCTATACTTTCAAAAGCCTTTTCTCGTTCCACTTAATTCCTTGCATTGTCCACAAACCTAGTATACCTTTGATATTAAATAATAATATCAAAATATAATAATTTATAAAGGAAAAGATTTTAAAATCCATCACTCATTCCAACCAAGTATACTTGCATGTAAGATAAATTGCATAAATTACCAAAATAGTTGAACTGTTCTAAGATTAATATATTAATGACAATATTAAATGTTAATAATAATAGATAACTAATTATATAGTTTGCAAAATTAATTTGACCGTCGACTAATAATATTGCAATTAGTATTCAATATAGAAGAATATAAAAAACTAGATGTGATTATTGATGAAAATTACATGTTTATATGCAATAAAAGATAATAAATAATATTATAATATTATAAATCCTTCATTTTGTAAATCCTTCATTCAAAGCTGACTTCATTTTAATTCTGATAGGAATCCTGCCCCTATTATATTACAAAGTGCAAGGAAAACTTCACAATAATCTTGTGATTAGAGTAGATAAAGTAAGAGAAAACATTTCGACTTATAACTACTGAAGTGTGCATTTAATAAAAGTTAGTGTGTATTCACCTATTCTTCAAACAGCTGCAGTTCGTATCAGACGCCGCCTCCTACTACTCAAAATAACGTGATTTGTGTGATAAATTTGAAGTAACCTAAAAAAATCTTCTAAAATGCCAGAACTAATCAATGATGCTAAAACTTTCCGCGAGAAAATTAAGTAAGTTTTATTGATTGCTTTAATATTTTTATCTTAATTCTATGTGTGTTTTCAGGAGTGCTAATCTCACTGTGATTCACTTCTCTGCTGATTTTGCAGAGCAGTGCAAAGACATTGATAATTTGCTTGATACCATTGCCAAAGACAAAACAAAATATGGTTCTGTGCAATTTTGCAAGTGCATTGCTGAAGAGCTGTCCGACATTTCTTTAGAGAATAAAATTGATTCTGTGCCTACACTGCTTTTCTACAAGTTCCATGAAGTTGTAGGTAGGGTTGATGGAGCCAATCCGGCTGAAATCACAAAGAAGTTGGCAGAGTTAGCCAATGCTCCAGACACTTTACAAGACAGATTAAAGCAGTTGATCAATTTAAGCAAAGTCATGTTATTCATGAAGGGAGATAGAGTACAACCCAAATGTGGTTTTAGCAGACAAATCATTCAAATTTTAGATGATCTCAAGTAAGTTTATTTGAATATTGTACATTAATAATTTATTAATATATTCTTTTGCTTATAGAATTGAATACAAGACCTTTGACATTCTAACAAATGAAGCTGTTCGCCAAGGATTAAAGGAGTACTCAGATTGGCCAACTTATCCACAACTCTACTGCAATGGAAATTTAGTTGGAGGGTTGGATGTTGTAAAGGAATTGAGAGAATCTGATGAGTTGATTGGAGTTTTGAATGAATGAAGAAGATAAACACAATAACTTTGCTGGAAATATTTAATAAAAAGTAAATAAATAATTTTGACAACTTGCAATTAAATTAAACAAAACTACTTATGTCACCTCTTGTCCCAATTCCTAAAACATCTTTAGATGAAAACTCTAGTGAACAGTGAATTTTATTAAAGCAATTTGTAGAAGAGGGATTGTTCAAAGGGTTCCAACAAGTGAGTAAAAAGCAATCTAAGTAGTATTAAGTGATTAGTGTTTTTATTTTATTTCTTGCTTTATATTTTATAAGTGATTTTAAAAAATGAGATGAGTTTCAAATGCGAACGAAAAAAATTATCATAAAGACGCTTCAGCAGTGTCCTCTGTCTTCTACACGCCTTCTGGGTGCGGCCTTAATAATGTTATCCACGCGAAGAATCATCTCGGCGGCTTCTGAAGCTGACAGCAAGACCTGTCTTTTAACTACGAAGGATTCGGTGATACCTAACGTCTTCATGTCACCAACTTCTCCCTTGTCCATGTTCAAACCTTTGGTGCTCTTGGAGTCGTTGGCGTGTGCAGCCCTCAACTCGCTGACTAATTCCGCTGAATCGTATCCGGCATTATCGGCGATGATAGTTGGCAGCTGTTGCAAAGCTCTTGCGAACGCTTCCATTGCTACGGCTTCTTTGCCCGGTGTCTTGGCGGCAGCTTCTTGAACAGCGACGGCCATCAGCATCTCGCTGCATCCACCTCCGTAGACGATGCGAGATTCTTTGACTGTAGCGGCTAAAACGCACAAGGCATCATGCAACGACCTATCAGCTTCATCGATAATTTGTTGAGTAGCACCGCGAATCACGATGGTGCAGGCTTCACCAAGGGCGACGCCGGAGAATCTCAGCAAGAGATCTTCACCAATCATGATTTCTTCGATAACATCGCAGGTTCCCAATTTGACCAATTCTGGATTATCAAAAGTGGAAACGATTTCACCTCCAGTTACCAAAGCCAATCTTTCGATTCCATCGAAATCGGCATGTTCAATGGCCGCAACTCCAGCATCAGCAAACAATTGTTCGGGGTAATTGTAGATCAATTGACGGTTAATAAAGACGTTGCAGTTATGCTTCAAGATTTTGCCAACCTTGTCCTTCATCTTTTCCTTTTCTGCTGATTCCAGTTCAGCAATCTTCGCCATTGAATCAACCTTAATGTGACTTCCAAAAACTTTAATCTTATCAGTGTCCATAGGGGTGTTTGCAATCAAAATCTTTGCATTTTCAATTCTCTTTGGTTGATGCACACCAACTTTCTTGTCCAACAAGAAACCTTCATCCAAAAAGGATTCTTCTAAGGTGCCACCCTTCTTCTTGATAATTTGAATGGCTGAGAGCTCTCCTGATCCCTTCAACCTCAAAATGGCATCTACAGCCAGTTTGGAGAAATATTCTTTGTGTTGTGAAAGAATTTTCGAGCTCAAAGTAGTTCTGGCAATGTTCATCAAATCTTCCCTGAACCTTTCAGAATCAGCACTGTTGTCCATTGAAAAATCCCTCAGAGCTTTCCTGGCTACATCAACAGCCTTCCTCCATCCAGCAATAATGACCTGAGGATGAATCTTTTGTTCCACCAATTTTTCAGCTTCTTTCAGCAACTCAGATGCCAGTACTGTAACAGATGTGGTTCCATCACCAACTTCATCATCTTGAACTTTCGACATGTCCACCAAGATTTTAGCAGCAGGGTTGTCAACACCCACAGACTTTAAGATGGTGGCTCCATCATTGGTCACTTCAACCTGTCCATAACTGCGGCCAGATGAGATCAGAATTTTATCCATTCCTTTTGGTCCTAGGGTACTCTTGACCAATTCTCCAATGGCAATTGCACCAATGAAACTGGACATACGAGCCAATTCGGCCTTGTCTTCCTCAGCCTCATTTTTCAATATCCTAACTGGATTCAAGGAAACCTATAACAAGATATTCATTAGATTTAATAAAGAGAAAAGCACGTGGGTTGTTTTTAACGCCGGCCTCAATCCCAACCTCCCATGACACACCTGCTTTTTTAATTCGCTCAAACTCTTACAAATCGTAAAGATTTCGTTCAAACGACTATCAATTGATTATAGCAATGTGAAAATTATTAAAGGGAGAAGTATAATTACCATTTTCACGCTTTTTAACGATTCACACCAAGAAAGGAAAATTAATCACAAGTTCACCACACCGCTCGTACTAATGTCAAAATGGATTCTCTTTTGACAAAGATCTGATGTTGGTAGACTTGTAAAACGATTTCATGATTTATTTATTAGTAATATTTATAATAATTAATTAACAATATTAAATTAATATAGTAACTTGTATTTTTATTATAAAATAATGCAATTTTTAATTCCCATAAGTAGATCATCTCTTTTGTATTTTTTTTTAACTGTATGCAACCAAATCCACATTATTTAAATAAATTTGCTGCTGTACTTATTACAATTATTATTTATTAATTAATATATTCAGTATTTAGTTACCATTACCATTGCTATTATTTTATCATAAAATATTACATTTATTGATTGATAACATAAAGATAATTAATCCCAAATACCTTCTTATTGTTCATTATAAAATTACATTTATTTAAAAATATTTTGAATATTTAATTATTTTTTTAGCTTTGAATATAGACCGTATACAGACTATAATACGATAATCTATTTTTATCCTGAATTGATTCGCTCTCTCCTCGAAGTTTATTTATTTTGGGCATAGTTCCTTTCAGCCTGTAATTATCCGATGGGCAATAAATTGTACTTCTTGTTTATGCATTTCCTAACTGACAGCCCAAGTAGTTATTTTTTGAAGCATCAGACATTGCGTGTTAATTGTTTCGTCATCGTTCAAACATAATGTTTGCTTTCTGAAAGTTTCAAGGAAATGTATCTCAGTTTGTAACAAATCATGCTTTAGATGTGTTTGTTCTACTCGACAGTATGATCTTCAATGCGAGATTGTTCTATTTCTGTTTGATCTATGAAAGATCGTTTGTCCTCCGATTAATGTTTCTTTGAAGGTTTTTTTTTTAAAGGATAGAAGAAATAAAACTAAGTTGTTATTACATTTTAAATATTATTACTGTGAAAGTATATGAATATTATAAGAAAATTGACGTTATCTAATACGAATTATTTAAACCTAAAATGACGATTTAAGTGCCTAACAAATGTTGTTTATTTAGATGTCTATAAGAACAAAGATTTTAACAATTGTTTTAAGAAGGCCAAGAAATGTTCAAAAAGAGGACATATAAAAATAGGAATACATTTCTTTTGAAGTTCATGTGTAAATTTAGTAACTTCTTTCATGCATTCCTTTATACTTTCAATCAACATAATTAGTTTAGTTATCAATATTATTAAAATTTTAGTCTTATATTTAGAAATAGAACATTTATATTATACAGAATATATTTGAAAAATAATATTTTCAATAAATTATATAAATAAAAATTTCAAATTTAATTTCTCATTAATTTTCACGTTTGTTTCTTTTAATTGGTTACTATTTGTAACGATTTTTTTTGTTAGGCTTAACGAGTTTAATCCGTTCCAAAATTTCCGGATTTGTACTCGTATATTCAAACATATTCAAAAATACACATAATATGTGTATACAAGTTTTAAAAATGATGTAGCAGGCGCGCAATCCATGACTTCTCTTCTGCGAACAGTAACAACAGTAATAAATGAAAGAGCAGGAAGCCCTTTGTATCAGTTGACTTTTTGTACGACTGATGCAATAAACATTATTATTTATGAAATAAAATAATATTTATAATAATTATCATTAATTTAATTATTGACTGCAGAATGATAAAAAGATAAATTATCAAATTAGTCAATTTAATTTATGGTTTTTGAATGATGAAGACAAAAGGGTATAGGAAGGTTAAATTGATTTTTTGTACTAAAACTATTCTGGTTAAATCTGTTTTTATATTGAAATTCCTTTGCTCGAAGGCGCAGTGGAGATTAAGTGAAAATAGGTGACAAAACAATATAAATAGAAAAAAAAATAACAAAAATGAATAGAAATAGACACGTATTTAATCCTTACAGATGATTACTAACTGTACAAAGCAGTGAACAATATTTATAATAATTTGTATAAGTGGTTCAAAGTAGATTCGTTCTTTTATTTGCATTTATAGAAATGCACATTTATCACTGATTGAATAACTAAAGTATTATTGTTAAATATAAGATTAAAATTAATTAATGAATAATCTAATAAATACGATAAGATAATCAATGTGAATATTACGAATATTGAATTTTCTCTCAGTGTTATTAAGAACAAGTGTAAGTATTCTCGTAGAAGGAAGATCGGAACTGTTTACTTTTTAAAGGTATGAAATTTCATTTTTGGTATTGAATGGAATTCGTCGAAAGGTAATTCAGAATAGCGTTCATTATTGTATCGAGGAACGGGCGTGGATTTGGGGCAAAATCGCGAATGAAAAATTCATCCTCGCTAGTGGGGGGCCACGTGACCGCGTGCCTGCGGCCGGCCAAATCTAATTTCGGCGCTTGTTATGTGTACTCGGGAGCGTCGCGACGCCTTCGCCCCGGAGCGCGAGACGCTGAACGTGTGTGTTTTTGAGTGCGTGTAAATACCAGGACCTGCAGAATTTCGCGCTTTTCCGATCACATATTTCCGTGGACCACAATCCGCATATCCGGCTTAAGTGCAGAACACTTCCGGACTTCCGGTTCCAGTGAACCACCAACGCCACCACCGAATTGCATGCCACATCCACAGGTTTCTTTTCCCCTTAAAAAAATATGAAATAAATAGTTTGCTTCCCGTTCTTGTTTTTCCGCCGGATCGGACAGAAATACGCGAGCTATTTTATTACATATAGCTGTTTTTTTTGTGTGCTTTTCAAATTTTATTTTTATTTTTCTTTTATTCTTTTCCCGGCCCCCTGGTATCTAGTTTGGATGGATTGGAGCGCTCCTCAAGGGCAATAACACTTTATTATTACATCGGGGCTATTTTCGAAATGGATTTAGAATAAAGCTGATTCGCTTGCAGCAAATTAATCCGATCCCCCCATTGTTTGTTTCAATTTGTAAATTTCTGTTTGTTTTCTTCTCATTCTCCAGATTCTGCAATGATACGCGTCGATGAGAGTGACCCGATCGGGGGTAAGCATATGGAACACCTACAATTAATCCAACTAATTAACCTTGGCAATAGACTAAATAAAAAGAATACCGTGTTTACTTTGGCACCGACCGTTCCTGTTGTTGTGTAAGTCCGAGTTGATGGGTTGTTTTCATTGTTATTTTTTGTCCGTGCGGCGCGGCAAAGTTACACCCAAAAATGCGCAGGCAAGGTTCCAATTTGGCCAATTGCCCCGACATATTACTTCATATTTTTTTCATTCACTAATCGAGCCTATTGTTGGGGTTTTCAGAGGTGCAGCTCAGTTTTCCTTACAGGGATGTTCAAATACGCAAAGGCATCGATCCCAAGGAATTGTATGATCTTGAGACTGAAATTGGAAGAGGTAAATTTGGGACTGTATATAAATGCAAGGAGAAGACCAGCGGCCTTCAATTGGCGGCGAAGTTCGTCAGCATCCCGAAGAAGGAGGATCGCAGGAATGTCGAACGCGAGGTCGAGATTATGCGCGAGCTACAGCATCCCAGGCTCATCCAGCTCTACGATGCCTTCGAAAACGGCAAAATGATGTACGTCATCCTAGAACTGTAAGTATCTGCATCACCAACAAAAATAAATAGAGCTCAGAATGTATGAAACAAACATGCATTTTTTTGTTCTTCAACTTAGCATCGAAGGAGGAGAACTGTTCGAACGGGTAATCGACGATGACTTCATACTGACTGAAAAGAGTTGCACGGTGTTCATGCGGCAAATTTGCGAAGGCATCGGTTTCATCCATCAACAGAAGATCCTCCATCTGGACATGAAGGTTTGATGGATTGAATTGTTGAAATTCGGTTAATTGAAATGACACGTTTCAGCCGGAGAACATTCTGTGCCTGACGAAAACCGGAAATCGCATCAAGATCATCGATTTCGGATTGGCCAGGCGCTTTGATCCCGATAAGAAGCTGCAAGTGCTTTTCGGGACGCCCGAGTTCGTGGCACCGGAAGTCGTAAATTTCGATCAGATTGGCTATGGAACGGACATGTGGTCCGTAGGAGTTATATGCTATGTCTTGTAAGTTTTGAATTATTGTGTTTCATATATCTTTTTAAAAAGGTGTAACCCAATGATCTTATAGAACTACAGATTTTAGTAAATTCTAAACAATATTACCATATATTTCAGACAAATACTCATGATTTTTTTATAAAATTATCTTAAAAATTATAATCCATACTAGTTTAATTAACAAAATTAAGTTAAGTTTAATCACAAAAAATTACACGGGAAGGAGTGAAAATTTATCACACCAAAAGGCTGGCACCTCTGGGCTATGATTAAGGTGGCCATTGTTATATATACATTAAATAATATAAATGATTGCATATATGTAGAACCAATTCGGGCGGACATAAGTACTTGATATTTTATGTACAAAATATTTGTGCCAAAGATAAGTCATAAATTGAGCTTAAAATAAGTTTATATTTGTATTTAAATTAGATAATAACTTTATTTTTTTTTCGTAAATCTATTGAATTCATAGAGTAATGTTCCGTTTCCAGATTATCAGGTTTATCGCCATTCATGGGACACACGGATGTAGAAACAATGGCAAATGTGACGATAGCAAAATATGATTTTGAAGATGAAGCTTTTGAAGAAATATCAGAAGGTGCAAAAGACTTCATCAAAAAGTTGCTAATCAAAGACATGAGGTGAGTATATAAAATAGTAGCGCGATAAAATCATTGACCAAAGGTATAAGCAAAGACCCAAATTAGTCTGGAATTAAAGAAAATAAAAATGGAAACAAAAAAAAACTAACATGTGTGTTATTTTAACTAATTTGGGAGTTGTTTATACGTTTTGTCGCTTTTTTTGAATGATAGTGTTAGTGAGACTAATAATTTTGGGTCTTTGCTCTGCCTTCTAGCCAAAGATTAACTGCGGATGAGTGTCTGAGGCATGCGTGGCTATTGAAGAAGGAGTCTCCACCTCCTCCTCCGAAGAAGCCGTCAATATTTCAGATGGACACTGCGAAAGACAATTTAAAGTTGTTCGTGGAGAGATGGAACGAACATCCGAATTCGCCATACGTTTTCGAAGCGAGTTCACATTCAGTTTCAAATTTGCGACGGAACAATTCCTTGCATTCGCTAACAGCTTTGTCTCCATCTCCGTGCGGCTCGCTTTCGTCTTCGGTGGACTCGGACAGCCATTTCCAAGACATGAACGACCACCTGCATTTGCCTCCCATGGATCATTTCCGGAGGGCTTCAGACTCCAATTACGTGGTCAAAGCTGCGGACATTTCTGAACGCGTCAATCTCGCCGAAGAGATCCGAAAGCTATCCGATAAGCTGTTCCAGCTGTCCACGATGCCGTCTTTGGGCGACTTCAAATGCGAAAACCATTCCAAACCCATCCCGATTCGAGACGCGGCTCAGAACACGGCCGCTCCGTGGAGGACAAAGACCAAATTTCGCGTGACGAGCTTGAACCGCGACGTTCCACTAGCGCCCAAGATCCAAAGCTCGAGCTCCTTCAGAGAACAGTTCAATTCGAAGCTATCTGCTTTCAATGGAAATCAATCTACGAACCACAACTCTCCAGATGGCACTAAGAATTTGCTGCTTAAATTGCTAGAGCATTGGGACGGTCCGAACCGTCCCAGGCAGAACTCTGTCTCCTCCGAATGGAGCGAAAACGAGACCTTGGGACAGCGAACCATCAGCTCGTTGAACACCTTCTTCCAGTCGCGTTCTACTAACAAGAAAGTCACCAATTTCCATAAGCAATCAAAAGATTAAATCGCCCGCTTGCATTTCTTTCGTTTTATTCCTCTTTTTTTAAATTTATTTATTTTCATTTTTTCTTTTATTTTTGCTAAAGAAACATTCAGTATTAATGCATTTTTTTAGTGCGAGGTTGTCGGCCGAAGAGGCAATGGCCCATCCATGGATGTGCGTGTCCATGGTCCATACAGAGCAGCAGCTTAATACAAGCAAGCTCAAGAGATACGTTATCAAGAAGAGATGGATTAAAGCTGTGAACACGATCATAGCTCTCCACAGGATGGGCGCCAAAATCGATGCCGGCTTAATCGAATGAACCTTCCTTCTGTTTATTTACTCTTTATTTTAGTTATTTTCTTTAGCTTTTATTCTATTATTTGTACATAGCTTACGCATATTTAATCACGTCTCATTCTTTTCTTTTTTTTTCAATTAACTCAAATTACTTTGTTCGATGGATTCAAAAAATATATATTATAAATATGTTAAAATCCTGTCTGTGATTATCATGAGATTAACTGTTTTAATAATACCACAATTTGAAAATTATATTTAATGCAATCTTAAACCACTTTCTTTAAACTTCCCACCAATTATTCTGACACCAAGAAATCTACATCTAACGAAATGCACTTGTCAATTATCAAAATCGGATACTTAATATTTCACAAATTAAAACAACGTCTATCTTGGATTAATGACCAATTCCCAGAATATAGCAAGAATGATTTCCATTTAAAGAAGATTTAACATCACACGCGGCGGCAATTTGGAGAAATGTCCAATAAATGATACTACCAACAAAACTAGCCTTATTCTTCAGGATTCCAAATGAAAGTAATGTTTGAAAACATTGCAACGCTCAGAATATCAAGAGGTACCACAGGTACAAAGAGAACACTCATTAGCCCTCATGGAAAGGGACCATGATTTGTAATGGTTATAGTAGGGTTAAAAAAAAATATTCAAAATTACTTATAAATTTAGTTGTTTATTGTAATATCTAGTCAATAGATAAAACAAAGATAAAAAAATCTTTAACGGTAAGATTTTTGGTAGCGGGCGCGGGCACCTGGACCACCGAATTTCTTGGGCTCGCAGCGACGTGGGTCGGCTACCAACAATGTGCGGTCGTACTGGATGAGGATGTCTTTCAATTCCTTCTTGGAAGCTTCGTCAACGTACTTTTGGTAATAGGCGACGATAGCCTTAGAAATAGCCTGTCTGATGGCATAGATCTGAGAAACATGACCACCTCCGTTAACGCGGACACGGATGTCTACAGCAGAGAATTTGTCCTGAAAAGAAATGAAAACATTAATACACATTCCATATGAATAAAATAAAATGTTAGGTTTCAGAAGGAATCAGAAGGAATTTAATTTCATTGTGATCCTCATATTCGGGATAAAAAGTTCATCATTTTGTTTACCAACATTGTTTATATAATGCTTCTTAAATGGTAAGATGAATTTGTTTCATGAATAAAAATACTTACTTTTCCCAACAAGTAGATTGGTTCATGTAATTTATCTTGGAGCATCTTAGGCTCAACTTGGGTCAATGGGCGTCCATTTACGCGAAGAACTCCATGTCCCCTTTTGCAGTAAGCAACGGCAGTTGCGGTTTTCTATAACAAACAAAACATACATTATAACCTTTCATTGCCGTCCACAGCATTTCAACGTTAAGTTATAAAACATCATACAAGTATATAAAACTTAACCTCAAACTGAAATCAAAACATTAAACTATCTTAACTTAAGCTGCTTTAATATGCATGTTTTTATATTATTAAAAATCGTGTAATTTTATAAGAAACAAGTGTAATGTAACTAAGGCGGTGAAATTTTAGAATATGGAAAACGACAACATAAGAGTCGTAATCCACGTGCGTGATTTACAATGTTTTAGAAATGTAAAATCGCTTACCTTCCTGCCGAAAACTTGGACGCAGTGGATAGGCTCCCTTTTTGACTGAAATTTGAAAGAAAAATGTTAGAAATTACCTTAAATTTAATAAAAAATAACAACGGAGACCAAAACCCACCTTCTGCATTTTGATGTCTGTCTAGAAAAGAACGGAAATGGCGGCGACAAGCGGAAACCCACAATAGTACCACCACCCTAGTCAAATCAACGCAGTACCAACTTCAAGAAATAATGTTTGAATACATGTATTTTCATTAAAAATACCGTAAAATAACTAATACATATTTCAGAAATTACTACTAGTGAATTTATTAAATATATACATATAATTTACAGATATATTCAGTATTTTTAAACAATTATGAAAATGATCTTTTGGTTGCCTACCACATATCACTAACGGATTTTACTATTTACATTTTATATCAATATACCGAATTACTTTAAATAATGTAATACTTTCTATATATAAGGTTTAATAATATACTTATGTATTTACTCTTCATTGGTGTGCATTTTTCAATAGTTAATTCGGGATTTACTATAATCTCAAGTTAGGAATCAGTTATACAACCTATTTCACATTATATAAAATTGATTTAACTATAAAAAAATAAAATAATAATAACAATAGAAAGTAATACAGGAATTTTTTGAATCTATTTTGTTAAATTAATGTTTACAAACAACAAATATTACTATAGTAGCAAGGACCATATATTTTTGATTTGTACAAAGATAATAAATGTTAACTAAGAGAATATCTCGGTACTCATCTAATTAGTTACTAATAACCATTTTTACCTGTAAGAAAAAGTAAAAAGGAGCGGATGTAGGGTTTTATTGCCGGGGTTGTATTTCCTTCCTTACACAAACTATATAATTATATTAAGTCAGAAAATAAAGTGAATACCGACTTATTTCAACATGTTTTGTGTAATTAATCACCGGATGATGTTTAATAAGTTACTAAACTTAAGCATCGTGTAACATGTAAATTCGTATGTACTTAGTTTTTTCAATTAAAGAATGGCTCAAGAAAATTTACTTAAGTACTGACAAAATATTAACAAATTAACTTAATTTGTAAGAATTTTATGTATGTTTATGTAATTAATTCTTGGATTTTCATTCTTATTTCGGTATTTCCAAAATGTTTGTTCCATATGATAACAGAGTTTGAATTTTGGATTTTCCTTAAAATTTATTGCGGCCGTTTTTATACCATTCCGTCAATTATAGATGTTACATAAAAGTTAATTATTTACTCATAACCAACGCTTCCGAATAGGCAAATTGGGCATTCCACAGATGCGGAAAATATCAAGGAATGTTTGTAATGCCTAACCCCACCTAATCTGGCGAAGGTCCTGGATTTACCCATTTTAATTATCCAACTATAGTTGTTATCCGCTTATAAAATAATGTTGTATTATTCTCACTTTCCGTTTTATATATGCCTTTAATATCTTTTCTAACTATACTTTAGTTTTGTTACTATATACTAAAATATTTAAAAGTCCATTGTTTAAATTAGAATATTCCAAATTAAAGTTAATTTAAAAAAATATATAGACAAATGTCTATTAATTAACCTTTCAATTGATACATTTGATGATTAGTTAAGAATCCATTAAAACATAAATATTGTTTATTAAAGTAATTAAAATATTTCATATAATACAAAAAAAAAGATTCAACAGTCAATATTTTGAATGAAATATGATTTTAAAATTAATTTCCAATCGTGACTAAGCACACATTGATAAGAGACTAAGAAAAACACGTCGATAATGCCTGAAGCAGGTGAGCTAAAATTTGTAAAAGAGTATTGAAGGCATACGCCCTGAATGTACAAATAACGAGTTATCTTTGCTCCGTTAAATATTGGTTTACCGAGCATGCAATGCAGTAGATTCAAAAATCTGTTTATTCGTAATTCCAACAAAAAAATAAGAGCAGAAGACTATCTAATCTACAATTTTTTTATTAATTAAATTAATATTTGTTCTTCATAAAATAGGAAAATAATCAAATAAGACGTAATACATTAAGTTATATACAGGTGAACTCTAAAGATGAAAATATGTTGTTAAGGTAATTACTTCATGTTATGGTTTTAAAATTAATGAAATGGTAATGAGTTATTATAATATAGATAATAATAATATTACAAATAAAATATATATTAGATAAACAAAATAAAAATCCTACATACAGTCATACTTCATTTACATTCATTTAACTTTAAATATTGCAAGAAGTTTTAATAGAAGGAAAGAACTAATCAAGATTAAAAAATGTCGATGAAAAGCATGTTAGACTTTTTTGAATTCAAAACATTTGTCTTCGGTTCTAAGAGGATACAAAGAAAATAAAGACGAAATTAAACGGCAATTTTGGCGCATTTTCACTTTGATGGTGAAAATGTGCTTCATCGTTTAGGATGACTTTGCTCGAAAAATTAGCATCCACTTATTAATGCTCAATAATCCATTCAACGACCCATATTTACTAACCCTAAGCTCTCAGCTAACAAATGGTTTATTTTCTGGAATTGCCAACACTTTACTGCACATGACAGCAAATTCAAATCTTTCGTTAATTTTGGGACACCCTATATAACGCGTTTTCAAAATTAGGTCTCTGAAAATCAATTAGAAAAAAATATAGAAATAAATTCATTAATGTTCTTTGAAATTGATTTATTCGTTATATAATGTTTATTATTCTTCCAAAATCAAATCAGACAATAAGTTATTTGTCTATAAGAGAATTCTAATGTCAACTCATAACAATAGAGAATTTATAAAGTTTTCAACTAATAAATATAATGTAATTCTACTAATGACAATAAAATGACTAGAAATACAATAAAATTGAAATTACCTGAGTCACTTGATGACAATAGAATATAAGACATGACTTTTTAGTTAGGAATGTATGTAGAAATAATAAATAGAAATAATTACAAAAATATTATTTTTAAGTCAGAAAGATCAATAATCAACAGTTATCTGCAATACATATAATTATTTCTATTTATTTATTATATTCTTATATATTTATTCAACAAAATTATTATAAATTTTGAATGAAGATAAGAAATTAAAACTTAGTTAATTGTTTGATTAATTAAGTAAAATACTTGGTAGAATCAGTAAATAAGTTCATTTTATTAAAAACTATTACAACTGTTGAATCTTTTTTATTATTACGTTTATCATACGTAAAATATATAAAACATAAAAAACAATCAAATAACACCTGGGAGATTAAAAATCCTAAATGAAGTACGAATATTCAAGAATAGAAGAAAAAACATCATTTTCTTATTTAATTATTTATATAATTTATAAAATATAACAGACAAAAAAAGCTTTATTTATCAGTAAAAACGTAGTTAATATCAATGTTCATCGATGATTAATTTGTCCTAATTTACATGTATAACTTTACAACGTATATGTATAACATCTATAACATCTTTGTATGATTCCTACCAATCACAAGCACACATCATTTCCCCCTCCATTCCATTATCAAGACGCTCGACCAATCGAATCACACGAGCCGTAGTATTGCGTTCAAACGCGCGACCAACTTCAAACTTTGTTCCCTCAATTTAGTCGCGTTCGTGTCTCCACGTTGTAATAATATACATAGTAACAAGAAGCCACTAAACAGCAAAACACAAATAAGTAGGGTCTAATCAAGTGATAATAAGTTGTTCTGCAAATTTAGTTGGATTATACAAGAATCGCAAAAGTGAGTATTTCCGTGTATTTCAATTATAACTCTTTGTTTGTTATTTAACTAACAATTCCCATGTTTATTCAATGTACTATGTTTATACATAATAATTACACTCAGTAATTAAAGAAATAGCTTGTTAATTAAATGAAGGAAACAGCTCTGTTTTGTTTCCAATAGACATTCATGATTTACCGACAACAATCTTTGGGTCAACGAGTAACTGTTGTTATTGTTTGTATATCAAAATGTTAGATTCAAAACTATTATCCGAACTAATCTCTATTATTAAATAATAAATACAGCAGAAGCCCAAAGCGCTTCGTTACTCGCAATTGTATTATAAATCCAAACTTGAGTGGGCGGTTTCTTAAATAGGATTTGAAGTGTTTCAATCGATTTGGGTCAATTGGACAAATTTAATGAATGGGCATTCTTACCCCGTGAGTCTTCCTAATAGTAAATATTGTGACTTTGACTCACGCTCAAGGAGCAATTCCACTGCTACCTGATCTGACTCACGCGCAGACACAATACGATTCCTAATGGAAATTCATCATCGCAGCACGCAGATTTAATTACACACCTCAAGGTTGCGGTTCGCAAAATTTGCAAGGCAATGTATTTCGCGAATCACTCCTCTTGTAATAACAAGCAGGAAGAAAACATCATTACAATTATTCGAATTAAAATCTCAATTTTGAATTTGTTCTATTGTTAGTTTAAACTTAAGATTGCAATGTAACTGTTGATTCACATTAACTAAAAAAAAACAGTTAGTGATAATTCCAATAGTTACGTTACTTTGCAAAAAGTTCACTTAGATTCTCACACAGTTATATGAATTGCTCCATTCTTTAATAACAAATAAGATTTTTTTTAAATAACAATATAACTCAGATGTGATTCTTCAATCAGTAATTGTAAATGAGTCAATTTGATTACGTTGATCATTTTTGCAGAATCCAATTTATAAAATTAAGATTTTGTGGTTTTACATGCTCAAGTAATATTAATGTTATGAGAATTATTAACCGCATTGATTTCTAATCTTTTCTTTAGAAATTTTTGATATAAACTAACAAAAATAATTGGTACACTTTTCATCTACAAATTGATTTACAAATATCAATAACATACTTTTTTTTTCATTCCATTCAAAATTTAATACTACAAATGTTTAATTAATAATAACTAATAGTTTATTTTTTCGTTCACAAAAATGTTTTTATCATCAATCTTCAAAATTGTTAAATTCCATTAAATAATATACTTAAAATTTATAAAATATCGATCAATATATGTATTATTGGTAATATTACGTTTATCATGGAAAGATAAATTGTGAAAGTAGAACATTTTCGTAGGAAGATTACAAAATGATAGAGAAAACTGATAAAGTATTTATAGCATAGCCTGTACACAAATGAATGTTTTCTGTTGTATTCATCTAAACTTATTAATAGTGATTTTTTTTGAAGAGCTTTTTGTGCTATCGGATTGAACATCTGGAGGTGTCGCACGCCTGAAAGGGAATCCGAAAATGCACTTATTTTTCCTTCCTGTTTTATGCATGTTTTCTTAAGTTTCTTAAGCATCTGCTTGCTTTTTCTTCTCCATCCTCGTCGCTTGCTTCCTTTCGGATTGCGCGAAATGCATACGTGATATATGTGAACCGTGCAGCTGCTATAACCACCGGCTGGTCCTATCGAGGGGTTGTCGCTGTTATTGGGGGAGACGCGTGCCCTCCCATATTGTGCTCTTGCGGACGCACACCTGGTACACATTTTTAATGTGAATTCGAACAGAGTTTTCGGTCGGATTTGTGGGAATTGGGTCCAAATATCCGGCTCCGGATGCTCATACATCGTCTACAAATCACGGAAACTTTTATGGAAGAATCATTAACTGAAATCTATACAATGTGACATTCACAATCAGGGAGAAAGTAATTATTCATTACTTCCTTCTGCTCTCGCATTCAGTACATTATCAAACAACTCAATGTCCAATTGCAGTCAATTCCAATAGTTACGTTACTTTGCAAAAAGTTTACTAATATCCACATACACATATATATTTTTAAATAACAAAATAACTCAGATGTGATTCTTCAATGAGTAATTGTAAATGAGTCAATTTGATTACATTGACCATGGTTTAAGAATTTACATTCATCGGTTACAAATCACAGAATCTTTTATGGAAGAATCATTAACTGAAATCTATACAATGTGACATTCACAATTAGAGAGAAAGTAATTATTCATTACTTCCTTCTGCTCTGCTTCCATCAGTACATTATAAAACAAATCATTGTCCAATTGCAATCATTTTCATTTCAATCTCAATGCTAATACTAACGTAATCACTTACGCATATTTTCCTTATTAGTATAAGAAGTTGATTATAGAAGAAATATTCATATAAGGATAATTAGTGTTAATTATAATGATACAAGGACTCTTTGACGTTCATAAATTCCACAAAACTTTATAAATAATTGTAATTAATTAGTTCAAATATATCTTAATATTCCTTTATATAGTGAACACTTAAATTGAACACATATTACTGTATGTCCAATAATCCAGATTATAGGAGTAAATAAAAATTAATTTATACAAATATACAATATACAACAAGGTATATTCAAATAAGGATAATTAGTGTTAATAATAATGATGCAAGGTCACTCTGACGTTCAAACATTCAGCAAAACCTTAGAAATAATTTTAATGATATTTAGCACTAAATATATCTTAATATTACTTTTTATAGTAGAAACTTAAATTGGATATAATGATAATGCAATAATCCAGATTATAGCAGTAAATAAGAATGTATACAAATAAAGGATAACAATTTAATTAACAAGGAATATTCATACAAGGATAATAAAAGTTAATAATAATTATACAAGGACGTGTATTTACGTTTCCGCAAAGTCGTATGAATATTAATAATTATTTTGGTAAAAATATTATTTTTTATAATGTGAACATAAATTTGATTTATTTCATAATCCAATAATAAGGATTAATATAGTAATAATTAGTAATTCTTACAAATTATACTAACTAAATTTAAAAATGAAATGAATATTTATAATAAGAATAATTAAAGTTAATATTAATACAAGGACTCTCTGATGTTGATAAACATTGCAAAAATACATTTAAATATTAATATTTTTTCTTAGTGCTAAAGTGTACAATCCTTTATAAAGAAATTTTATGAAAAAACAAATAGCTAAAGTATAAAATAATTCGTTATTCATAAGTTTAGCTGGTTATTCAATTTTTAAATTATTAATTTTTATACAATTTCTAAAACCTTATAAATATAATTCATTTATTTGAGCTAATATAATTATTAATCCAATAATCCATAATATTGTAGTAAAAAAACTAATTAAATTATATATAGTAATTATACAACTGATGTGCCAATAATCCAGATTATTTTTGTCAATAATGGTAATGATTCAACTGATGTGTAATAAATAAAGTAAAATTGGTACAAAATAGAAACTTGACACAAGCATAATGTTAATCTTATCACGAGCAATCCCATATAAGTGTAATGTATGCACGTGTTGCGGTGTGTTTGCGATTCGTACGTGTGAATAAACTTGCATGTTTACAAATCGAAGAATTTAAAATTTAAATCCTACCTACCACTCACGCACGCACCGAAACAATCCAAATCCGATTCATTAATTGATTGATTTAGAATGTGTCAACATTGATTTGAAAAATACAAAATATTATACAATCAGCCACGGTCAATTCATGCAACACTTGATTCGAACTCAAGGACACAAAATTCTATATAATTTATTGATTTTTTTAATTAATTATGTATAAGTAATTAATAAATTATATTAACAAAAATATTCATAATTAAATTATGAATGCATTGAATCATCAGCATTCAAGTTATTATATAACTATACTTATTTGTCACATATCTCTTAGTTTAGCGTTAACAATATAAAGTAAACTGTACTATAAACTTTCACATGAGAAGATGTAAATACAGCAATACCTCATATAGTCCGGATTCATAATAGTCCGGTTTGAAAGTTTCCATACATACTATTTCTTTTCAATTGAAAAAAATAGAAATAATTTCTAAAAAAATATTTACCCGCACTATGCGAGGTATTGCTAACTAAAATGCATATGTTCGATAGAGACAGTTTCTAAATCGTTTACAAAGATTGTGTAAATTGCTTGCAATTAGCTGCAGTAGTTAACACTTGTAGTCTAAATACATTGGTACACAAAACCTAAATTAAAATCCACAATTTCCGTAGCAAGAAAACATATTTTGTAGAGAATATTATCAACGAAAATTATAAATATTTATATAAAATTATTTGTTTCATATAAGATTTAATATGTATTAATACATTTTTTGGATCTAAAAAAAGTTGTTTTATTAATAAAATCAACCACAAAATGAAAATGAATGGGGATGATAGAAGTTACATAATTTTAAATATCAACTGTGGAAGATCAACGGAGACACTTTCATTTCTCCTTCGCCGAAACCGCACGAAATACGTGATTCATAAGTTTTATTCCGCGTACGATGATTCAATTACGTTTCCTCTAAATCACCTCGAGATGTATTCATCCTGCAATTTCATGATCAAATCAATCGGAATCTTAAAGGAAATCCGCGCGTTTAACATCTAACTGCGAAATTACTTTTCTAATTGTAAATTTATAATATTTTTATTATATTATCTTCATATAATGCAATCATAACATACTCATCACTCTGTAACATCGTAAAGAAAATCGTTAACATCTATTTAAACGCGCTCCTCTTCGACGCTTATAAATAAGTTATCTAATCTTTCTGTGAGAGAGTCTGCCCCGCCAATTGTGCAAACGCAGCTGCTTACCAACAAAAACGCTCCAATATAAAAAAAAAAGAATAGAAGAAGCAAAACAGGAATAAATCTCAACGGTAATTCGGATGAAAATGGGGTGCGCTTCTCGGTGGGGTACCCACTTAATGGTTGGTACCTTTCTCACGCGCCTTGCGCAACGGTCGCAGAAGATACACCCATACTCCACTCGATCTAATTAATTGGTTCGATCTTAGCCTTTACTTAATTTACTGCTGCAACGACCCAAATAAATAAATAAAGAATGAACCGAATAACATAAAAATGCGCTCGTACATTATAACTGTCGATGTCATCGCTTGTTATTAATGCACGGTAGGCTTTATTCGAACTCGTTGCGCAATTGATTCCCAGTTTTTATTTTAAATTTTATAATGATATCCTCTGTTCAAACGTACGTTGTTGTTACGCATTATTATTTTGGTTGGAACATTTCTTTTTTTTTGTTGGAGTATTGTTTTAATGGTATAGATAAGGTGGACGTGCGTTTGACCGTTAGGTGTACATCACCATCACTTGAAAGGGGGAAGCTTATGGGTTGTATTTAATCATGAGTGTGGGCAGCATCAGTGCATGAAAAGTAAGGACTAACATCCGTCCGGTAGGTGACCATAGGACCATAAAACGGCACGCGTCCCCCAACCCTCCACAAGCACGCGCCAGCAATTTAATGGACACCCGCATTTCATTCACTCGGACCCAAACAATTCCACCTCTGATGCGGGATTACCGTTGCGTTCACCTGTACCATTTTTTTTTACTTCACTTATTCTTCCTCCTTTCCATAAAACGCTATTTCGTAATAGCGTTTACTGTTTCGTACAGTAAAGTGTAAAATATCCAATCATTCCTAACAATTAAGTGGTAATCACTTGGAACAAGAGGAAATCACTATTAAATGAATCGGTCGGACCGCGGACGGAGCGAGAGAAGGGGCAAAGAACCGAGATTGCTATCTGCGCGTTTTAGATAATCTCATTAAGTGGCTCTTATTAAACGCATTAATCACCTTTAAACGGCTTCCGAATGAGCATTAAGTCTACTTAAGTTCCAAATTCGCTTTCCATTCGATGTGCCGCAATTCCTACCCACCGCTTCACATTGAAAACTACGTGTTTCTTTATTTATATTATACATAATTAAGAAATAAAGTGTTATTTAGTTAATAAATTATAGACTATAAATGTAAGTAAATGTAATGTTTCAGTGGTAAATTGATTTGTGTTATTAATAGTTATTTAATTTGAATCTCGAGTGCGGTTAAAATTGGAGCATACTTAAGTTTATTTATGTTTATTTTCAGATGGGCGAGTTCCAGAGGAGTCCCAGTAAGGTCTGGTGGTCCGGAGGTGAAGAACTCGTGAACAGATCGAACTGGAGGGCGAATTCGGCGAGTCCGGGAAGCCAAGATTCCGGCTTCTCAGACACAGAAACATCTCCGCATGATCAAGGAGCGAAGAACATCCCGGAGGAGCTGCTCAAGAAGGACAGCATTAAGAAAACCAATTTGACTTCAAATATAGTGGAAAAAAGCACGCCACACAAGGACTTGATGTCCCCAAAGAACGGCTACTGCCTCCAGGCGACTCCCGTCCGGAAGATCGAACATCAGCAATCGAAATCCGAGCCGCCTGGAAGATTCACGAAAAACCGAAATAATTACGCGCGTGTGAGCAGGAATTTGTTCAGAAGCATACAAATGGAGGCGAGCAGTGCCGATGCTAATCAATATGCAGGTAACGATTCCATCAGCAGTGAAGTCACATCGGACGAAAGTATTTCTTGGCTATCGAGTGATAGTGAGCTACCGGAGTGCATTAAAACACTACCATTGGCCTCTTCGCCAACGGCATCGTACCCACCGAACCTCTCGGCCCCAGCAATACTTCAAGAGGAAGACGAAGTTGAAGACAACGACGAAGCTGTAACTTCGTTCAATCAAAGCACGGATAGCGACAGCGAACTCGATGGACTGTTCCAACCGCCTAAGCATACTTCCACGCCGAAAATGCCAGGCGAGAAAGACACGGAGGTAAACATGTTGCGGAGAGTCCACGCCAGGAATTTGCTGGAAAAGTACAAAAACGAAAGGTAATTACCAAACTCAATTTCAGTAAAAATCAAACAATCAAACAAAATAATTTTAACTTGTTTACAGAGTACCACCTACGACAGTAGAGAGCGTAGAAGAAGGTACAGCACTGAAGAAGTGGATGGATGACATGCGGCGAATGTACGAACCGGAATGCATGATAACACTTCAAACTAAATCAATCGCCGGAGACTTAGCAGATAGAGTTTCGCAAATTGCCAGCAACTTGACTTATCCCTTAAGACAGCTGATACACTACAATGGATTGGTGGAAAAGGAATTCGACAGCTTGAAGAAGTAAGTCATTTTCTGAAACAACACAATATTCTTGTTACTAATAAAAAATATTTTCTTCTTTCAGTCAAAAGAAACATCAACGTCCTTTGGCGCAGAGTTTAGTCGGAATCGTTCTCGACTACTTCCTGAAATTTCCTACGAAATGCAAATTGCTGGAGCTGACGGACGATCTTCGCACGGCTTCTGCAGAAGCAATACCGAAAATAACCGCACAAATGCACGTCGATTGGAATTCGTTCTTCAAGCAAAAATTGAACTCTGAATTGGCAAAGATACTTGAATCTTTACAAGCACCTCGCAATGAGCTCGACGTGCGTGCAAATCTTACGGCATTAACTTCCATCACATTGCGTAACGAAGATTTGATTGAACTCTTCGTAAACGCGCAAGCCGTTGATATTATCGTCATACTTTTGGAAAAATGCGATGGTTCATCGGTGCGCGGTTTGTGTTTGAGGGCTTTGAGTACACTCTGTGTAAGCGCTGGAGCTATAAGAGATTTTGAATCTGCTGGAGGTGTACAAATCCTAGGTGAGATCATATGCGATGAAACCAGGCCTGAACCAGAAAGAACCGAAGGGATTGCCCTTCTTGCTCAGATCACCGCGCCGTGGATCGAAGACAATCATACAGTACGCGGATTGAACGCTCAAACCAAAAAGTTAATCAAATATCTAACAAAATATTTGAAATCTACTAAATGTTGCCAGAGCATTTTGCTGGCTGCAGCAGCATTAGCAAGCTTGACGGCAATGGATGTTAAGAGTATTAAATATTTGCTGCACAATGACACTGCAGATGTGCTTCTGAAGACTATTAAAGGACACGGACCTAGGGCTTCAATCTACTTGCTGGAGCAAGTTGCCAATTTGATAGCCAACATGTCCTCAACACTTGAAGCAAGAACCAGTTTGACTAAAGCCGGAGCTCCCACCGCTCTCATGTGCTTCTTACAATCGCACAGCTTAGACGATGAAGTATTGAAGCGATTGCAACAAAAGTCAATCATAGGTTTATCCAGATTATGCGGCGAGAAAGACGCAGCGAAGCAAATAGTTGAAATGGGAGGAGTCAGGAGGTTGGTCAATCTTTGCAGAGACAAGAAAGAACGCTTCGATAGTGATGCCATCCTTGTAGCAGCACTCGTAAGTTACTAATAAACCAAATGTAATACACGAAATAATTAACATTCATATTCTTTTCCAGGCCACTCTGAGAAAGATTACCGACGCTTGCGGAGTATCTGTGGTCAATGAAGAAGATGCGCAAGAGCTGATCCAACCTAAATTATTAGATTCTTTCATGGCTTACTCAGCTCAAAATGAAAGCTTAGTTTAAACTCTTCAACAACATTCGTGGATTATTTTCAATCCCTTTAGTACATATAAGAATTTGAACAAAAATATCTTAACTCGCAGCTCTAAACCAAAATACTTAACTTACTAAATTTTAAAAATATATTATTGTAAGGAAGTAATGTCAGTTAAGATTCAATATATTTCTCTTTTTTTTTAATGATGAAATTTTTTTTGTAAAAATTGAGAAGACATTTTCTTAATTAAAATGTCTTCACAATTTAATTTCGTGTAAATATCTCTGTTTCGTGATTGTGATTTTAATTTATTTCTCTTTATTTTATACTTAAAAGTTACCTTTATTTTATGTTATTTAATTTATTAAAAGTCACTTACGAATTAATATTTATATAAAAACTAAAATATGTATTGTAAAATGTATGCTACTTGATTGTTTGGTAGATATCAACTGTTGTTTCATGGCACTTCCTAAATTTTAAATTAAATATACCAAGACTAAACTTTGAAACTGGTGGTTTGAACATATCCAATCCCCTTCCTATCTTCAGAACCCAACCATTTGATAATCTGAAAAATAATAATGTTAATTTCATTTAAATACTTTTAATTGAATGTCAAAAAAAACTTGCTCTATTTGTCGATCATGGAGAGAATCTGAATAGTCCACTATAAATACAACATTGTGATTGGCCAAATCAGTTTTCAACAATTCAAAACCCTTTGTCTGCTCAGTATCATCCTTCTTTGTGAGTAATTTAATTTCTTTTAGATTTTTACATTTGCTTACAAGCAATTCACAAAATCTTACCAGATTCTGTACCTGATGATGTGCCTTAATATAAGGATCTTCTATTTGTACTTTTCTGACTTCACTATTTAAATATTCACTGAACAAGCTCTCATAGCTGTAACCAGTATCATCATTCTTAATTCTAATTTGTTCATGGTATTTCCCACTCTTCTTTAGATTAGCTACAATAACCTTAAGTTTCTCAGCTCGAGTCATGTATTCTCTAACCTTCTCCTTAAGGTAACTACCCTTCTCCCCTGACTCATCTGAAAGAAATTCAATTAGAACAGATGATTGATCAAGGTGGCTATGATGAATGAATTACGTTTTGCCATTTCAAATAGGAGCTCTATTCCTTCTTGGTAACATACCAAAGCTTCTGTATACCTTTTCTCCATATCCAATTTAACCCCGCGACTTAAGATATTCGAAGCTACTTTGCTCGTATCCATGATAAACCAAATTTTAACTTAGTTAACCAAAAAAAAAATTCTACAAGGCTTCCTCTAAATCTACTATTATCAATGTTGTTATTAGTAGTGTGTCAAAACATATGAAATATAGGCAACAGAATCAGCACGATTTGAAATTGTTGTGCTGCCCCCCAATCAACCCCATAGCAAACCTCCAACTGACAACCCCCTGAAGAAACGTCAAATTGTTTGTCAATTTATCAAAAAAGTGTATTTATTTTTCCCCCTGATTTAAATTGCTTTTGGAAGTTTATTTGACCACTGACTTTTTTGTTTGTTTATTATGGGTGTTTCTTGTGGGAGGGGAGCAGTCTGTGGGGTTGTGCAGTTGGGGGGCCAAAGTGTATAACAGAGGGTCATCTAAATGCCGCAGACGCGGCATTCTGGTGCGGAGCGGTGCGATGCTTGAGCAGGAAATTGGGGCTTGGGATTCAGTGCTTCTGGAGCCACTCACAGAAGACACATTTGTATCGAACCTCCACCTGAGGTTCAAAAGAGATCACATCTACACCTACATTGGCAATGTTTTGCTCTCTGTTAATCCCTACAAGAAGTTAGCCCTGTACTCAGCTGATTTAGCTGAAACTTATTTCAAAAAAGGACCTTTTCAGTTACCTCCCCACATGTAAGTTATTACTTAAACACACTTTGATTACCATAAATAATGTTTATATTGTAGATATGCAGTAGCTGCATCAGCATACAGATGGCTAAATGATAGGAATGAAGATCAATGCATTATAATCACAGGTAAATTAGTGAATCTGAATTCTATAAGGGAGACTAATTGGAACAATTTCAGGTGAAAGTGGAGCAGGCAAGACTGAAGCAGCCAGGATTATTTTGCAATTTCTGGTTTTGGTCTCCAGCTTAACTCCTGAGGTGAAACAATTAAAAGACAGGCTGGTACAAGCCAATACTCTTTTGGAGAGTTTTGGCAATGCCAAGACAATCAAGAATGATAATGCTTCAAGATTTGTAAGTTACAATATACAAATTTTATCTACTTCAAAATTTATCTTATAAGAATTGAACTTTTTAAACAATAATTTAATTCAACATTATAATAACAAATATATTGGAGTTGTTATATATCTATATATAATTGGTTGCCTATAGTATTTTATTATATATATATTGCACTTTCTTTAGGGGAAATTTTTGGATATTGAATTTGATTATAAGGGAGATCCTATTGGCGGGCACCTGATGCAATGTAAGTATTTTAATTTCAATTTATTTTTTCTTACTAACAACTAATACACTTTAATACACGTTTAATGTATGTACTCTCAGATTTGCTAGATAAGGTGAGATGACTAATTTTTCATTAGTTTTTAATTGATAAAGTAAACTTCAGCTTTATACTTTTTTCCAATCCTATTTTAGTCGCGAATTACCAATTTGGCTTCGGGTGACCGGAACTTCCACATATTTTATCAGTTATTATCTGGAGCTGACATACATTTATTAAGTAAGGCTTTGTTGTAATAATAAAAACTAATTTTAAAATTTCAATTGAATATGTATATAAAATAATATTACTTTTATTAAGAATTCAGTATACATTTATTAAATTTTTAGAGGGTTTGAAGCTGCAACGGAATGTGGAACATTACAGTATTTTATACACAGTAACTAGACAATGTACACAAAGCGAGGAAGAAGATAGGAACCTCTATGTATATACAAGAAGTGCGTTCGATGTTCTCGGATTTAGTGTCGAGGAAGTTGTTAATATTTTTAGGGTAATCGCTGTTGTGTTGAAGTTAGGTAATTTGGAGTTTGTGCCTTGTAATAATATCGATGGAACAGAGGGATGTTCCATCAATAATGATTATGGTAAGATGCCTGCAACAAGCTATAGCATCCATCCATCATGGTATTTTTTTTTTCAGAACTATATGATATTTGCGAGTTGTTGGGTGCCGAGCACAGATGGTTGCAAAGGGCTCTGACCAGTCGTCAAATCGACGATGGAATGTCAACCGATTTGAGTTCATGCGAAGCAACAAAGACCAGAGACACACTTTGCAGAACTATCTACGGCCGTTTCTTCACTTGGCTCATAAGTAAAATCAATGAGCTGATTAAGGTTTGATTTGATACGCTTTACTATTGTTTTTTTAAACATTAATCATTGCAGGCTCGACATCACGCAAAAAGAAAACTGTTCGGTGTTATTGATTTGTACGGATTCGAGTGTTTTGAGAACAACGGTTTCGAGCAGCTGATGATTAATTACTGCAACGAGAGGTTGCAACAAGTCATCACGCTGGTCTCATTGAAAGAGGAACAAGAAGAAATTGTTAAAGAGGGTTTAGAATGGACTAGAATAGAATTTTTTAATAATTTGTAAGTCAAACAATTTTTTTATTTTTTATGTATATAAATATTTTTAAATTTATTTTAGTGGAATTTGTCAATTATTGGAACATGAAAACCATGGGATTCTATCGTTGCTGGATGAACCCCATGTCCACTGTGATCAAACTTATTTAACGCGTTTGGAACAGTGCTGTGCTGGTCACTCGCATTGTTTAGCCGGTGATCCTTCCCTGCCTCCTTACTCATTTCAGTGCGTATTCTTTAATCTGCAATTTGTATTCGTTGTTATATGTATTATATTTTAGGATACGGCATTTCGCTGGGCCTGTTACGTACAACGCGCGAACCTTTCTGGAGAAGAACCGCGATTATCTACCTCGGGAGCTGTCGAGAGCCATGTACAGGTGCGACCATCCTCTGATGCAAGCCCTTTTCCCGGAAGGAAACCCCAAACGTTGTACCGTAAAGAAGCCAACTTCGACGTCTACCCAACTACAAGTTGCTCTAAACGCTTTACTGAAGAGTCTGAGTTACAGACAGCCTCATTACATTAGATGCCTCAAACCCAACGAGCTGAAACAGCCAAGAATCTTTGAGTTGGCTTTAGTACAACATCAGGTATATAGAATACGCAATATATATATCCGCAGATTACAGAATTCTAATTATTTTAGGTGCGATACCTATGTTTGATAGCAACTGTTCAGATCTGGCGGCAAGGGTATTGCTATCGTCTTCCTTACCCTCAATTCCTATGCCGTTACAAAATGCTCTGTATTAACACTTGGCCTCGTTGGCGTGGCTCTCCCATCGAGGGCGTTTCAATTCTTCTTCGTTCTGTGCCCATACCCAATGCCGAATTCACATTCGGCCGGACCAAATTGTTCGTGCGCAGTCCGAGGACAGTTTTCGAACTCGAAGATTTCCGCAAGGCTCGTCTTCACGATCTCGCGCTTCTCATTCAAAAATGCTGGCGCGGCTACACACTCAGGAATCGCTACAAGAAGATGCAACGCAGTCAGAAAGTAATTGCATCGGCTTGGCGCACTTGGAGAGTGAGTACTAATCATACTTTACAAGTCACATTTACGTTATTTAATACAATATAATCAAATCGATCGTCTTCAAGGAACTAAAGTTGGGAATTCCATTTGATGGACAGAGGCATCTTTGGTGCCTTTATCATATGGTATGCATTGTATGCTAGAGCCAACAATCTACTATTTGCTATTCTTTAAACATAGTAAAGTAAATTACTTGCAATTTATTGTAAATGATAAACATTTTGGATTTTTTTATCTTGAATATTAACAAAATAATAATTTGGAAAGCTTTAAATAGCAATGTTTAAATTATTATATAACACTTTACTTATTTATTGTAAACCCTACAAAACTGTGTTTTGGATTTTAATTACTTGGTAGATAATCCCTAATTTTACGTAATGTAAATTATAGGCGAGAGAAGAATTCAGGATATTAAAGCACAGAAAACAAATGGAATGGGCTGCAAAAATAATACAAAGGCGTTATATTCAATGGAAGGTAGGATCTGTATGAAAGCGTGCGAGCGAATGAATTATCGATGGTTTTGTTTCAGCGGCGGCAATATTTGCTGAAACTTTTGTACGCTTTACCGGAAGACGTGTCTTCTCCAATGTGCCGCGAGTGGCCCGCTTGTCACCCGATACTGATGGAAACAAATCTTCTGCTAAGGAAGATCCATCATCGGTGGAGGTGTCACAAGTATCGCATCAAATTCGATCAAACTGCACGGAATCGAATGAGGGAAAAGGTTACGGCCAGTTTCGTGTTCAAAGACCGCAAATCATCCTATGCTCGAAGCGTATCTCACCCATTTTTAGGTGACTATGTGAGACTTAGGCAGAACGTGCAATGGAAAAAAATCTGCGTGGAAACTAATGACCAGTACGTGGTTTTCGCCGATATCGTCAACAAAATCGCGAGATCCAGCGGGAAAGTAAGCTCAACATTATTTTGAAGGAACGTTGATGTTTGATCGTATTTTACCTAGTTCGTTCCTGTCCTCTTGGTACTATCGACACGATCCATGCTGATACTGGACCAACGCACCTTGCAAATCAAGTACCGCGTTCCGGCCACCGAGATATATCGCATGTCTCTGTCTCCGTTCTTGGACGACGTCGCCGTAGTCCACGTTAGAGCCGTAAGTACCAGCATCCCCGAATGCTTATGTTCTATTCAATAGTTTGCTAGACTCGTTGCTGTAATGTATAATTTCCCTTAGTCATCGCTAGCGAATGCGGACACAGCGAGTGCAACCTCAGAAACAACGGGATGTTTATTTCAGAGCGATCTGAGCAAGAAAAAGGGTGACTTCGTGTTCCAGACTGGACATGTTATCGAAATCGTGACCAAACTGTTTCTGGTAGTCCAGAATGCAGTTGGTAAAGCACCGGAAGTTAACATAACAACAGAGTGAGTAATTGAAAAAAAGATACGTTCTCAAGTAAATGTAATGAATCTGTTTCTTAGGTTCGAAGCGAACTTCGGCGCTCAAATAGTAACGTTCATATTCAAGTGCATGGGTCTTCCGGAAGTGCAGCCAGGCCAGATTCGTGTGCTTCGCAAGGGGAACAAGATGGAGGTTTTAGTGTGACGTCGTGCCAAACATATCTATAAAAGCCTAACGATAATAATAATGATAATGAAACTAATAATTATGATCACTGCCGTTAGAACTGCACAACATACACGTTTATTTCAATCGTTATTATTAACACAATTACATACGAAAACCGTTCCCCGCGCGATCGACAGGTTGATGGGAATCATTTATTCACAGAGCGCATCACTTTTCTAAACGCAATAATACTCGGAAGAGATAATAAGAAGCAGATTATTTATTGTAATGAAATGATTGTATTTTCAATTGTAAATACGACAAGAACCAAGACTAGTTGAAGACGATTTAGTGTTCGGTATTATTGTTACATTTTCTTTTTCGTTTCTCATTTATACAAAATGGAGTACGTATGTGTTCGGAGTATTTAAAATGAATGAATTATTTTTCTAGACTGTAACAGAAAAGAAAACAATATATATTATCATTAGTTCCAATTACGTTTATAATTTTTGTATTTTGTGACGAGGCGAATTTGAATTCAATTTTAATTAACCTTGCATTGTAATTGATGAATTAGCATTCGGAAAATGTTAGCTTTACAAAATTAAATTATCTACACTGTACAGTTCAAAAACTCATGATAATAAGTAATACGTAATAAGTATGGTGTTTTATGTTCATCTTATACTTTTGTTTGAAACTAATAAACTGGTTATATTTTTTAAAACTGAATGTTGACTTTAATTTCATACCAATTTTTATTGAAAGGTTTCGAATTAAATACTCACAACGATTCTACGTTTATAAATAGGTTTTATTTGAATGTTAAAGAAACTATGAGTGGGATGATTAGTGTCTGCAGCCCAAAGTTATAATAGATTTCTTTTGAATTTAATAATTTTACACAAGTTAATATTGAACTAATATAAATACATTGGCTTGAGTAAGGAAGTGAAGGTAGGTTATTAAATTGTAGCTAAAACGTTTTATTTTTAATATTTATTCATTAAACAATAATTGATTGTTCATTAATAAACGATATAATTAAATAAGAAATGATTCTAACTATATAAGTTCATAAAATAGATTATTTATATTTTGTATTTAATACAGTAACATTATAGTTAACTTACGTAAATTGGAAACGATAACAAAAAAAGTAATTATAATTAAGAGTACAAACATGTGTCAGTATTTATAAAATACCAGCATTGAAATAAGATGAAAAGATAATATATAAACCATCTGATCTAAACCAAACTAAGACATCTACCTTTTCAGCAGTAACTGCATAATATTAGTTCTAAATCTGCTAACGGTAGCTTCAAGTTCAGAGCATTGTGCTTTCAGTTTGATATTTCTGTCAGAGAGATCGTTGAGTTCTTCTTCGTGATGAATCTCTTGCACTCTACGCTTCTGACGCGACTTCCTTGAAGCTTCGTTATTCTTGTCGCGCATTTCTCGGTACTTTGAGGGTTCGGAGTTGTCCGAGGAGACGCTGGCCCTTTTAGATGGTCGCCCGCGTTTCTTCGCGGGTTTAGGCGAACCCTCGGACTCCTCATCTGACTCATAATAATTTGAATGTTTAAGTGGAGGAACATAATCTTCGTCGCCGTCGTCTTCATCAATATACGTAGACTTGCGTTTACGTGAAACGCGATTCTTGGCGGGACTGGGTGGTTGGCTATTGGAAGTCGAGGGAAGAGGCCAAGAGAATGCACTTAGGTCCACGCTGGATGTACTTTCGAGATTGGCTAATATCGCTGAAGGTTTTACCTGAAAACGAAAATCATCAATTAGATATGGGACTGGCTGTAAAGGGGTGGTTTTTTTTTATTACCTCTTCTGCTTGTATCTTGAATTTATAGTCGTTCTCGAAAGAGCAAATAGTGTTGATGACGTCTGGTGTTTGTAAAACTGGTTCGAAAATCGATGTATTGCTCAGGTCAAGACGAAGTGCGTAGTTATGATGAGAGTCTACGCTGCTGTTGCTGTTTTCTGTAGGTTCATCTTTGACCGGCGGTACTGGATAGGTGGCGTTATTTAAATTAACATTCTTCCATAAATCTGGGTCTTCGCAATCCGTGAGCAAATCGTACTCTTCCAAATTAATATCGTCCATACCCGCAATTTCATCACTCGATAACACGCTGTTTTGCAAATCACTTAGAACTACACTATTTTCACCACAGTTTATTAAGTTGCTGTTGTCCGCTCGACTTTCCTCACTTTTCGTGTAATCATTGGCAAAAATGAATGGATTATGCCCCGGTGAATAGTATATGTTATTATTAACATTAAGCTCCTCATTTGTATCTGCTATATTAAAGAAAAACAAAATCAGTTAAATTATCAGGTATCGATGGAAAATAATGTTTGTAGACTTACCGAAATACGGCGTGTTCAATTCATCTGAAAAACTTGTCGTACCGTTTGTTGGCATTTCGGTCAAAAAGAGTTCCAAACTGATACACTTCTCCATACTGATCTGACAATTTGAATCGTCTTGTATTTCGCTGCTCGAGTTGGATAGCTGAAACCGAGAACTGCTGTGAATAACCAAACCCATCCAGATTGAAGGCAGGATCTCGCAGGAAACGAACAATTCCGCACATCTAGTAATATCCAACTCCTCAATTTTGGTACATACCTGATCGAATGTGTAATCTTTCTGGGATAATGCACTCTGAGGCTGCACCTGGTGAGGATCCACCATGTGGTAATCCTCCAAATCTTGGTCGAACTTTAACATTGCGTTGTTTAACACTCGGCTTCTCTTCAAATTCTCGCCATGTAGTACAGGAGACTGGAGCGGCAAGGGCGGCCATCGTGGATTTGTCTGAAATTCGCAAGAAGAAGACACTTTCAGCTGCATTCCTTGCGCTTTTTTGTTTTCGATAACTTACAGTATTGTCTGCAAAACTGTTTGCAAAAATGTTGATTTCTGGACACTCAACTGGATAAGAGTTGATTGTCACGAACCTTCAACCTAGAAAAGATTTTGGAAATTCAAATTAATTACATTTATTAATAGAAAAACAATCAATAAATACTAAATAATTCTTGACATATATCATTGGTAAATCAGAAAAAGGTTGAAATTCAAACTAAAAAAATCCATTGTCGTAGTATATGACAAAAAAAAAGAAATTAAAATGAATATTAATTAAAATGAATAAGTAAAAGATTACATAATAAAACTATAAAAGTGAATAAGTAAATAAACATAATATTTGCATATAGCAAACCCATTTAATGAAATATAAATATTTGAAATAATAGCTGAATTTTTTTTCAAATCAGAGATGTTTGAAGTAAATTATGTAATAAATAAATATTAAAATTATATAAATGATAAATTAATAAATTTCATTTAAAAAGGTTGAATGCACTTCTTAATGTTATTTGTCCACATACTTAAGTATATGTACGCATATCTATAAATATACTAAATTAATAAATAAACTAGTAGATATATAAATAAACATATAACTTACAGAAACATTGTATGAATCTGATGAACAGGCATACGGTTATTAATAAGAGAATAACGAAGGTAATGAATTAAGTTAATAAATATTTGATGGTCTTACAATATATTTAAATATCAAATATTTGTTAACTTAATCGCACTTAAAATACACTTGTTTTAATTAGAATAAAATTAAATAAAAAGTGTTTATGAAGTATTGAAAAATAATTGTTGAATATTGGAGAAGGTAGTAAAATTGAATGAAATAATCAATATTATTGAATTATATAAACAAAAAAAATTTATTTAAAAAAAATGCTGCTAATTTTTCTAAAACACTAAATAAAAAGAAAAATAAATCCTACATGTTTGCAATAAACAATTATTAATTATTATTATTAAATTTGGTTGTATAATAATTAATTATGCGATATATGAGGTGCACAAAATCACTGAGCGGAGGTGATGTTCAAACTGATCGCGCGTGATTAGCGCTTGGCCTTTTATAGGTGATAAAAAGAGCATGCTTGAACTTGTCAGGACCTGCTGGATCCAAGCAGTGACTACCGGGGCTGCCCTCTATTCGGTACGCACCGATTTTGTAACCAGAAGTATTTCGAAATTTTTCGTCCCATTCAATCTTGAGAATCTCTATTATTCAAGATCAACAAATGGCGACAGTAATGATGTTTAATTATAGCGATAAGTAATAGACGATTGGCATTCCGAGAATTTCGAGATCAGGAGCGACAGATTCCCATGAGTCACGAGCCTCAAGCGATCTGAGAACCAGGGGAATCCCCAACTCTTGACACGAAAAGTTTGTTACAACAAAATGGCCGACGTCGCGCTTTTTACAGCAGTAGGCGCCGAACATCTCCTTACGTCAGCATTATTTAATTTCATATTTCTCACCGAAGCGAATTTCCACGAAACGCAGCTCAAAACAACAACCCGATAATAACAAAATAAAACGAAAATTCTAACAATCTAAATTTAGATTTGATAACGACGAAAACTATGATTTAGCGTTTTCGTTACATGAATGTTATTACGGTAATGCAATTATAAAAGAAAAGCAATAATTTGATTACCGCTGATGACTTGTACTTTTTATAAATTAACCTAGATCAAATCAATAGGAATTCGTTTGAATATACTTACAAATAATATAATTATAGATTTGCAACCACAAAACGATTGTTTTCAGCGTTTATGTCAATTATAAACCATAAAAATATCTTTGTTTACTTAATCATATATTCATATTCTATTTAGAACGAAAGCAAACATACAGTAAAAAAACGGCAATTTGATAACGTTTGCAACAGTATACAATTGAATACATTCTCCGACCTTGCTCAATTTTACCTTGACCAACGCAGGTGAAAATTTTCCTCAATTTACTCACTCATTTAATCTATAATGAATGTACATAATAAATGATACTAATAAACATTTACTTCATGTACATCAACTAGAGAAACTTGTTATTTAAGTAATTACAATCCATATTTATTAGTAACTTTTGGTCATAAATATCGATTTTGCGTAAAGCATTTGGTTTGGGAAGTTTGTATTATATAAGTATTTTGTATGAAAAGTATTTTCTTCGCTGTTTTTAACTTGTGATTACAACATATTGTATAATTAAGTAAGGATTTTCCAAATTTGTAATGGTTTTCCTATATTTTTTTCACACAATTATAACAAAAGTAATTTAATAATTTTCATTATGTAACAAAATTATGTTTTAACTATTTCTTTAAATTTAAAGCTGCGATCATAGAATTTATATATTTTTTACAAGAAATTTAATTATTATCAAAATTACAATAATTAGTGTAATTTTATTAAAATGATACAAATTGTTGTTTCTTTAGTAAATTATACAAATTTATGCAATTCTATTATGTAATATAAATGATAAGTTAACATTTAAATATTAAGTATTAAAATGGTTTGTTCTAAATAAAAACTCATGAAAACATGAAGACTTTCCACGAGCAAAGTTTTCTTAGAAAAACAATGTAATTATTAGTTAGAATGTGTTACATTCGCTCAATAATGTATTTGCAGATGCCAATAAACGATTACTTTACTTCCGCTTTCAAAAAATGAAAATAATTAAAAAATTGCTTTCACCATTTAATTCGTAAGTAGACTCGAATAAACATTGTTGAACAACTCATTGGAAAGTTCATATACTCTTTCCAATTCCGAGCACATGAGAATGATTAAAGAAAAAATAAAACGAAACACGACCTACAATCAATTCCGAAAACCGGGTCTTCTTCATTTCCAAGAAATCAACGGTTTTTGTAATTTGCAGCAATTAAAATGCGTGCTTTTTTTAAGAAATTACTTTAAATCTTAAAGTATCTTAAACATTCTTCAATGTTTTCTCTTTATTTTTTCAAAAAAAGGAACATTTTCATTATAATTTATATAACAATTATATTATATTTTTGTATAATTCTACACATTAATATGAAAACGTTTCTCAATTAGTAATCATTAATATTATCGAAATATAAAAATATTCCAGTTATTAAAAAAATCCGAATATTTTTCATAGTTTTATATTAAGTACTAATAAAAAATAAATTAGTATTTCAATTATGTTTAAAACAAAATCTACGGATTATGAGAGTTTTTTTTCTATTAATTTCAATGTCAGTATAATTTCGTTCATTTATTTAGAAAGATTTTACATACAAATAATTAATTAATGCTTCCATTTTGATTAGTAATTTCACTATTAACTTCATTTTTCATGGATAAAACAACATTGTTTCATAAATTATCAAGTTTTATAAAATTAACAAAATTCATTAAAACACTGTAATTATGTAAAAAAAAAGATTTAGTAAATTTTGAAATTTCTTCCAAGGAACTTTTATTTTGTGATATCAGTTAAAGTCCAAAACTTCTAACTTTCAAAGTTTAGATCAAAGAAATTGATTTGTTGATGAATTCAAAGAATTAGATTTTTTACGAAGTTGGGAATAACAAGTTTGCAATCAATACATAATACATTAATTATATAAAAAAATATACTGATTATATACCTTAAATTATACTAGCAATTCAGTTAATAAGTAATCTAATCAAGTATGGTAAATTATGATAACATTGTAATAAGCATTGCCAAATATTGCGCAATAGTTGTAATTTGTGGTGCAATAATGGGCAACCGGTAAATGCTCTACAGAATTAAATATTGTACTAAAGAATCAGTCTTTATTGATTTTAAGTTTGCTAAACTTTTATTTAAAGTAATAGCAAAATGCTTGCACTATTTAAAAAATGAAAACATTAACTTACTCTATAAAACGAGAAGATGCGCTTTGCAGATGGGGGGCAGATGTTTCAACCACGGGTTGAACAAATGATTTTTTCGCGTTTGTGCCAATATGTAGCACACTCAAAGCTTTTCAATCGCTGAACACCGATCCAAGTTGCAATATTCTCGCTCCAAAACCGTGTAGCAGGCGAAACCGACGCTCGAACTAATAAAAAGACGTGTCTGTAGAACACGTCTGCTTGCACAAGTTGTGAAATAGTTTCTCCTGCTGCACAGCCGTCCTGCTGAACCACAGTTTCGTCCTATCCCCACTACAAATGAGGCACCTCACACGTCCTTTCTCTTTCCATCCAATGCAACCGCATTGCCGCATTTCTCTCGCTCTTGCATACGTTTCACGTGACACCGATGATTAGGTCATCGTGGGCCAATGGCGAAGCGGAGAGAAATCCCATTCCGGGAATTCACCGATATGATTCATAGAAAATTGATGTTTTCGCTGTTTGTTGCAAATGAACAAACACAAGTTACCGTGTGAATGACACTTGAAAACTCAATCGAATCACATGTACTTGTTTTAAGTGCTAAATTCATTACAGTGACAATCTAAAAATAGGTAAATTCAAACCCTCACGTCGCGGCTATCACTAAATACGCGTGTGTGCTTTTTTTTAAATGAAATCCTCAGAAATCATACAATTAAACGTTATTTTTTTCTTACTTCATTTTTCTATTCTCTTATACAATTTTAAACTAATTATAGATTATACTCGAACTTACCTTCAAAGAAAACCATGTAAATTGGAACCTCGCTTAACGAGTACCTCGCATAACGAGCATTTCGCTTAACGAGCAAAATGAATTGTAAGAAAAATAACTCGCTTAACGAGCGACGTTTCGCATAACGAGTAATGATGAGAACAGAAGTCCTGGATTGTGCGCTTTCTACATCATTTTTAAAACTTGTGTACACATATTATGTGTATTTTTGAATATGTTTCACTATACGAGTAAAAATCCGGAAATTTTGGAACGGATTGAACTCGTTAGGCGAGGTTTCACTGTATATAAATCAAAAGTAAAATTTATTTATTATTCTTGTTCTTTGAAATAGCTTTCACAGAAAGAAACATTAAACTTGAAATATTATGTATTTGTTATTATATTAACAGCGTTAAATGTAAATAAAGTACAACATATCTTACTCCTTTTGCAGCTAAATATATGGACTTATATGGTTTATGTAATATCTCTGAATACTTCATTTATTATTCATTTCATAAATAAATTGAAAGTAACAAAGTAAATTTTCAGCGTTTCATTTGAATTTGAAAGAGATGGCGCTATTATAAAATGATACCTTTGTGTAAGATTTCATTGCCTGTATTACTTTATCTACATGGAGATTAAATGGAATTTTAATAATAGTGTACACCAATTATGTTATATTATCAGTTATCTCTGTTACTTGTTTATAATTATTCGCAAAATCGAGATGGTAATTCCGGTTAATACTCGTTTCACTTTGAACAAGATTTAAACGATATGAATGACGTTGAATGCAATGTACAATACAAAATCTGTTATGTAATAAAATACATGTAAATTATTTCTATATTTTTTTATGATTCTTCCAATCTATAAAATAGTTATATAATATATTTAAATTTATCAGCGTAAAAAGGAACAAAATTATAAACTTACAAAAAATATTTGAAATTCTTTAATTACTCGTAAGCAAAGTGGAGTTGTAAAAAAATGTTTGGTTCTATTATGTAATCTTCTTGAGTTACTTGATGCATTCTAAATGAATCAGAATCACATGTATTTCTAATATTGAAGCTTATAACAGCTTAATATGAGATACTGATTTGTAGAAGATTGACCAGACTGGTTCAATCAAAAATTGGTACATGTCTCGGATTCTTCACTAATTTACAAACAACTGTTTCAAAAATACATTTCGTGATGATCTAGCAATATAAATAGGTACAAATCCTGAAAAATCGGAACGTCTTTTCAACCTATTTAAACAAATAGAGATTAGAAAACTTAACTCTATTACTTCAATTAGAAGTGATTTTAATCGAATTTTATTATTTCCGAAATATAAAGCCATTTAATACGACTGAAAACATGTTAAATTTCTATTATTTCTAGTTCAACATTAATCATAAAATATACGATTTAACGTAAGCAATGGATTTCTTGTTAAAATTAATGGGATAAATATTAATTGAAACTTAATATTGTTGTATAAGCAAACATTTTCTCAACATCTTTTCAAATGTACAGAAAATGATGAAAACTATATGATCTTTGACATGCCATCATTATTACTATAGTACAGGGGTGGGCACACATGAGGTTTAAAAGAGCCACAATAAGGGTTTTTTATATTTTATAAAGAGCCGCTCATAGATATTCATTTTTTAATGAATGTTAATATGCAATTAACACACATACAATTTATAATTATGAAAAATAAAATGTTAATGGGAGCCGCACTTGACTCAACGTAGAGCCGCATTTGCTATAGATACTTCAAGATGGACTATTAGCTACACATACTTTCAGATATAATTAAAGTTACTACTCATACCAAAAGTACTTATCCAAGTGATTTTTTTTATTATATCTACAGCCCTATTTCTGTTACCCTTTCGGTGATTATCGACCACACAATGCATTTTATTGTTGATAAGATTCGAACCTTTCGATTTTATAATCAACTTACTTGATATAAAAATCTTAAAATATTTTACAATGTTTTCATAGTTTTATTTAACTACATAATTTTAATTAAACGCAGAAAGATTTATTATACATTTGTAACAAAAATAGTCGTAAGTGCGTGTCGTTGAGTTTAAATTATATAATTTATAATTATAATCAATAATAAAATGAATGACGCAGATCAAAACTATTTGCTTTTCGCATTTAACCTTATCAATGATCAAATATTTGAAGAATACTTAATTAATATTTGGTTATCTTAGTCATTTATGACTATAAATACCAAATGGAGATAATACAATTACAGGATGTATAGTAGACCTCCCACATAACGCGGAATATAGAAATTATATGAAGAATATAATAAAATACAAATATTGATAATTAATTGTCAAACTTTCGATACTGTCGGGATTATGGTTGTCGAGATTTCGAATGTCGGGATTTCGATTGCCACCGGTTTCCTATGATTAGGTAATACTTAAGGTAGGTATAGGGTTAGGTTCTACATAAGTGAAAAATAAGCAAATAACAAGCGTTAATGCGCAGCGGCGTTATTGTGAATCGGCGTAAATTGAGCCGCAGTAAACCGAGGACATTCTACAATTTTAAATTTTTGTTTTTTTTTTGTCAAAAATATTAAGTAATTAATAATGGGTCTTTATCGCAAGCCCGACAACCGAAATACCGTCTATCATAATCCCAACGTTCGAAATACCGACTATATCAAAATCTCGACAACCATAATCCCGACTGTATCAGAAACTCGACAACCATAATCCCGACTATATCGAAAATTTCTACATTAACATTTTTAAATTATTTCTCAGCAATATTAATTTATTTGATTTTGTTGAATCATTCATAATAAACCTTAACATTATGAAATAATATCAAATACAATTAGATTATTAATTGTTGTTATTTATTATTAATGACAATTTAAAAGTGACTACGCTCCGGAATAATTTAAAAATGTTATTGTAGACATTTTCGATATAGTCGGGATTTTGATACAGTCGGGATTATGGTTGTCGGGATTTTGATATAATCAGGATTTCGATAGTCGGGATTTCAAACGTCGGGATTTCGAACGTCGGGAATTTGATTGACGGTATTTCGGTTGTCGGGCTTGCGATTGCTACCGATAAATAATATTTATTTAAATAATATTGAATTTTAAATGAATACAAATGTTGTGCAATATCATAAAAAATATATATTCAAGCAAATTCTTGTCTTTGTTATTCAACTTATCTTTATAAACCTGTATTGACAAATTATTTGTTTACACTTTTTATTGGGCAAAATGAATATCGATGCAAAGTATATACTAAATATCATTAAAAAAAACTATAAAACTAATGGATTTAATTAAGTTTCTTACATTGCCATTGCGTGATGAAAATGTCGATGTTTCCACAGTTTTGTACACATAAAAGTTTTGTAAGTTCTCGTGTTTTTATTATTGATGCTTTTAATAGTATTAATATTGACAATGCGCATATTAATAATACAAAGAACGAGGGAGCGCTTTGAAATTGAAAAGAACACTGTCACTATTTCAAAGCGATTTATTTAAAAAAATATATAAACAAACAAACAATTATATCAGCAACAATCTTCAGGAAGATTTGCTGATTATTAAATCACTATTTTTGATCCTGAATTAGATTTGGGTTTGTTTCTCCGTTCGTGGAAGTTCTTCACTGTTGGATAGAAGCACCACTTTTAACTATAAAGTTGACGTTGGAACCTTTGTTGATGCTGAGCCACCAAGCGATGCGTTATTGGTCGAAATACACGTGGAATATTCTAGAAACAATTGGTGGGATGTCCTGCGGGCCAATCGGATTGTTGGCTGATGCAAGAATCCTGCAAATAACAGCATCTTGTCAAATTGACAGTTTTTTTTTGCTCGACCTTTCGACGCATCTCGATCGCATTTTGCATGTGATAATCATCAAAGGTAATAATAATGAAATGGAACGAAACGCTGGTTGCATAAGTCTCTTGGTCAAAACGTGAAATATTCTATTTTTTATAGAATAGTTTAGAAAGTAAACAAACTTGATATAATTATACGTATATTTGCATCATAAAGTAAATTAGTTATATTGAGGAAGAAATACTTTCTCATTGATAAACACATTTTTCCGTTGATACTTTCACATATCATTGATAAAATGTCGCAATATCCAGGAATTACATTTATCTCGCAATCTCTGTAAAAAAAAGATTAGCAATATATTATGTCATCAGTAACAGCCAAATATTGTAGGCGCCTCTAGAATGTATCTGTGTTTACATCTTTAAAAATATACTTGATTGGTTATAGAAAAAATATTATCTTGATTTATCTCTTAATTGATCATCTATGTCTATGTCAATCAACAGTGTAATTTTATTTGGTGTAAAAACTGAATAAATCAAAATTATTTGTTACATTACCAATTTTGATGTCTATTGATTAACGATTGTAATTATAAAACGGATTAGTTTTCAAACTACTCTAATCCTTTATTCATTTATGATATTAATAATCCTCATTATATATATATATAGTGAAGGTATATATATGTATACAATTAAATTATAAAATATTGAATTGTAAAGGAAATAGTTTCAGTTTTATTAATAAATATTTGAAGAGAAATAGAAGTAATGTTTGGGAAGAAATCCATACAGGGAGAAAACATGTATCATTGGATTTGCTTATATTTGGATAATATAATATGGTTAATCAGGATCATTGTCACTAACGCTTTTAAATCTTTGATTTTCGACAGGAGATTTTGCTTCAAACTCCATTTAAGCATTTCTTAGACTTCGTTATACCGAAGATTCCTTATTAGAGGTAACGTTAACCGAGGTATAAATGCATATAATATCATAAGTACAACCATATGATAGTTTTATGGACGTTCATTCTAAACCATTAATTACATCATTGTTTTTAAATTTAATTAGACGTTGCTACTATATTTCAATGAAAATACTCATTTTATATCTTACAGAAAAGTCATAAACAATTTAATATTTGCTGTTGATGTTGCAAAATTATTATTAGATCAAAACCAATAGTTGATTCATGTCAATACATAAAATCGGAATTTTACTATGAAGCATTATGCTTAGATTTTACAACGTATCATTGATTATATTGACATAGGACGGAAAGATCTACGGTAGCAATGTTTCTATTATTAAATATTTTTATCTTTATAATTATGCGATATTATGGTTGTTATTATTTACTGAATTAAGCTATTATTGGTAGTTATGATATTTAATCATGAAATTCCAAATACAAATGTTTGCAAGAAATAATATATCAATGCCATTACTGATAAATATTAGATATTAATAAATGTTATTATTTTGCTTAAATCGATAAGAAGTTGATCCAAATTTCATAGTACTATAAATACTAGATGTTACACAAATATTTTAATTGATTGATGTTGTACGCAATGTAGTTAATGTGATATTTGAGAAACGTCAATTATGTAACAACGTCAATAACACTTGTCATTAAATCTTAACAACTTTCCAATTAATTTCCGTTATATTTATATATTGGTACTTAAAACGTTTGGTTTGGAAATAATACACACAAGTTACATTTTACATTTTTATATTATAAATATAAAAATAACTGAGAATATAGAATCTAAAAGTTGCTCTAAACAAGAATAACAAAATAAAACAATATTGTTTATTCGAAGAAAAAAACAAAACTGGTAACTAAACTTACAATTACAGGTAAAAGGTCCTCTTCTATATACATACACAATTTAAAAATATATAAATTATAATTCTGATATTACAAATATACTGGATACGTCGCACGGCTTGCCGAGAAGTTCATCCCTTAATATTAATGTTCCTTAAAATGGACAAAAATTAATAAGCAAAACCGTTTCTTACGCCGTTTCTAATAGCTTTTGACCATCCTTTCCCGTTGACTCGGCATCGGAAAAGCGTTTATTGGTATTATACCTGTTGAAAGCCACCTTGCTGTGCTCGAAAGTGGCTATCATTACAGCACAAGCTGGAGCAACTTTTATGAGACGAGGCACGAGACCAGTAAACAATCCGCTCACACCAAAATTTGTATACAGTTTCCTAATTATAGACATCGTAGAATCGTGTTGCGGCGCCTGATCTAAATTGTTCAAAAAACCAGAAATCGCACGACTCCGTGGTATGGTAGACTTACTTGAAAATACCTTGTTGCCGATCTCGATTTGCTGGTGCGTTTTCACCACATCAAATGGCACTGTCACAGTCGCTGCGATCTGAAATGTTAACCATTATCCTCAGAATGAACGGAAAAAGATGAAATCCTTACACTTCCGGAAACGGCGCCTGCGAAGAAGCTGAATCCGAATGAAGGCGTCGTAGGATTAAAGTAATTCTTAATGGTTTCGTAACTGGACCAGTACAGGGCCGAAAACGGGACGTCGCGTAGGAGGGTGGCGAAGACGCCCTTCCAAAGACCAAACACGCCGTTGTTTTTAATTAAAACTTGTAGCGCTTCGCCAATTTCTAAACGCCATTTCATTAATTACGATTTCTTCCAACTATGAGTAAACAATACCCACCGAAGTAGCTTTGCCTTGAGAACTGCATCTTCGTTCTGATCAGCTCCAATGGGCTGACGATTGTCACCGAGAAGATGCGCGCCGTTCCTCCGGCCATCAGCGGAATCCACATAGGTTGTGTCTTCGGCAAATGCGTTGGTCTATTCCTGTTGTAATTATCTTTAAGTTTAAGCCGTAGTTGTTCGTAGGTGACAAAGTAGATGATGGTAGCTGGTACGGCCAGTACTAAAGTCGGACTGAGTCCACTCCACAGTGATGTAACTCCTTCATATCTACTGATTTTCATGAAAGCATCCTGTAAAATACATAAGTCAAGACAATCCCTGTATATCACTCGATTTTCTATACCAAAGTTCCATTGAAATGAGACGGTTTTTCAATCCACTTCGAATTCTCCGAGCAATCGCACAGGTGATCCATCAATCCGTTGCAATATAAAAAGCATTTTGACACGTTCTTCCTCTGCGCCTGTAATCTAATTTTTACCACATCCAAAGGTGTAACTGTAAATAAATGTTATACATGTATTTAATTCAATTACAAGCAGATATTAAACAATTTCCGCGGAAAGACAAATATTGGTTTTGATAAAGCAATGATAACATTTATCGGACAACTGTGATTAATAATTTCATGTTTCGCTTTCTGAATCAATATAAAAAGCGAAATAATTAGCTATGAAAATTTATCTCATATTCATTTTACAAATTATTTCTAGATATAAAATATTAAAAAAAACACACAAAGACATTTAGAAAATACTGAATAATATATAAGTGTTTAGCAATAGAACTTATTTAACGACAAGATTTAGATTGAAGCGAAGTCAAAAAGTTGTAACAAAGTCGGATATTACAATATTAAAGACACAGCTTACGAAAGTTTGAAAAATTGTGTGAAATAAATGGAAAACTATTAAATTATTACTACAAACGTCGTAAAATGGATCTTACATTTTAATTCTAATAAGATTATAGAATCAGCCGAAATGATTATAAAAGTTTACAAAACAAAATCTATTTAAATTTATAGAAAAACACATAATTTGCACACACAATCTTATTTAAATTAAAGTCCTCGCGCTACACGACAATTTGTTTACATCTGTTCCTTGTTATATTGCTTGACCTTTGCACTTTATAATGATGTTACGAATATATAAGAATCTATAACAGTCATCCTCTGTTTGTTTTACAATTTATTAAAATACGTCAATCACAGTCATCATTAATTGGGTAATGAATTAGTACTTTGTATTATATTTAGAATTCTCCCACCAATTTCACGAAAATTATCTGAATAATAAACAAATCGTTACTCTTTCATATCGTGACTTATACATTCTTAGATTGAATTATAAAGTGTAAACACATAAGTAAACACAATGAAAGTAAATTTATTGACTTATATTCTTCCGTATTTTTTTTTTGCAAATGATCATAGATGATTTGTATAATTACTTAAACCTAATTTAATTCAATTATATTTTAAATTATTCTAATAAAGAAACTGGATTTTTTTAATTACTTAGTCTCATTTCAGTATTTATAAAACTATAAAAAGAATATTAATATTTATAATTATAATTATATTGACAAATTTCTTTAATAATAGTTTGTATGAAAAATACAGTTATATAATATATTTGTGCAGTATTTTTGTGTAAACATAACTTTTACCTCTTATTAGTATTTGAAAAGTTGAAAATCGAATTTAAATAATTCATATACAAGGAGGCTACAAAAAGAAAATCAACATATTTGACACAATAGAAGTAAGAATCATACATGAAACTGATGAATGAGGATATTAATGAAAAGGATTAGAAATGAAACTGAAATATTAATGAAAGCAAAAATGAGCTAACTTTAATGAGCAATTTCAATTTCCTTACCAAATATTGAAGTAGCTATTGCTCCAGTGCAGGAAGCAAGCACTTGCTGCATAGGTGTTATCCTGTACTTCGGATCATCGATGTCAGGTACTGATGCACCCCTCGTCATTGTCCTGCTGCTGTATGCTTCCTGCTGCTATTAATACATAAAAGTTGTCCGAAGCTAGCGGAGGACAGCAATTGCAAGAGTTGGTTAGACTTGGTTAGAATAACAAAAGTCAAGCGCAGAACTGTCAGATGAAAACCACATGTTGTGTTTTTTGGTGGGAGGTTCAGTGCATCCAATTGCAGAAGATTCAGCATACATTTATATAATAGATTTTTTTCATAAACTGAAGAAATTAAAAAGATTATAATCATTCCTGTGAATTTATGTAATCAGTTTAAGAGATAACCTATATTGTTCCAATTCAAGTATTGAGATTCAGAAATTCAAATGTTATATTGGTAAAACTGGTGTATAGCAGGTTAAATACCTGTGACATTCGTGAACAGTCGTCTGATTTTGATCTGTCAAACATTTCGGCGTAAACAACGTCATAATAAATAAATGTGAGTTACATCTAACAAGAGCCCAAACGGTGAACGTTGTAAGTACATGGTTTTATATAAAATCTTTTCTATAAATAATATTGTTAACATTCGTAGGTGGATATCTCTGAAGAAGAACAATACCACATAACCTATAAGCAATTCCTTATACCTACACTACACCAAAATGCTACTATACATGTTTTTATTGGTAGTAAATGCTTGGAGTATTCCTGCAGCACCACTTTTTACCACAAACAACAAGTGCCTTGCCTCTTCCAAATTAATTGTCACAAATGAATGTGACAATCTGAATTTATCCATGTCCATTAAGGTACCCACAGAGGAGAACACCAAAGTTATTCGATGCAGTCTTCTAAATGAAACATTCAATAACCTCTGCAACGCAAGAAATGAATCCTTCTTGCAGTCATTACTAACCTCTCATAATTTTGAAGATGATGTGCAGGCTGAGGAAGCTTGTCCCCGCATCTCCAGCTATTTAAACAAAACTGGTTTATACCAGTACTTTAATAACTTGGACACATGCAAGAAGATATGTGTGGATTTTGGTGGCAAGTTTTACAACATATGTAAATACATTGCAGAATTTTCCTATTTGATTGTACACCCATTGGATAATTTACCATCTGATGCTCCAGCTCAAATTCCTGAATCAGTTTTGTCAAGTGTCCAGAATAATACATCAAATTTAGAAACACCAAGTAAATTGATGGAACATAAAGGGCAAGAAACCATTTCAGCAGTACCAGCACTTGCTGTTGTTGAGGCAGCTAATGAACTTCCTAATAAGGAAAAAATAACTCCAATTCCTCAAGGTACTTCAAATGATACCAAGCCAGCGGTAGAAGCGAAGATAACGTCTACTACTGCTGAACAATTGCCAACAAATGTTAAGACAGGCACTGAAAATCAGGCAGCCCCTGTTGTTGATTCAACAGTCGATGGAGCTGCACCACACGCCTCACAGGAAGTTTATAAGAAACCGATACAAGTGGATGTTGAAGCTGTCAGTACCACAACCATTGTTCAAGCGATATCTTCGACGACATTGAAAACCGAAGATAAGACCACTCCAACTGTTGTGGATCCTGAAAAGCAGAACAATAAACTGTTTGAAGATAATCTGGAAGACAGTAATGCTGAAAATGATCTTGATAGTAACTATTGGTTATATAATTGTTGTAATAGAAATTATAATTTTGTTTTGTTTCAGATTTGGAATATCCAGAGCAAGGTAAAACTTATATTTACAAAAATAAAATACGCACCCCTCAATATACCCCTGTATGAATTCTGTGTTTCGTTTTGCACGATTTTTCAGGAACATGTACCGTGTAAATTGAGGGTTGAGTATACTATTATTTCCAAGTTAGATATTTTTTTTGACTTAATAATGTATTGCAAGTTTAGTTAGTTTAGTTTAATATAATAATAATTTTGAATTTAGAAAAACAACAGGAGGAAAAATTGGAAAGTAATTTGAAGCCGATTAAAACCAAGGAAAGCATGTTTCCATACGCCAATGATACTGCAGTTAACGAAGATGATTCGTACTTCTTCTTTTACTTCATGGTAGTCTGTGTAGCATTCGTGCTTGGATATGTGGGATACCATAACAAACAAAAGGTACGAACAATTATATTGTTCTTTTAGATAGTTATTTAACGCAATTTTGTTTTCCAGATTTTGGCTATTGTTTTGGAAGGACGAAAAGGTAGAAGGAGCCAAAGGCGGAGACCGAATTCGGCCAACTATCATAAGCTCGACTGCAATTTGGAGGAGGCCGTAACATCTACGTGCAGCAATAAGAGCACCACAAATGTGATTTACTGATTGGGACAATTATTTTTTTTAAGTAGAGCTTAAATTAACAAAAAAGGGGTTCTCTTTTTATTCAACTTCTTTCTTTAGATCCGGGACTTAATAAATCTGTGATTTATATTTGAATATTTTGTATTACGTTTGGTCTTAAGGAAATCGTTTTTTTTTCTTCCACTGAAATTGTTTCCACTGTACAATCACGCTAATAACAAACATATAGTCTTTGTGCAAAGAAAAATTTAAATATTGTATAGTATATATTATATAAAAATACCAAATACCCTCCACAAAAGAAAAACACATTGTCTTTAATTTTATGTACTTTTTTTAATAATGGTAATAAAATGATAATACAACATACAACATCTATTATTTTTTTTAGAGGGAGTTTATTCAACGACACTATCGAATTCTTCAAATATAACAAACTGTATAATTACACGACAAAAGCCATCGATAATAACTAAATATTTATTTTAAAATGTAATAGTACGTTAATAAAAAATATAGATAAATATTTATACATATTACTTCAATAGGGAATGTGTTAAATTATATGAGCGATTTAAAACAATTGTATGAAGTATGATGTTGAACCATCCCTCCAAGAAGGATCATCTACAATTTTGCATCTGCACAATGGGCACGTTTGTTCCCGGTCAAACCAAGTTGTCACGCAATTCTCGCAGAAAATGTGTCTACACTGCAGCAACACTGGAGAATCATATTCGTCATGGCAAATAGGACAATGTTCGCCTGCAGTCTGGATTTGTTCCTTGCTAGGAGAGCAACCAACAGTCTGTAAAGTAAGTAAACACAGTTAATATTTAATAAATATGGGTGAATATATTCATATTCCTTACCACATTCTGCAACAACTTGTACAACGCCGTTTTAAGAAGCTTACTTTTAAACAATAAATCCGTTCCTTTGGAAACCATATAAGCTGCAGTCAAAAAAGCACCCACAATTTTCTCTGTTCCTTGATATGAATCCAGCAAATAAAAGAGCCATGGTTGAATTGTAGCTAAGCTCCTGTACATTTGCGAAATCGCCTCAATCAGCAAGTAAACCTTTCCTCTCTTCTGAAAGGCGACAACTACTTCTGGCATCAACGTTAAAATTACCTTCACCGCTACAGTAATTAGCTTCAGAATAAAGTCGGTAATTCCAACAAACCAAAGTAGATCCCACACTTTCAGAGGGCTTTTGTAGGAATTGACAAATACTAAATTCAAATACAATCTTTCTTTATCAATCAACACATGGAAAGATACTATACCAAGTATTATATAAAGTAACGTCCATAAAAGTTTTGTTATGTTCCTGAAACCTCTCTTAGTAGCTTCTTTCACCACTGTGGAGTTTGCATATGTAAACATGATGTACAATATAATTCCATTGAGGATTCCTTCATGATGATCATATAAACATTTTGCGAGCAAAATGAGTAAATATGGTACATACTTTTGCAGAATGGAAATTGCTTGTTGGCCCTCAATATTATTTTCTTCATCCTCTACTTCATTGTTCACATTGTTTTCTGGAGGTTCTTCTGCTTGATTATTTGCATTAACTGGAGCTGGTTCAGGAATGTCTGGGACATCAACATTTATCATAATACTATTGTTTGCTGCGTTTTGCATATTCGGTTCAGACTGAGGCCTGTTCAGGAAGCTTGTGATGTTAACAGCAGCGGCTGTTTCCACTAATGGCTGGATTTCTCTCATTACATTTTGTAAGTTATCTCTAAGTTGTCTAGCTCCCTCGAATGTCCTTCTTTGGAAATTGGCACGAGCTAAGCTATTTGTTGTTAAGGAAGTTGATCGGGAAAGAGGTACAGCATTTAAAGGGAGATTATTGGTGCCTTCAGTAGATTGGCTTCTGAGAAATATAGGGGATTCCAATGAGGCAGGTTGTTGATTATCCATCGTTTAGTTGACGGGTAAACTTTAGAACTTATTTGCTATTGTTAAAAGTACTTAATAATATCACTTATTGACTCATACTTTTGACATTTAAAAAGATAAACAAAATATTTGACAGCTCTTGTACTTACTACATATACTAACTTCTATACAACTATGCTTATATGGTTGCAACATTTTTAACCTATAATTGGAAAAAATAATATATGTAACCTCAATTCACCAATAAGAATACTACCAAATACTACATAATTAATATACAATTGTTGAAAAATGGCTTTGATTAGTAGAGGTATGTAGTATTGGTTTCAACTGCATTGATTATAATTCTGTTATATTAGGTTTCAGTCTAATAAATAGGATTCAATTACCTGCAGTAACCCAGGTGCGTGAATATGCAGCTCGTAAGGGCACTAGGGATAAGCGTGCCAAGAGCAAAGTTAAAGTTGAAGTGGAGAAGGTTGGTTTTATTCCACACAATCAAAGAAATCGAGAGAAATTCTTGCTCTCTCGTCCAAAAAGGAAGTTTGACGACTCTTGGAAACAATTGCCCATTGACAATGTTTATCCCCAAAGGTATTATCAATGGAGAGTTTATCCTTTCCAAGAAGCAATTTTATGTCATAGAGAAACTCATCACCCCGAAGTTTATAATAAGCCAAATTCTAATGTGCACATTACAATTGAGCTAAATATGGAAGGGGAAAAAAAGGTATATAGTAATATTATAAAAAGTATTAGTACTATTAGAATTGCCACAAATTATTAAATATTGTTTTAGACACGTTTCGTTGACAACTTTACACGAATTGCGCCAATGCCAAATGGTTTTGATCATGGCGAACAACGTTCAATTATTGCTTTCACAAAGAATGAGGAATATCAAGAACAAGCTAAAGCTTTGGGAGCTACCATAGTTGGTGGACTAGATTTGATCAGAGAAGTGCAGAATGGAAGTGTGGATTTGCAAGAATTTCAATTCATCTTAGCTGAGCCACAAATATTAGCTGAATTGGTAGTATTGAGAGGCGTGATGCGTCGCAAATTCCCTAACGTTAAATTGGGAACATTAGATATGGACATTCCAGCAATGGTAAAGAAATTCATGAATGGTGTCAACTATACTGGAATTAAGGATGAATTTGAGAAAGATTTCGGCATTATTGAAACAGTTATCGGAACTGTAAGATAAAACATAACGTTGTTTGAAGCTGTTTAAGAAATTTTAAATTTTTGTTATAGCTCGACATGAACGAGAAACATTTGGAAGAAAATTTTGCATCTCTTGTAGAAGATGTTATGAAGGCTAAACCCAAGAGACCTGGACAGTTTATTAGAAGGTTAGCTTTAATGATTAAGAAGGTCTTTATATCTCTATGAATTTGTATTTATAGGTGTTTAGTGACAAGCCCTCCTTCACGCGAGAAGTTTAAGGTAGATCACAACTTATATTTGCAGCAAGAGCACTCGGAAACCAAGAGTAAAACTGAAGAAGTTGAAGCTGTAGCAGCTGCCAATTAAAATTTATTATTTTGTATTTGTAGAATGTCCTTCTAATAAAAAAAAAAAAGAAAATTAAACCAGAATCCTTTATTCAATTAAATACGAGAGCAAATTACATAAAAGAAAAGTATTAAAGTTAAAAGAACGAATTAAAAGAACATTCCAATGAACATGTTTAAATATAATATATATATAAGATTAATATAAAGCCAGTATAATTTGTCTCTAATTTACAGCCTTAATAGAATAAATTATTTGTGGGACTACAAGATATTTCTATATATATTACTATATGCCCTTTATAACATCACTGATGTAATTTTCAGGTTCACTAATTACATCCAATAAACCTGAAATAAATGGATTTAAATTAATAATTATATAATTAATATGGATAATATGAAACTTACCAGCTACATCACAGAACTCGCTAAATGAGGCACATGGCAAAAGTTCTTCGATGTACATCCCTAGAAGTCTTTCGGATCCCTTCAGCAGGGCCTCATCGTTGTGTCTTATAAAATCAGCCAGAGTTGTCGGCCACAGGTCATCAGGACCGCTAACGGTTTTGAAGAAATTGTTGTAAATGCCATCGATCAATCCGAAGAAAATCAGGTAAGGCCTGTACGTGACGTATTCTTTTACAGTTTTATCAAAAATATTTTTCAGGCCCAGCGGATTTGAGCTACGCACGTGGCCCAGAACAACCAGTCGTTTCAGGTGAGCCAGACGGTTCTGAGACCATTTCTGACTGGACTGTAGTAGCATGGACATTGTAATCCAGTACAGAGGTCCATCCGGTTCATAGCAAGATTCAATTATCTTCTCAGTCGCAGATTGCTCCAAATAACTATTCAAGTTGGTCTCTTCCTTTTTACTCACTCTCGTCCTAATACAGAAATCCAAATGGTTATAATAGTATACTTCAAAGTAGATTAGGTACTTACGTGTTTACTACATAAAGGGCCATGTGGATGAGATAAGGAACCATATGCATATTACTTTGTGGACCACCACCTCCCGTGTCTTCGTGGAAAGGTTTTTCTTGGGCAAATCGCAGCAGCAGTAGTTTCAGATCGTGAATTGTTGACGAATGTCCTATATCTCTGTGATTTGTACTTTCTTGTAGGTAGCTATTGTGTCGCGCGAGGCAACTAGCAAAGGCCGATTCGGCCACTTGCGGACCCCACAGTGGTAATAAGCCGTTGCATTTTGTGTTCGCATTTTGTAACGCTGCAGATTCCCACTCATGTCTCTCTCTTGCCAGTCTAAATGATAATTTAAAAAAGATAAATATAGCATTTAGTAACTATCCAAAAGTATAATATTTACCTGACGGCGCTCATATGACAATCCACATGGACTATATTAAAATGCGTGACAGTGCTGTAACCTACTGTTTTGCGTGCTTTGATTTCAGCTTCTTCAACATTGCAACGTTTAGTGAATGTGTAGATAGCCAATACTTTAGAGGGTTGATATTTGTAGCCTTCGCGGCAGATGCAACAAATCAAACCGGTTTCTTCACCAAGTTCCTCCATTTGCTGAAGGATTGTACTCTTCGCCGTGACTTGTCCCCTGTCATTTGTTCTCATTCCCAATTGGCCTAATTGCTTTTCACGCATTGCCATCGCCAAGCGTTTCTTCTCAGATCTAGTGAATTCTCGAACTTCCTGGATCTTTGTAGCAACTTCATCATTTGTCATCAGCGCTTCCAAAAGGTTTTCAGCTAAAGATCCTACGTGTTCGTCAGAAGAAACTTGCTCCAAACGATGGATGATTGGAATCGTGTTTGCCTCCGAAAGGGCCAGTTGGGTGTTCTCGTGTGAATTCGCCATTCCGGTGAGGAACCTCAATATATATTTTAATGCTGGCTTAGATATAAACGCCTTCAATTCATCGCTATCAGTTCGCATTAATAGTGTGGGCTTTACACAGGACGCGTGCATCGTTATATAATCCAGAGCATCCTTAACAATATCCAGAGCAATGATTTTATCTTTCAATGTGTTTCCAATAGCATTCATTTCGATGCCGTCAGTCAGAACGCAAAACATTTCCAACTTTTGTTGATCTTCTGTCGTGTGGTCGTAGTCGTATTTATTAAAATCTAAGGCAGACTTGAAATGATCCAAGAGGATCATCATTTTATCACTGCTGCCGTAAACTAGCGCTGCTAATACTCGTGTTAGATGAATCAAAACGGATTGGTTGTTCCTCACGCTAGTATGATTGGTGCAACTCAACAACGATTGTACATATTCAGGACCACCGAATGTTTGCGAAAATTTCATGAAACTTTCTAGGCTCTTGCTGGTAGCTTTAGATAAAACCGTTTCCATAATCTGAAAAATATATACATATATATTAAATAATATTTGCAAGAAACTAACTCTCTGAAAACTATTTACGTCTAGAAGTTGCTCAGTAACTGCTGCTTGACTAGAATCTGATTCGCCTTCTAAACATAATTGAAGTGTGCGGAGGAAAACCTCCATAGCTCCGAGTTCTGGATCAGTCAGAACTTCTTGGACTTTCACGACTTTAACACTCAGTCTAAATAACTTTAACAATACTTGAAGCAATGGCTTCGCCCTCGATACTTTCTGTATAGCTCCAAGTCTTCGAACCATTACCTAAAAATATATGATCAATTGTTATATTTGAAGCAAATACAAAATAATAGCAACAAACCTTTAAACCATCGCATTCCGCTAGAACATTAGCCATCTTATAAACTTCCTCATTGTCGACAGTTGCTTGCAACTTATTATTCAAAGTCTCTATGAATTCTTCTGTAGCATCTCCAAGTAATCCACGCATCCTGTAGACAACCCTCATAGAATCAACCTCACCTCCTTCTGCAATCCACACTTTCTTATAGACATCTTTGACGGGGAGATCTAGGCTCATGATTTTGTTATTGACCAGTAACTCCATTCCATTATCATCTTCGAGAAGCGCAACAAGCTCGCAATCTTGGCAGATCTTATTTTTCACATCACGCATTAATGGCCCAAGCCCAGCTTCCAGTGAAGAATATGGGTTTCCCAGCATACGACCCTGCAGGAATTCCTCTTGCTGTTGATCCTTTTCAAGCGTTAAAAAGAATTCACCGATGTCATTGTCTTCTGGGAAAATGATCGAACACAGCCTCTCGAATATAAAAACGGGTGTCAACACGTCTTGCAATGTGTACTTTTCTACAGTCTCAATGCAAATGCACATGAAAGCTCTTGTTTCTTCTTCAGTGCCACTCGTCAATTCTTCTAATATGTCGAGCAGCTTTTCCTGAGTATGATCAATCCATCTAGTCCTTTGAACGACCAACCGTCGGAGTGATAGATATCCATTCAATACTGCGCCTAGCAATTTGCCTTTATGTTGACGTTTTATAACTTCATCTATAATGAACACAACCAGTAATTCCGTCAGTTGGGTTAAAGCAAAACCTTGTGTCAAGTCCGTTGTTAACGAGGTTTCTTCTAGTCTGTGTAACTGCTCAATTTGCTGAGTGATTAATTGCGCTAACGTTATATGTACATTTTTAACAACAAGGAATTGCTTCCAAGGAACTTCGTTCATATACAATGAGTACAAATCGACGTATTCCTTGGCGTTTTCGCCTGCTATACTAAGCTCACTCAAATAGCTAGTCAACATCAACACTATTTGCTTTCGTCTAGAAAACGTACAAGCGCAAAGTTGCAGAATATCACAAGTAATTTTTCGCGCTAAAGCAGAACTTTGATTGAAAAGAACAGTCTTCACCCACGATGAATCTTGCAAGTCTATCGAATAAGGAAGTTGCAAGCACATAGTCTTCTGGCGCCACTTGTTTGCGTATTTTTCAAGTAAATACAGTTTTCTGACCTGCAATATAAATAACACATTAATATGAAAAATACTTCGAATTCACAATTACTCACTTCTGTCTTATCTGTTGGTAGAGTCATTACTTCTTTCTTGTTCGACATTTTGGCAGACCACGCAATATGACTAACGCTTGTATCCTTATTAATCCATTTCAATACATCAATAGGCATAGATTCATAATCATTCATTCCATAAATGGCACCATTTTTACTCTTATCCTAAAATACAAATAGTTAGTTGTAAATAATTTATAAATATTTAAATAACCCACAGGAGTTTTAGATTTGCTTCCGCTATCCGAGCCTTTTGGTTTACAAATGTTATGCCAAATTTGCAGACATGGTAAAATTATAGCTTCAATGACCAAAGGACTCTTTGCATCTTTACAAGCTTTCAGGAATATATGCACTAGACATCTAAGGCGTGTTTCCCAGCAATTATCTTGGATTTGCTGAAGTGAAGCCAAAAGAGCAATCTCATGCCTAATACCTAAATCTCCTGTTTGTCCACTTAAGCCCAAATACACTCGCTCTGTAATTAGTGAGCACAGTTCTTCAGTAGCTGATGAATTATCCTTGCTTAATATACACAAAAGTTGACGTACTTCCTCTTGAATCTTATAGATAAAAAAATACATAAATATATTTTATTCAATACTAATTTCGAGTATATTACCTGCACGCTCCCCTTTCGTAAATTGTTTGTTAATAATTCTTGGATTAAACCCTTCGAACAGAGAACCTGTCTAAGTGTAATATTAATTGCAAGAGCTCGCAACAAAGTTAAACAATGTTCAGTCGCTGCTGTCGAGCAACCATAACATCTAGTTACAGAACAAGTTGACGTTTGTTGCAAATCGGATATCTGGAAAGATAATATTAATATATAATTTTATTTTCTAAATCTTTTATTACCTGTGAAGAGCTCATGGACTTGCAATCTTCCGAGTCCTGATGCCTCCGATCATAGGCCACCAATTCTTTACGGGAAACCAATACTTTTTGAATAATCTTACTTAGTTCTTCAAATGATGTTTTAGATTCATTGCAGTATTGCTGGGCAATCATCTGTATTGTCTTGTTGACTTTAACTTGAGCTGCGGTTGGAATGGAACTGCCAACAACAGCTGCAGCAGTTGTTGCAGCGGGCGTTGCTTGAGGTTCATCATGTTTACGATCGGTTCTTTGTTCGCTGACTTTCAATACAAGTTGCTAAAAAAATATTCCAAAATTAAGGAATCTTAACTTTGAAGCTTAAAAATAATCCTTACTTCTAACGATGGTTTATTTCCCATTAACTGTTCATAAACTCTATCAGCTTTCTCCAAAAGCGTGTTGATACTTGAGACCATCTTCTTTCTATCGTCATCCGTTTCAATCGGCTCAACGGCGCAGCATGGCTTTGCTTGGAGAGTGAAATCGAATTTCGCATATTTGCAGAAACCACACGCATGACACAAGAAGGGGTCTTTCTCATCATAATTGATAGCTCTGCATTTGTGACATTGGTATACGTTCTCGCCGCAGTTGGAACATATACCTGGATGAGCTGGTACTGCAGCACTGCAACGTGGACACTGCAGGGTTTCACTAGACGCTTGAATGTTTTCAAAGAAATCAGCGTATTCAATCATCAAATTACAAGCCACAATTGGTAACGGGAATTCAATTTTAATTTCAGTTTGTCCTGACTGCACGTTAACTTTCTTAGCTTTATGCCAAAGAGCTGAAACAAATAATATATTGAAGAAAAGACAGATAATTAATAATAAAGTTGTTTACCTGGTTTATTTTTAAGTTCTACCACTGCTTGCACGTTCCTGTTATTATAATAAATGTTAACGACTCGAACCATTTTTGTGCGTTTCAGATCACCGATTCTTATCGTGATTCGACTTATTGTATGACTACTAAGCAGCTTAATTATCTGTGTGGTGGTCGTGAATTTTGAATCTACCTTGATAGAACTCAATTTTATTGTGGATAATGGTACTTCCGGGTTATTGCAGACAAAGCACGGATCTGATTCTAGGTAGTAACCTTCTAGTTCCACGTATTGCGCCATATGAGCATACAGGTTGGCATTTGGATGGTGAGATAGAAGTTCGTTTTGAACGCGCAGAACGTCTACGGCTTTATCGACGAATGAAGATATTTGCACTGTTGAATCTGGATTTTGACTAATCTTCAGCGAGAAGAAGCCTAGCAGGTCAACAAATTGAGCAGCTTTTCGACCGTATGTAGGCAGCAACGGCCATAACTTCCATAGCAATTCCAAAAGACTCTCCTTTTGAGGCAATTTGGAGTTTTTATATAGAGATAGTATTAAGCTATGAGCTTGCCAGCGGAGTGTTGTGTGATTCGTCTCCAAAATGAATGTACGTATAAATCTAGCTAGTGTTTCTTTCGATACGTTTTGATTGATTTGCTCTACTAAAGAGACACAGCAGGATTGTTCAAATAATGCCTCTGCTATCGAATCATCTGACTTTTCGCGATCCTTCCGAGCAGCGGCTTTTGCAAGTTCTGTTTTCTTGTTTCCTGTCTGCAAGACAATAGCGCAATTGAGGAGTTGCAGAATTGTTGGCGCCACACCTGCAAATTGAGATTTCGATTAAAATTAAGCAATACATCTGAAAGCGAACATAAATATAGGAAAGGAAAAGGACCTTCGGTTTTCAGATTACGGGAACTAATTACATTATACACCACCCAATGACAACGTCCTAGAATACAAGGAACAAACATTAAATTACCAAGGACTGAATTATCGATTATGTAAATAGATATAAATACAATAAATACCTTCATCCAGGATACAGCTGACTTGTAACAAGAAGCTAATTATATCAGTATGACCAATACAGAATTTTTGCCAATTTCCAACACGGCATACTGCAATTTCCAAGCAACACTTCAGATGTTCCACCATATCTACTAGTGTATCATATGATAACGACATTGCATGTTGATATTGAAGTGATGGATTGAATCCTCCTTTTAAGCAACAGTGCCTAACAGCCTAATGAAAATATTTAGATAAATAATCAAACCCGTTTATAATTTGTATTAGAAAGTACCTTCATGTGAGCGTTTAAGGCATGAATATCTCGAAGTTGTCGATACTTGTCTTTACTTCCGCAAATGAAAAGCAAGAGTTTGCGAACCAGTCTTCTTATAAACGGAACATGCGAATACATCATATACTCGCATAAGTACTTAAACCATGCAGTTTCGTACGCTACCCCAATAGGTATTTCGATTTCAGAATGCTTCTGTATTTGGTAAGGTAAACGCAATGACATCTCCGTCAAAAGTTGCGGATATATTCTGAAAACATCAGAGGCATGTCCTAAAAAAATGGATGTTAATCAAACAATTTGGCAGTGGCATTAATGAAAGGTATACCTTTAACAAATTGCTTTAAGAAGATTGGGGACATATCTGGTGGCGCCTCATGTAGGTGTTCTTTCAACAGATTACCACTTACTTGTCCTGGCGTATGATCATCGTGAGAGCTTTGCTTCCAATAATCGAGTAAAGACTGCAGTTGTCGTAAACAGAAGGGAATGAAATCTGCTTTGTATAATACCGTTGCAGTCCTTGAAACTACATATGAACTGTTATCATATATTACTGGTTTTAAGCCAGTCGTGGATTTCCATCGAGTCATCAGAACGGCTAAAAAAAATATAATGAAATAAATGTTTTTCCTAAACTGAAATAAACTTACTGAGTAGTCTTAAAATCACTAATTGAACTTCGCGTGAGTTAGTCCGTTGACATATGTTATCAAAATTGGGTTTGGTGGTTTGCATTTCGACTATGATAGCATTCAATAATGCATCTAACGCCGTTCTGTCCCTTTCCAAGTTTCCATCTAAATCGACTGTTAGTTGAGAGATAACTTGAAAGAATGGTACCGATCGCACGCCTGTTATATTTCTTATCTTAGGCATGTACTCTATCAATCTTTCTAATAATTGAAGACGTAAAATGTGCAGCCTGCCGCTGTTCTCATACATATCGTCAGAATCCAATTCTTGAGTATTTTCCGATTCAAGAGGATTTGCCTACAAGAATAATAATTCAGTAAGTCTAATTTCTGGAGATTTAAAATAAGTTACATGGTAATTAGCTGAAGTGCTCGGAATCGGTTCATTCTTGATACCAGATGTAGTGGAAGATTCTTGTGCACTGTCACCATATGCTGAACTTCTTCCCGATACATTGTGTTCACCAGTTATACTTTCAAGTCCACTACCTCCGCTTTCCGATCCGCCGCTGCCAGCCTTAAACAATGATAATTACATAATTGTAAATAATATTCCATATTTTAATTAGCTACTTGTTCGGCTGGAGATGTCCTTAACGTGGAACCATCTGTAGCTGCTGTACTGCCTTCATCATCAGAACCACCAGCCGAAGCGGTCGTGTCGCTGAAATTGCCTGCAGCAAGAGCCTGCAAATAGAAACGTTTATATTTCTAATTTATATAACTACTCATAAATAATTACTGGTAATCCTTGCAAAGCCTGTTGGACTTGCTCGCCGGTGAATACATGTTCTTGTAAACTTAGTGCAATAGCGAACTCAACCATCGTCTCGGTTTCGTCGGGCTCCATAGGAATATCTGAGAATAAATCACCTAGGAAAGCTTCTAAAGGATTCACATTATTAGCACCTGCTTGATTCGGTTGAGGGTCTTGTCTTAAAGGCGGAGCTGGTACACTGACTGCTGCTTCGGAACCAACAGCGCTGCTACTATCAGTCTCTTCTTTGCGTGTATTGGACTTACTGTCTGAAGATTTACGATTAGGTATCGCAAACACTTAAAAAAATGCATTAATATTGAATATTTACTAGTACTACTTAGTATAACTTACTCGAAGACGGAGTTGCGCAAATGGGTGGATTGGTTATACACACTCTGCGTTTCTTTATTTTAGGTTTCATTACTTGGCTAAGAGCGTGCTTTGCGCTAAAAGAAATCAGTGTATCCTCTGATAATAACAGTTGCAAGTACACTGCTAGAGTGATATTGCTGTAAGTGTCACAACTGTTGAAGGCATGCACGATTTCAACCAAAGCAAAAATAACTTGGTCGGTGTGCTTCAATCCAGGCACAACAACAGGAGCTAGAGCAGTATTTTCTGGATTTAAACTATGCAACAGCCACAGAACATCCATTAATTGTAGAAGTAAATGCTGGTTCTTTCCGGATTTTGGTGTCGGTGTCTTTACATCTATAATTATTAAAAACATATATAGACTTACATTGTCATTAATACAGAAATACAAACCTAGAGGATCATCCAACACTACATCTTGAATCGACGTATGAGAATCGGCAAACTTGACCAAGTTCTGAGGCCGGGAAACGGCTATCCCTCGTACGATTAGTACTAACCTATAGTAACTTTCGGCATCTAAATCGTGCTTATTTTTCATCAAGTCAATTTCCGTCATCGCTGTTAGACTCGCTAAAACGTGGTTTAGAAGAGCTTGATCCTAAAAGAATGATGAATTAAAGTAAATATATCAGAAAGATTTTTACATGAATTTTACCTTGTAGCTATGATATGCTGCACTGGAAGGATGCAACGCTGACAATAGAGAGGTGGAATGTATTTGCAATGTAGGTGGTGTTGGGAGAGTAAGTAATTTAGTAGCAACAACCATCGAAGAAGGCGCGTGGGGTTTCATTTTATCATCATTTGCATACAAACAAAAGCTCCCATCCAATACATCTAACATTCCCGAAACGAACCTAAGAAATATACCAGAAATTAAGTGATGTCTATTATGAATCTTGCAACCATTTACTTGTCAAGTTTTGTTAATGGCGGCGAAGTGGACGAACTAGGGTTATCTCCTTCGCCATTTCCATTTCCATTTCCAGAGGTGATTGAGGGCAAAGCAGTAACATCTTCCGTTTCTTCAGGCCAGCCGAAAGATTCCTTTGTTTTTCCATACCTACAGCGTATTTCAAAATTGTATTACTTACAGTTATTATTTTAAAATTATATTATATACTTACACTTTTAGGTTTTCCAATAAAGTTACAGTTTCTGGATCTTGAGATGGACCAAAACCAATAGACATTTTCTTATCGGCTTGAAGACTTTCCTCGCGAGAAAATGGTATATCAAACCAACGGCTACGCTTTGCTGTGGTCGTGATAATGCGTCCAAATATATCGACAAATGTCGGAGCTTTCTGTGGGTCTTGCGTTCCAATTAAAACTCTGATTCCTGTAAGAAAATAATGAATATATAATTAAGTCTAATCATTCGTATATGCAGACATACCAGTCATGACCATGTTATTATCGGTATTCGTAATTTCGACTGTAAATCCTACGGCTTTGGTGCAAACAACGTATAATCCATTTGTACTTAGGCGATGTTTTAATTGTCCGACATTGTAAATTTGAAGCAAATCGTTTCCGCCGATATCCACGTCATTCATGACGGTGCAATGTTCAAAAAAGTCCACTGGGAACGACACAGCACTAGGCGTTTTGCCATTGGTTTTTACCAATTTCTTTTTCTTTGGTCTAACTACTGCAGAAACCGGCAGCGATGGTTGAATATTAGGTGACATCCAGTAACCTGTATGGTCCATATTAGCCATATACATTTTCAAGCTTCCATCTTCGCACAGCAAAATTAAAGTCGTACGTTGTTCATTAAGAGAATGATTATGTCTAATGGCGACCATATCCATAATTTTAGATTTGGGTGGGACTACTTTAATCTCTTGTATAGCCAAACACTCTGGTTTTAACATGAGCACGATTGGATTATTGCTGGACTGCATTGCGCAACATATAAGTCCTGGGTGGTTAGGAATTTCTGTCCATTGGCACAATGGCTGTGGTGCTGGTGTTTTGCCTCCATTGCCTTTTGATGCTGGTGGCAACACGATCGAGTAGACGACGGTCAAGCAATTAGTGTGTGGAGTGACCGGTGAAATGAAGCTCTTTCCTTGAGCATACGAATAGAACAGTAATCCCAATGTATGCGAGTAATATATACTGACACCTCCTCCAGCCACTTGGCCATTAACATCCTATAATAAGTAAATGGTATTTAGTAAATATGTTTGTATTCATAAATGAAGAAAATAATACTCACTATAACATCTAAGTGAAACACTTCTAATGTATTTGTAACATAGAATGAACCGTGTTTTGCTGAGCTTTCTTCGTTCAAAGTTTCCGTGTAGATGTGTCCAGGAGATGACATCAATAAAATGTTGTACGATCCATTCTCATACATAAAAGTACAATCTCGAATCTTTCCACTAGGCACCAGGAAATAATACTGCGGACTTAAAGCGTCTTTGGCTAAATCATAGATTTTGACAAAGTCAGCCGTGACCAATGCCATTTTGGTTTGTGAACCCGGCAACCAAAGAGCTTTAATAATAAAATTTCCCGATTCTAACTGTGGATGCAACACCAGATGATCAGTTACAGATCCTGAAGATGCAAATGTCAAGACATGACAATCTTTCAGACCACAAACTGCTAAATAATCCTCATTGCACAAATTACTGGACAATGAAAGAACTGTGAATGGAATCGGAGCTGAGGCTAATCTTGTCAGTGTTAATTTTCTTGTACTGGAATCTGCCTGCTTCAGAAGTGCCGATAACTGCAAGACGGTAATTTTTCCCTTTTCATGTGCAACTGCTAAATGTTGCCTTTTCCCCAGTGGTGATGACATACAACACATTGTGACTCTACGTATTACATGAGCAGAAAGCATTTGTCTGATGGTCTGACCTTGCTCTCCTGCATAACTCATACGAACGTTTTCAAACGCGCCTTCCTGTGATCCCAAAGTTGGAAGCATCAACTGATCTGTGCCCAAGTACTTCTTATCAGCAGAATGGAGTAATTGCAAAGCTTTCATAGCTCTCGAGTAACAGCCGACGGGCGAATTTCTCCCACAAGATGCATCTACAGCTGGTAAAACTGCTTTCAACAATTCTATCAAAGTGGATGGCACGGTACTGTCGCCTAAATAATTAAATATCCATTCCTTGCAACCTTCTAATTGCTTGACGCTACTATGCTTCTTACGCTCCCTTCTGATCATAATATCAGATCTTTTGTATACTGGTGACTCTCTTCGCCTCAATGCGCTAGGCAAAATATCATCTGATCCAATGAATCCCAAACTGGTGCTAGTTGCTGACGAACTGATATTGGTGTCGAGAGATTGTGGACTACGCTTCACTAAAGCCTGACATGATCCGTCTTCCTTAGCACCACAATCGCAGAAAAAGTTACCGTATTTGGAATACGTAATATCATGACCTTTATGGCAAACTCTCGCGCAAATAGAACAGACACCGACACCATCCAACATACGACACGTGTGACAATGGTACCAGTGTTGGTTCATAAACTCCTTTTGCGTTACTGTAAACGTACACAGTTTGTTGCAAAGCGAATCCTCATCAGATTCATCTCCACTGTCATCTTCATCGTTAGGTTCTTCCAAAAACTCAACGTCTTGTTCTAACGGAGTTTCATTTTCCCATGGCGGACTCAAAGGTCTTTGAAGAGGAACATGCGCTTGAGACAAGATTCCGTTTATCACATCACTCATATAATCCAACATGCAGCAAGCGGCCTCCAAAATGACGCAATTTTTCTCTGCCTTCGGATCGTTGCTCAACTTATCCACAACATCTTTCAAACCCAAATATTTATTGCAGTTCTCCAGCCATTTCGCGGTCTCTGGAAACAAGTATACATGACCACGACCCTTTCCTGCATCGGCGAGCATCGTCATCACAACCATGAGATCGGTAAAACCAGTGCCTTCCAAGGAAGATGCCAGTATGTGCGTGCCAAGTGGTAACAATGCCTTCAAAATCACTGTAGCTACATCTTCGCTCACGTTACTACTTTGTTTGACAATGAAGTTTGTTAAAGCTTGTAGCAGTTGGCTGTTCTCTTGTACCAAGCTTTTGATATCATCACTGGCGCTTGGCGTAACATTGGTGGTCGTATCCGCCCATTCGGCCTGTATAGAGCTCTCGCATTTGGTAGCAGTAGGTGTTGAACTGTCGCTGCTTATCATATTTATCATGTTAGATGGTCCTATAATGACATGCCTTAACCAAGTCTGCAACTTATCGCTATCTACTTGAGCTAGTTTACTCATACTTCTGCACAAGTAATTCAAGCTTGGGTCAGATGGACTTTTCTCGGCTGCTTGGAATAGCTTATTAAAGAAGTGCAACACGCGAGTGCTGTACTGATGCGACATTTGCTGGTTAGAAACAGACATGAGCACTTTGACCAAATCATTTTCTCCGGTAAAGAAATATTCATGAGCTTGCCGACCTGACGATTTCTCGATAATTTTCTCATAAAATTTCAAAAAATTGTGCAATATCTTTTCGTTGATATTGATATTTGTATTGTTCGTGTAGTTGGTGATAAGTTTGTAAGTATTTTCCAAGATATGTGTATACACTCGCTTTTGGTGCTCGTCGGTTTCAGAGTCTCCGATCATTTTGTCTAAGGTTTTCGATACATTCTCATACAAGAACTCGGTGCGTGTATCCAAAGTGATTGCCACCAATAACTCAATGGCCTTGTTCTTTGTGTCAGTGTTGTCTATTTTGGGTGCATATTGACAAATGAATTTCATCAAACACTGCAACAGGTGTTTCAACGACAAATTTATAGAGTATGGGAAACTTGACGACAGAGTTGATACATGTGAATCGATAATTTTCAAGATGAACGATTCCGAAACAATTATATCGGTCAAATAAGGGATCTGAAATACGAGGATGGAAAAAAATTAAAAATTATATAGTTATATGAATGAATAGATTATTTTGTTAGTATTCCAATAAGATTTTCTTACCCAGGAAATTTCTTCGACGATTCCATTATTCCATTGCTGTAACACCGTGGTGACGTTCTGAGGAAGTAGAGGGGATTGTTCACTAGCTAAACCATTGATTAAACCATTCTTGGATGAAGAAATTGCTAACACTTCATGAATACACTCCATGTCAGCCACTGAACACTTAGAGTTTTGATCAGATTGTTCCGCCATAGTGTACAACAAAGACCATCTTGTACAGTGTAGTATAGTTTGGGTTAAACGCAAAATATGCGGCATTAGATCTTGGACATAAACTTCAGTAGAAGTAGTCGTACCATTGGCATCTGCTTGATTAGTTTCGGCTTCGTCGAGCAAAGAAACTTGCACTTTGGCAATTACAGAATGTAACGTGTACAAATGCCACAGCGGTGGTAAACTCTCCTTGCTCATTAAGCCTTTCTTAATATCTGGAGTTAAAGCAATAATGCAATTCTTTGCGTTTGTCACGTCGTATTTTAGACAGTTCACAGCATCAGAAACAGATTTCAGTAGTTTCTCAGTATGCTGAGTGTAGATACCCTGTTTAATCAGGCAGTCTTTCAACCACCTAGCAAAGTTTTTATTACCGCAACGAGGTCCCAATATTAACGAATGAAGTAACAAAGGACCTGCAGTTAGACTCTCGCCCAATGAAAGCCGTTCTAAATATAGCGTTGAAGGCGGTAATAAAAGCAAGAGCTTCCAGCAGATACTGAAGCAGTATTGTGTCGCACAAAGCCACAAAGAGCTCATCTTGTCGGCGCTCAGTTCTTTTGAGATATGAGTGACATTCAGGATTTCAGTTAAAGCATCCAATAATAAATGATAGCGGAACTTATCAGGTGTGCCCAACACAAAATTGCATGCCAATCCATCGAGCTTCGGAGCGTCTTGATTATTAGTTTCCATGTTAGACAGCATGTAAAAACATGGTTTCATAGAAAACTCTTCGCCGCTGTTCTTCAAATAGTGTGCTTCTATATCCTTCCATGGGGTATACATCCTTGACATGTTGTTTTCTTTGTCTTTGTCCACATTTAAATGAGTCGAATGGAACAGATTGAACTGGATTTGCTCCAGTAATACTTGAGGAGTATCATATAGATGTTTCATAATGTAGTCGAACAAAAGTAGGAGCCTTGATAAGTGAAGTAATTGAGATTCTCTAAGTGGTCCTCGGGCGATCTCGGAACACCTTAATACACCTCCAGCCATCAACAGAACCACCGATTTCTTCTGCATCAAATTTAATGAGTGGAATAAATACACAAGGACTTGTGCATGTTCGACGTTCAAATCTAAAAGGAATTAATTAATTTAGTTAAAATTAAAATGAAAATACGCAATACACTTTACCTTCAACATCGCCATCGGCAATTGCTATTGTTAGGCTTAGGACGTTCTCAATCAATGTATTGACTAATCTATGCCATATACTAATTACTGAAGCTTCTTTTTCATTCTGAGGTCTTAGAAGCAACACCTAATTCAATAAATAACAAAATTAATACCGATAATATAATATATTGTTATATCTAATATACTTGAGCCAACACCGCTAAAGTTCTTGGGTAAACTTGTAGTGGCCATGCATGTGGTACATCCGTATTCCATGGAGATACTCCTAAATGTCCAAGTAAATTCGCCTGGAGTGGTTGTAGACTAGGATGTGTTACTAAGTTGTGAGTAAATCTTGTAAGGGCTCCGGAAAATTCGCTATATAATTGTCCTAGAGTTTGACCAAAATATACGGAAATCGTACCTATAAATATTTTGAATATAAAATATAAACGTATTTATTAATAATAAACGAACTAACCAACATCCGTCCTCGACGTTTCTTTGTCTAAGTCTCTAATGATAGCTGCCAAGATAATTATCTGTTGTTCGGTGAATCCTGTTTTCAAATATCTTGCTATGTAAGGACATTTTGAGGAAAGTAAATGCCGATTGAAGAAGACAAAAATGTTGGTTGCCAATGTAATAAATCCGTTGGCCTCTCCTTTTTCCGGAACCACAGAATTTCCTCTGTCTGCTTGATCCTGCTTCGCCTCGTCTTCCTCGGTGTTGCTATTTTTAGATTCGTTTGTCTCGGGAGGCGCCAAAGTTTCTTCAAACCATTGACCTAAAATTGGCTCACTGTCATCATCTAAAAGTAATAGAAAAGAAAAGGTTAAAACTATCGTTTTCGTTTCAAAGAAACTTATAAACCTTCATCAGTCGACACATCGGAGCAAATGATCATATCTTCGTAGTACGTAGTCGAATCGCTTTGACTAAATGTGTCGCCTTCCGGAGGATGTATACGTTTCAGTGTACATGCCTTGCGATAACTGACAATTGCCAAATAAAAAAATAGTTGGTTTATAGGAGCTGCGTTGAGAACTCGCGCAACTCTTTGCAAGGCTGTAAATTGTCCAGCTATTGATATAGGAGCTGGATCACTCTAATCGATTCAAATATTTTAGTAAAATTATTGTATATAGATTTGTTTTGTATATAATTACTTGTAAGGTTGAGGCTGCGCCACCGCTCACTTCTAAATGGAGATCTTCAAAAAGTTCCGATAGGATGGTAAGGGCTCGTTCTGCTAACGCGACGGATAATACCCCAAAGGACTGTTGGAATTTCAAGAGACTCGACCGTGCTGATCCTGTCGACTCCCTAGATTTACTGGGACTCCTTCCCTTTTCGTCTCTCAAATGCGGCGATTTATCTGGAGCCGTGCAAGAGGATACGTGCATTTGCAGTCCGGAAATGAGTACCCAGGATCCGGCCATTAAGTAATTCTGAAATATTTGCCCGCCCGCACGAGTAGAGTTCTTAATAGTCGTTCCGATATGCGAGAACATGTTTAAAGCCTCTTCGACAACAGTCACAGCATTTGCATCCAAATCCTCTTCTTTGTGATTGGACTGCGATTGGACAGCGCTACATTTCGGCGAGATGGCCGAACCCATAGCAAGAACAGAACCGGCAGCAGCTTGAGACACAGCGCAGTATAGAACAGCCATACTTAAGTTGCATAGTTTATCCAATTTAGTAAGACTGAGCGGTTCCAAAATCGGTAGGTTGATCGCCGACGATGCCAAAGTAACATCAGCCACCACTGAAGGTAAACTAAAACGATATATTTGTTAATATACGCATTCCAATTAGATGCAAACATCTACCTGTTTCTAACTGCTGTTGCTTCAACATAATTCACAGGAAGACTAAAAGCTTTACCAGCTAAAGCTTCCTCAATTTTAGCATGAGCTTTCTTGATGGAAGGTAAACTCAGGCACAAATCAACAAGGATTTCCCCTCCTTTAATGCCTTGCAAACTCTCAACATTTGCTTTCAAGAATAACCTCTGCAATTGACATTGTAAATAAACATAAGTAGTAGGAAACAAAGAGCTCACATTAATCTCTCCAGCAGGATCACTAGTTCCAACATCTGGTTGTGCAATTGTTTCTGTAGCAACAGGCCGGCCATCATATAATGGCAGAGTAAGTTGCTCAAGTATACTAACTGACAGATCAAATCGGCTTTTGGATGATTCTCTATCCTGGGTGGTGCCTGCATCTTTATCTAATAATAATATATTTGTAGGATATAGGACCATGCTGCTTGCAAGATGAGCTTACCTGTTGGAGTTGGGATGTTCATGGGTGGGGTTTCACCTTTCATTATGTTGATGAGAGAGGTAACCTCTATGGGACTTAAGCTCTTTGTGCCAAAGCACAGAGCCTGAATGGATTTGATGCACTTCTCAATGCGGGAGTGGTTCTCAGTGTGTCCAGTCTCACTAGCTACTGGGACACTTAAAGAGCTAATTTGAAATTTGAGCAGGACACGGCAGGCTCCAATCACCACCTCCAACTGACCAGCGGATACTGCAACATCAACAACAACATTCTTATAAGAAAAATGGTCATTTCCAATTGGATCCAATAAGATTGTCAAGTTGTTTACAGCATTTTGCTAACGCCGGCAAGTACAAAAAAAAAACACACACAGACACACACAAAAGAAATGGTGCTCTTACATTTGATTGCATTGTTGCATATGAAATCTGCTGCAAGGGTGGTGAAGGAGTGGAAGAAGTTCTGGCTCGTATCCTGCGTGTGTCGCAAAATCTCCGACTCGCTGTTGGGCAGAGAGAACAAAAATGAAGCGCACCGGAGAAATAAATAATAATTACTTGTCAGAATTGAGTTACTATAAATACAATCGCCGGAGTTGTCTGTCAAAAAAAAATGTATAACTCGGGCACAAAAAAAAAATTTCCTTCGCTTTTTTTTCGCACGCGAACTTTCGAACTCGCCTCTCGATTTACCATTTAATTATCGTCGAGCATAGCTTTAGGAGTTCCTTCCGATCGCAGATCTCCGATTCTTGGGACAACAACGGTTTTATAACGGCTGACCAATCGACACCGCCACTGCTAGCGGCCATTATATCTGCCATTTAACAAGAAATGACAATTGGATTTACGAATCTGGGGGAAAACCTGGTTGGCAGTGCTGCTCAGCGACTGCAGCGCCGAGCTCAGCTGATCGCTATTTTTGAAATACTCGCCGAATGCATCGAAATGCATCCAGGTATATTTCGATAATAACGAAACAGGGTCTAGATGCGGCTGTCCCTAACCGATTTGGCAACTGGATAAATAAAGATAATTACTGCAACCTTGACTCAATCAACGTGTAACAGAAATAGGTTTCAAGTTTGTTTATTGTTGTTTATACACGATGACATAACTGTATAAACAAGCAAAACATGTTATTATTTGGTATGCTATTTTTAAACGCTGTAAACAAGGTGTCACCTGACTGCATACTGATTTTATTTACAACTTCACCTTATGAGCAAATCAAGTTTATGCTTTGTTCTCGCAAATGATTAATCTACATTGTCTACAAAACATAAATATTTACATTATCAAACATCAAAAGATATATGTATGAAATGCACTACTTGTCGTTTCGCTCACCTTTGATATTTGAAAATGTAATTAGTAAAACTATAATCAGTCGCATGTATAACGAAAATCCAATACAAAAGTGGTAGAAAAGAGATTTATATCAATAACAATTGATATAAATCTAAAGACTGTTACAATAATATTAGTATCGAAATATAATTTACACGATTAAAATGTCGATTTTTACTCACTTAGCGTTGGAATAAAAAAACTAGTAAAACTTTCGTATAACAATAAAGAATCTTGTCCCAAAAAAAAAAGTTGCTAAGAATTCTTCATGCTGAAATGGTATTATTTCAAGACATTAAAATAAATAGAAGTCGATTTTAACATCTTGATATTAATTAAATAAAATCACCACTGAAGACTTCATTTAAAATGAATAATCTATGAGAATTTCTTAGTTTTATACTTTTTTTTTAAATTATTATTTAAGATTTATGTAAATGTTTATAAAGACTACAGCCAATGGCCCTTTGTATGTATGTACATGTATACAAAAATATATTTTTATTATAATAATTAATGAAACTGTAAATAACTCAATGTTATGGTAGAAATATTTCATTTATTAACCCTTTCACCCAAATTAGGGCTAATTAAATAAATAATAAAGAAATGTTAATATTTATTAACGACACGATTAAAGTATAAGAATATATAATCTTAATGTAACATAATAAAATCAAATAGATTGCGCAAGTATTGACTAATATTCTTACGTTATTTGAAGAAATCAATAAATATCCAACGAAGTCTTCTTCATTTAACAAGGTTAAGTCGATTTTTATTCACTTGATGTAGAATATCATTGTACTCTTACCTGAACAATATGATTACCCTAATATTAATAATTAAAATATTGCATACAAAGATATTAGTATAATGCAGTAATCTAATCACTGACTGTATTAGGGGAATCCCCGTATTTTTTGTAATGCGTAATACTGGAAAATGTATTGCACAATGTAATGCAAGAATAAAAGTAATTCAAATTGGTATCACTGTATATCGAAATGTGTAGAAAGAAGTACGTAATTCAAATGTTTCATTAAACTACTTTGATATATATTTTATACCAATTCATTAACAATGTTAACTGATGTAGTAAGGAGTTAATCATAACTATATTGTTACATTAATTTTAAATAGCAAGTTTTTCTGGTAAAGTCAATTATCCCAAGACTTTAAAACAAGAATCAATTACTATGTTTATTGATAGATCAATACATATTTTCTAGCTTAAGAATTAATTGGCTTAATGAAAATACTTTTTGTGAGGTCAGAATGACCTATATTTGTATAATTTCTTTTCGTAAAGATTTTTAATAATGAAACTTTTTTCAGGTATTTATAGAGTTCATAAAATACCAGCCCCAAGCATAAAACAACTATTGTAATAGGATTTGGATTTACATCGAAAATACGTGACGAGTGTCGTAAATGAAACACGATGCTGTAAAAAAAGAACATATATTTTATTTACAAATTGCTTAATCAAACTTTTTCTGTTATTTTTATGTATTTTTTTGATTGCTCTAGACAAAATCACAATTCTACTGATGAAGCAGTATATAAGTATATTCATATAATTATGTATTATAAACTTAGCACTTTTTTTTTCATTATTCAATATATATTTATAAATCAATTAAATAATTTTGTTATTTTATTTCTTCTTTGTACAACATTGCTGTGTGTAAAGTTGATTCTTCAAGTTTTCTTCTACAACATTTTCTCCAATTTGCACGTTAAGGCCATTTCATCTCTCTGTACATATAACTCTCAATTATTTTTTTTTTCATTTTCTCTTAATAATTTCACCGTTTCACTTCTCTTAAACTTTGTGAAAACAAAATTAGCCAACAACTCCCGTCCTCGCCACATCCATATTTTCATATATAAAAAAATCTACGTTCATATATATATATATCAACATATGTCGAGGAGAAACAAACTCAAAATTATTATCTACTAACCAAAACACTTTAGGAACTTTTCGATTTTCATCTCCAAAGCAATCTTCTCTTTTCTCGCGCCACTCACTCACATACATAATAATTTTGCGTCTGTTAGTCGGTAATGTACAATTAAAGAAAATATTTACAAATCGCTATTGAGAACAAAACAAAATTAATATAAGTACGTCCTAACATTTATTTGCATCAGTATATATATTTTTTATTTTTGTTTGTAAGTTATTCGGATTAAATATAAATGGTGTCGTTTCGAAGTGCCTTACGTAATTAACTTTCTCAACCGGATGTTCGTGTTTTACTTCTGTATAAATAAATTAAAGCTGCCCAAATAATAATAATCATTTAAAAAAAAAACGTAATGGAAAAATAAAGAGATTAATACAGTATTAAATCTTCGTTACAAATACATATTCTTTAAAGAAAAAAAAACAAATAATAATATAAAAGAATCCACATAAATATTATATATCTATATAAAAATTATAACCATGTTTATATATATTGTTATATCTTAACTAATGCTGTTTTTGGCCGCTACAAGAAGAAACTGCTCAACTTCATGCTCTCCTCGGTGGCTGCCAAAAAATTAATCGAGATTTACAATTATTTATATATATTTTTTTTTATATGTAAAACAAAATCCATATTAATTGAAATAAACAACGTTGTTTATAATAACTCTACTGTTTTTTTTTCCTTCCTTCATTTCTTTCAATTTCTTATATAAAAACACTTTGTCTCCTTCACGTTCATAGAATCAAAATATGGATGTCATCATAATATATTTATATATATTTTTTTTGTTTCATACTCTCTTCCAGAACAAACTCATTTTCACACCATCTACACTCATATATATATGTATATCATTATTTAATCTTATTTGAAATTGCAACAAGTATCTAAAATAATTTGTTACACAAAAATACAGGTACCGTTCATTTAAGAAAATCAACTGATTTTAGTACGACGTTCTTACACTTTGTTTGTGGTTTCCAAAAAAACCTGCAAAACAAAACAACATACGACGATAATAATTTTGGAGTTTCGTCCTTGCTTCTTTCAATCTCCAGCCATGCTGATACTTCAGATTATCCACTCTTCCATCAGCACTAAGAGAACAATAATTTCGACGGAAAGCGCCCAAATTCGGGCGTTTCCAAATACCAAAATAAAAAGCATGTGCTTCAATCCAATAATCGATTAGAAGACGTATTTAAAAATGGTGAATTGTGCGAGTGCATAAGGATCATACTTTGTTTTCCCTCCATCAATCTGGATAGCACTTCCCAAATAAAATAAATAAATTTGCAGTCGAAAAATATATGTAAAAAAAAACAAAAATCGAAATAAAATACAACCTAAATTTATACATTCGAAAAGATGAATGTAATGATTAGTTTTTTAATGTTGCTGAAAGAATCATGTGTTTTTTTTATCAGGCAACGATATTCATCACTCACTAAATATGCATGCATTGGTTCAAACGTTTAATTGGTCGTTTGATCCGCATTGACTTCACCGTCAGATTCACTGTTTTCAGTCTTTGGTTTATCCTTCAGCGCCTGCTTCAGTTCCTGGATGGAGTCACCGTGGTACATTCGCTTTATGCCTCTGGGCAGGGCGCGGCAGGACTGTAAGTTGATGTGATTCAGGCTCGGACATTTCGATAAGACGGCCTTCACCGGTTCTAAGTTCACGGACGAACCGCACAAGTTTATGGTCCTGAAACGGTGGGATTTTAGTATTTTAACTCATGCTTTCTTGATATGTACGTACCTTAGTGGTGATTCTGCACCTTTCTCGGCTAGAGCCAGGACTGCTGCGTCCAGGGAAGATGTCGCTGTCGACCAGGCGAGATCCACCTCCAGCAAACTGTGACTCCACTTTTGTAGAATTAACTCAAGGCCGGAGTCATGTGCCCTTGTTATGAAGCAAGCTAAAGAACATTATACGTAAATAAAAGTTTTAATTTGTTTACATGTAATAATTATAGTAAGATTTATTCATGACCATCCTTTTTACCTATACAAAAGGCGCAGGTCCATTTTGCAAAACTGACTTATAAAATGTTCCATAAGGAATAGCTTGAAAGCCATAAATATTTTTGAAATAAATATATAAATGTAATATTGTTGACTGCCAATAAACTTCTTAGGAAAGATAAGATATCAGAGTAGTGAATACTATTTGAATGACCGGCAACCTATGCAAACAAACAGCATAACACTTTCATACTTAGATCACGAATTGTCAAAGTAACAACTTTAGACAGAAAGATTAGATTCTGTTATCTAACAATAACTATATATTACTGTTTGTATAAGTATATGTTTCGCGTACATACTTGTCAAATAATTAAAAACTGTATAAATTTAATAAAATAATAATACAAATGTAATATTGTAAAATCAGTTATAGTTTTATGAAACAATGAATTTTCTAAGTTTTATAAAGACCATTATTTAACGATGCTAGTTAATATGAAAGCATATTTACCGCTGAGGAAGAGATGCGTTAAATCCCAGGCAGGAACTTTAACTAAACCAGAATCGGTAAGACGGATACACCCGCGCACATCAAGTAGCCTCAGTTTCCTGGCATTTTTTAATATCCTTTCGATGCCTTCGTCGTCGACGCAACGTGCCGTTGTCGTCTTGTCCTCTTCGATACCTGCCAAAGATAATTCTTCCAGTTCTGGGAAACCCGGGGAAGCGACCTATATTTTCAATAGATTAATTTGTAAAAAATATATAAAAAATAATTTTTAATAAATATACGTGCCTGATCGGAGAGACTAGCAGGTGCCAACCAAATTTGACTGTTGGTGATGCGTAACACCCTCAATTTGGTGCAACCAGTTTGCAATTTCTCGACATGGAGGAGCGCGGTGTTATGAGCAAATGTTCGAATGTTTGAAATGTCGAGGAGTTCGAGATTTGAACAATTACCCTATACAAAAAAAGGTGATAAAAGATATTCATGTTGATTATGAGAGAGTTAACTTACTGCGATCGATGCCATTATTTGAGAAAACCCGGCAATTTTGTTATGAGCCAACACCAGGTGCGTCAGGCGACTGTTCATAGTCTGTCCAAGATTTACCAAAGGTAAAGCATTTATAGCTGTAGTAGACTGAAATACGAACCAAGTGTTATTCTAAAAGAATCAATGTAAGGAAACGTTACGTTACGTTTATCGAAGATAAATCGATTCTTTGTAGATTCTCATATTCCATAGTGATATATTTTAAGTTGTCTGCACTTAAACCCTTCCATCCGCTCAGGTTAAGACCTTTGATTCGCGGACATGCAGCTTTTATTGATTCCAATGAAGTTTGGATATTCCTGACCTTCCACTCGCCCATATTCAAATCAACGCAATGTGACAACCTATTCTCGATCAACCAATGCAACTTGATGTCTGTACGGTAGCGCTCCCGAACCCAGTTCAGATCGACCTTCCGCCAAAGAGTCGGCTCTGAAGCCACTTCACGCCATAATTTGCAAACCTTGCACAACCTATAAATACATACACACTCCATAATCAATATGCCTAGCTAATAAACAGAGCGTAATAGGCGTAGAGCAGCACTCACCTTACGAGAGTCGGCAAAGCGCCGCGCTCTATAGTTAAATGTTGGAACACTGAATGCAATATGTGTCTTGGCAGCGAAGAACCCCATACGCTTTGCTCAGCGGGTTCAAACGGCTCTTCGTCCAGATCCGCATCGTTGCTATTATTCTTGTAGCGCTTGCTGGTCGATTCGTGGTCCGAAGTGTCCGTGTCTGAAGTCTTCTGTTTTTTTCGCCTACCAGTTTTCTTTTTGTTTGGGGTCAGCTGAGAGGAGTCAATGAATTACTAGTCCAAACAAAAAATTACCTCATATTACCTGTACATGGGTGGACAGATTGCTTTTCTTAATCCTTATTTTGATAGTGTTTTTGTCCCCACTGATCTGACTCTGATACATGGGAACCAATGCCTTCCTGGGCCTGCCACGTCCAGCACTTGTACCAGTTTTCTTGCCCTTGCCCACTTTATTGCTCTTCCCAATTGCCCCATTGTTATAATCAACCACTGGATTGCAAAGCACCAATCTATCAGTTTTAACACATGTTGCACTCTCCTTTGGTGAAGTTCCTGGCTCTTGAGACTGGTCTTGACCTGCAAAAATACAAGTTTTCTTGCAAACTCTCATTGATCTTCACTTATAGTTCTTACCTGTAAAGTCACTATTCTGAGATGTTGCACTCATTGCAGATTCAATGGAATCTTGTGAATCATCTTTGCTCTCACTATCATTTCCATCAAAGTTGCCTGGATGTGGATTGTAATATTCTGTTAGATTGGTGCAAACATTGTTGTTGGGCAGGATTTGATGCTTGGAAACCCCATTACTGTCATTGTATGCAGTTGTTGAATAAGCCAGGTGACTCTCACCATCGCAAACACTCTGCTCAGCCATTGTCAAATAAAATGAGGGTGTTTTTATGAAGGATATTATTAAGTAGGAAGCAACATTTTTGCTGTTGTGCACACTTGATGAAAGTTTTCAGTGTCGATGGGAATTCCTATAAAAGAATATATTTAGTGACATTTGCTGTGAAAGGAGACAGAGATCAAAGTGAAAGTAAACAGTCTGTTTTCGCGACAGTCGCGTTTGAATTTGGGCGGCAAGAAATCCATATGTAGTTCAATGGTAAACAATTAAAATTGACATTCATAAATATATGTGTGTACATATATACAATTTTTCGTTTTCGTTCTTCTTTTTTTTTTCGGCGACTCGGCTTTGTTTGAAATTTTTGGATTGGAGACGCGACACGGGGGCTGCGGTAGTTTGGGGCGTAGACTCGATGTTGAACGTTCAGTGCGAACGAGTTTAATTCAACAAAATCGTTATCGGTTATCAAAACGGACCACTGGGCCGCCGTCTAGTATACAGTTGTTCCGTCCTGCTGAAAACAAATACTCACTGCAACAGTGCAGACTACATTACGGTCCTTTTCCAATTCGAAGGCGTCCCGGAATCCTCGGTGCGCCGCACAAAAATAGGAACCCAAATCACTATTTACACCGAAAATTGTCTATGTCTCTCCGCACTCAGTATTTAGTGTTGTTGACCTTGTTAGTTACCCAAGATGCTGTCCTTTTTTTATTTTTTCCATGGCAGGTGGCGTTGCGCATCTACCACAATTCCTGAGAACACCATGCGACATCTACACCGTCCGTTCGAATAATCAATACGAGAACACATTTTAAATAATTCAGATATTATTGAAGCGACATCGTCTGATACTTCAAAATTCAACAAATGTACTCTGCAGCAGCAGATTCTAACAATAAACACATCTTTAAACAAATTCAATTATGCAACCAAACTGCCGAAAGATTTTGAATTTTTTGTAAAAGATGCTGCGTCGGTTGCATATGTCTATATATACAGGGTATGTATCTACTTTAGGATACCAGATCCAACTAGATTCATTAAAGCTATGACACCACCACAGCTAAATAAAGTTTAATTCAATTATTAATATATATTTGAACAATTGTTATTTTATTATTTTTATTTATTATATTCCGCATTTAAATTATGTTTAGATGTGGAAAAAACAGAGGAATAATCTTGAATATACAATTATAATAATAAACAAAAATCAAATACATATGGTGAATGATCAACGAGTCTTTTTGCACAAAATATATAAAATAGTATTGATAAAATTAACTTTTTGAGTTGAGCATCGATTAAATATGATTTTTATAAGAAAATGGATATATTTATTCTGAGGGTCCCACCTTTTGAACACACCTAATGGGACATTATTATAATTTTCTAGAAATGTCCAGGAAAAGGATGAATTTTATAGGGTAGTAGAAAATGTTTATGTTGAATTCATACCATCCGATGTTGATTCAGTTGACAAAGTTGGGTTTAGAAATTTAGGAATTTCTAGCCTCTTCTTCAAAGGGTTAAAAAAAGATATGTATAGGATGACAATGGAAAAAGCCACAATATAAATATAATTGTATTAAAAGCCAAATCAGTAGACTCATCATTCAGAATCTGATATATTCAAACATTAATAAAATATGTTTTACATAGAATAATTTTATCTCACAATAATTGTGAAATATTAGTAATATCTCACATAGTGTACTTAATTTAAATAAAAATTGTAGAAAACAATTAAAAATCAGAAATAAAATCTATTCATTTTAATGTACACTATAAATGTATTAAATTTCTTTACCGGGTGCGGCAGAAATAACGACCACATTTCAAAAGGGGTATAGATAAAAAATGGTACGAAGTATCATCAATTTTTGTAAAATTTCCAAATGAACATATAACTATGTTTTTTACTTTAAGTTTTAATAATTATATTAACATATAAAGGAAATATTTCTGCCACACCATGTTTATGAGATTCATACAATTTTGACGATAATGGGGAACAGAACTCCGCCATAAGTCGAGACGTAATACTAATTAATGTATTAATCCAGCAATGGGATTATGAGGATCAACAATTATTGCTATTGTTTGTATAAGAATGTGAAAGAGCTGCAAACTTAGCTTATAATCCGTCTCTCTAGGATTTAAAAACCCTAGATGTTTCCGCCTTTTATACATATTAATTTAAAGTCACCAGATGCATAACAAAGAAGCGAAATGGTCTTTGGACACATTATTATACTTTCGTTTTGATGTCTTCTCTTCGAACAAATTAATGCACGACGGCATCTTATCCCTTAGCTAATATTAAAAACGTGTGATATAATCATCTTCTTCAATAATATTATAGCTCAATGAAACTATTATACAAAAATAAGATTATCATTCCATTCATTTTTAATTAATTCATTTCTATTATAATTATTGATTACACATACTATAAATTATAATTTCATAAAGCGTGAATTATCATTTTGAAAAATGATAATTCGTAATGAATTTTATAGTTTTATATATTTAATTTCTGTTCAATTAAATATTTATTACTTTAAAAATGGATTTTTTTTGTGGCACTCTTTGAATTTTATATTGTTTAGTATACCAACAGGTTTAAGATAGTAATTTTTATTAAAATTGGAAAGGATATTTATTGTATACTCAATAAACATGATGTATTTGCTTGATTTTTTATTTGTAAATATTTATGTAATTGTGTTATTGTTACATTAAATATTGTTATTAATAATAGTTTTATTTTAATGTGATTTGCTTTGCTTTATGTTAAATATCAAAAATGCAATATCACAATTCACCATGATTGATGTATCTTATATTTATTGATATATAATATGGGGTTGTATTGTTTGTAATATATATACTCTAAAATTAGTTCACAGTATATTAGATATCGTAAAATGAATACAAATATTTGTTTAGTTAATATTTTCAACTTTGCTAATCAGGAATATTAGGTTTACTTAGATATTAAATTTGATTATATTCTGTGGGTGCAAACTATCATCTTATAAAGAACACCAATAAATCAATTTTCTTACGATTAACTGAGTACAAAATATAATTAATGAAATAATGTACAGTAGTTATGACCAACAAATGAAAATAAGTATTATTAATTGAATATTTGTGAATAGTTAACAATAAGTTAAATATGATAGAATGCAATAAAAAAAAATTAGTATTGTTTGCAGTAATTTCAAGTGGTTATTGCGAACAATAAATGGAATGGATGAAAGTAAATGAAATGAGAGTACGAATGTTTTGGTTTTATTTCGAAAAGCATTTTCAAATGATTAATAATAATAAATTAACAAATAAATAGATTGACAACGTCTGACTTATACAAACAATTATATTCGAAACGAATTTAAACACTAATTACAACATTAACAAGATTATTGTTCCATTACCAAATATTTAATTACGATTGTTCAGAATTTTATTATCGTTACAAATATCATCGAGACATATTACAAAATGATGAGCTTCATTCTCATTAGAAATTACGGGGTTACATTCAATTTGCAGGAATAGAATAGTGGGATTTGTTTGGATTATGTTTAAGAAATAAAGCAGCACAAACGGCCCCAGACGACAACCGAATTGTTGCAGCCTCGTGATATATAGATATCCGTGATATTTGGTAGATAGAGATCAACCAAAAGATTGAGACTGATGGTGGAAGAGACGATGAAGATTATATTATCATATTGCATGTGAATTGTGTGTTCGCATAAGTGACTTGTACAAATTGATCACGAACTTGTTTATTAAAATAATAATTGGATATTAAATATTTATTTATAAAGCATAACGATAGTCCGCAACGTCAAATCGTAAATTGCTGTTAGTTAATATAATTTAAAAAAACGAGTTTGCTTAAAGTTTTTTTTGATTGAGTTGGTGCGATTTTGATATTTACGTTCTGACGTTGCGACAATAAAGATATATTATAGTTTTCTTTTTAAGTAAGTAACATGAAATATTTAGTTTTGTTTTTAAAATCTGCGGAAATCCAACAACAAGCTAATAATTTATTTAATGTAGATCACAGGATGGGGTGTGGTAAATTCTGGTGGTGGTGGGTAAAATTCCGATGTAGTTTTCATTAAAAAAATCCCGCTGATTTTAGTTGCGTTGAGCCTTTTCTTCTTCGGGCAGGGGCCGATATGTACAGAGCGTTTCACTAGTTCCTTTCCATTCTAACTATCTTGTATGCCAGCTATTATTAGATAATAACCTTTTTTTGGCACAATTTGTTCGGCATTCGATTCAAGTTTGATCCGGTTCGGGGTCTTGGAGTAAATTCACGGTGCGCACTCGGACTCCGGCCGTGGTCAGTTTGTTCACGCATTCGGGCTCCACGTCTGGCATGATGATGCACATGAACGTTTTGCCTGTGGATGAATCGCGAGGATAAACGGTGACCGGAGCGAATTTGCAAGTGCCGTCCACGTAGTTGCAGAGCTGCTGATATATCTTCGGATAGTGCTTCTTCAATGAGACGCCTCTCTGTCGGAGATGTTTTTCGATGTTGTTGAAGCTTATCTCGCGTAAGCCTTGCTGCGGTTCTTTGATTGGCGGTGAGGTGAGGATCAGAGTCTCGGGATTGTCGACTGGATTGTCCGGGATGTGAATGTTCTTGCTGAGCCGCATTTTACCACATCTGGAAACCAATTGCCGTTCCCATTTCACGGCGCCAGCTGCCGGAGCCTCGGATATCACGCATACCGAGACGTACAGCACCAGCTTTGCGTCTGGATTGTAGTTCTTGCACATCTTGACCAGCTCGGCGTACAGCTGCGGACCCATCTCCGATGGTAACAGATCCTGCCAACGTACGTACGTCGGGTCTCCAAGACTTTGTAAACCCTCGAGCAAAAATTTATCAGCAGACTCTGGACAGGGGAAGAAAATCTTCACAGCCCCGGGGCCGTGGGACAGGAATCCTCTGCGAGCGATCACGGAGAGGCTCTGCAAAGTGTCGTCCTGTTCTTTGGCTGCGGCTATGACCTGACGACAAAGTGTGCCAACGCGTGAGAATAAGCACGTCTTCCTGTGTTTCTCCCAGTGCGATCTTCTGCACGTCCTGCTGCAGTATGTGTATGAACAGTTGTGGCAATTTTTGTAGGCCTGCCCTTCGTTGCTTTTGGCCACCGCGGTCCGTCCGCATCGGCCGTACTTGCATCGCAAAACAGGTGAGGAATGGAAACTGGATCGTCGTCCTGTAGATGAAGGAGGTTGGCTTGTCGGCTCGCTGCCCTCGCTTCGACGCCGGAATTGTTCACCCTGTCTTCTAACCGGGCTTGTACTAGCTGACGCCGTCTCTGTAACAGTCCAACCCGTCAACAACCTCAAGAAGTCACTCACTACAACGGTAATGATCAACGACAACAATCAACGAAAACAACGACTACATTGGAAGGACATGAATATACAAGCAGCTTAAGGTGATTAAGACACGACTACGCTTTTCCCATCCCATTTACAGTCAACACTTTAAATACCACATGCACATTTACAGTTAGTACAAGTTTTATCAATAGTTGACAATGTTTGTATTTGTATTTTTACGTTAAATCGAAAGCAAAATTTTATTTTTGGTCTGCTTTATTTATTTTTGAACATTTTGTGAATAATAAAAATAAAATTGTTAAAAGTTCTGATTTTTTTTGCAAATAATAATCTGGATTATGGTAATTATGCGTTTATTATTTAAGAAGGCAATCAATCCATTATTATACTATATTTTCCGAATATTTTTAAGATAAACATAGAAAAGTATCAACAAATATTTTAATAATATCCTAGTCATTTGAAATGTTTGTATAACTATAAATGATATTATTATAAAACCTTACCTTCATGAGATTATTGAACTTTGTAGATATAAATAACTGTATTTGCATCAGTAAAATCAATTACAAAATTCATTTCGTCTAATCATCAGATGGTAATAATTAAATTCAGTTTAACAAATTTAGATTTTCGTATTTCACATGTCCAGGAAAATGATAAAACGTAATGAATGCGTTGGTGGCAAAGATAATAAAAACGAGATTTATGCGTACGTGCTAAGAGTTCTCAAGTGTTGGCGCCTATAAAAGCGAGAGCTCTTGCTTCCAGATGAATCTCAGAGGGACTTTCGATCGTAAAATAGTAGTGGGAAGCGTTTTGCGTGGTCTTTAATCAGCTCAGCTTCTGCTCTCGCGCGTTTTTGTGTCTGTTTTAGTATATATATATATGTGCGTGTGTGTTCTTTTCTTCATAATTAATTGAGCAAAGCGGATAGAGCAGCCACGATGATATTGATGGGCAGTGGTGCTACAGCTGATGTGGTTGGTGTTTGGTAGCCTTCTGCGGTCGGTCTTTGGTAATCGATTGCCTTTGGGAACTTGAGAGTGCCAGAACTAGTTCATACGAGAGAGCACAGAGCGGTGAATGGAAATTCGGCGTCATTGTTTCATTTATTCAAATGTTTGATACAGATATATATCATGTATTTGTTAATTAGTAGGACAACAACAAAGAGAGAGCGATAGGTACAGAACATGAACTCTGCGCTTAATTACATGATGTAACACTAAACTACAAAACCTAGTGTCGTATATGTTAGCTACATAGTGTATTCTATATAATGCCTAGTCATTCTCGTGGAATTTTGAATTCTATAAACAAAATTAATAATCCCATCTAAATTATTTAGTCGTTATATAAAATTTCGAATATTAGGTATAAATAATATCTTAGGATTTACTTGGTCATTTGCTGTTTTACGTTTCATGTTTTATTTAATTACTGGATAATCAAACATAGAATTAGCTAACAAGCATAATAATGATACAACTACGGTCTTTACACTATGCCTAATTGTTAGTCATTTTCCAGAATGTCTAAGTATTATGTAGAATACTAAGTTATACAATTAGCAGTTAACATTTAAATAAAAATAAAGAAAGTAGTATTATAGAAATATTGTAAATGCTTGCCTTCTCATACGGTTTCCGTAAAAATTACTTTAAGCGCATGCACGTCCGCGCGTTTTTTCGGTAGGCTGCTGAAAGTCATACCGCAGTGTATTCTTATCTTGCTGAAGATAATAATTAAGATACTTGGTGCATGGTTAATAAACTTTTAAGTAAGTATTCAACGCACACGCTGCTTTAGTGAGCACTCTTCAATAACAGAAAAACTATGGCGATCCAACAGATTAAGATTAAATCCACTCCACACAACACATCAAATCGTTATTTATCTTCGTTCTGCTTGTTTTCTAATTTGAATAAAACCTGCGAAATGAAACTTACATATGTCTCCTACCTTGGAGACTGGGGCTCGGGGCTCGAGTCGATGAGGGAAGTCCTAACAGCGAATCCAGAACGTCCTCCAGCGTTGTCGAGGAAGGCGACGGCTTCCTGCTGCCCCCGGTACTCAACAAGCTCACATCTACACAGAAATTTGCTCAAGTAACGATCACTTCGCTCAGGACCAATGGGTGTGTGCATTAATTGCTGCAGGTCCTTGAGAATTTCGTTTTCCGTGCACGGAAAGGAATCAATCGTGAGAAAAGCATTTTTTTTTCTACGAGGTATCCGCTCAAACGCTTCGTTTGCTTTTACAGATATCCATGCCCGAGCACAATCGACCACAATTAGGCAAGGACCGATAGTAATTAATGCATGGACAAGCGAAATTTGTCCGATAATCAGCCAATTAATGTCACTAAGTCTAAATTATACATGGTTCACAAGCATCATTCTCATAGCAGCCTACGTTAATTCTATACGACATAAAATATTTGACAATACAATTAGAACAATTAAAGTTCATACCAAATTTCACTACTTTCAATGTAAACGAACTAAAAGCCTTCATTATATAAAAATATTGTGTATCTTTCCCAGGACACTTATATTTAACATTATATTAAATACATGTCTTTTGTTATTAGATTCGTTTAATTGATTTCAATGAAATTTTATTATATAAATATAGGCAAATTTTATTATTTTGAAAATAAATAAAAATAATTTGTGTCTTTTTCACTTCTGTCTATTTGTTTTTAAAAGCAATATAATGCATTTATTGACGAACGACCTTTATGCTATGTGTTTACGTTGCAAGCTGTGGGAAGCGGATATTACCACAATATTGTTATGCAATATCGGACAAGGTTGGACAGTTATCCTTCCAAGATACCTAGTGAAAGAGTTAAGTAGATTTAATAATCCAAGAAAAAAATCAAATTGTCAAATAGATTAGTCCAACAAAAAGGAAGTTCTATTAGTAAAACGACAAATTACTCAAAACCATTACGAAATACATTCGATTCAGACTAATTATGTTATATATTATATTTCCTGAGAACCGATAAATCAATTATAATTAATTATATTTTAGTTGAAAATCGAGTGTTTTTAATATTATAATATCAATCATGCGAGAAAAAAAAATACGAGCATAAAATAAAAATAACTTACCACAAACACACATATAACAATAATTCATTTAAGGTACTTATTTCCCCCCCAAAAGAATATAAAAAAATAAAAGCAATAGAGAAAAAAAAGTGGTAAAGATTATACCAAAACAAAAATGTAAAAATAAAATAATTTATTCCTAGAAAATATCATATCCACATATAGAAATTATGTATATCAGATGCGGTTCTCGTTCGTATTTTTCGAAAAAGAAAACAAAAAATATATTCTGTACATGCACATGTGTAGAACGTATATATTATATATTATACATTATACATATATAATATCATTACGATCTTATTATAAAATATTTATTTGATAAATAAAATAAAAACAATATACAAATAATAAAAATTAAAGCTAGCGTAAAACGAAACAAAAGAAAATATAATTACGAAATAAAAACCAATAACAAAAACTCGTATATAATTTTTAACTATATTCTGGTCTGACTAAAATGTAATATATATATTATTATTGTTCCAAGATAAATAATGCAAATAGTTCAAGATATAAATACGATACAGATAGAAAATACACAAAAAAATAATAATATATAGTGTTTTCTTTTATAAACTAATTACTAAATAACTAATTAAAAAAAGCGCATATATTAATTCGCTCGGCTCCGTCGTTTCACTTCTTTCTTTTTAAATATATTATGATTAAAGCCCTATTTACATACATCTACAAAAGAAAGAGAAAAATAAAAATTAAAACAAAAGAACAATGTAAAGGAATCGAAAGTGATGCGATGTAGCAGTATTTCCTCATCATAACCGTCACAATTTACGACAATGGGTAAACCGTGAGGTGATTTAGCACTGATTCAAAGATACAATTTGGCTGAGAATTATTTTAAGAATTGCGATATCATTGAAAGTGTTTTGTGTATGTGAGAGAGATATATAGATAGAGAGCATAACTAGAGGCGGCTTTTGCTTTAGATATGATGTTTTTTTTAATTTTCTTAAGCGTGAAGTGACTCACCGTTGTGCTGGAGGTCGAGTCTAAGGGTAGTTGGGGGCATCGGTGGGCTTTCTGTTAGGGTAATTGGAGTTTGGGGTGAGTCCAATGGTCTGGTGCCTACGAAGGAGCTCTCGACCCAGCAGAGCTTCTGGCTTCCTCGCGGACTGACGGATCTGCTCCTCTGGCTGGCCGTCTCCTGGCTGTCATAGCTATGCTCTCGTCCATCTTCCGGTCTTAATCCGCTCACGTAGTGAACGATCGCAGAGGTGACTTCCTTGATGGAACTTTGGATCTCTTGGTTTTCCTGCGTCGGCTGCTGCGATAGTATGGAGTTGGCCAGACGTTCGGCCGGAGTGCGCGGGGTCCTGGTGAGCCGCTCCTGCGACCTCCAACCTAAATACGGTTGCCTGTACGAAAAGCTGCTCCTCAGAGATGAGGGCGAGATGGATCCGTTAGGTTGACGAGCGTTGAAACTGCTGCGCGTGGAGGCGCACGGCGATGATGCTGTGGAGTTTAACTTGGATGTAGACCACCGGACGAAGGGCTGAGTGTGAAGTGCCGTAGGACTGAGTGCGACCGGGGACTGACTAGTCGAGCCTAAACTGTTAAGCGAGGTGGTCTTACTACCTCCTGTTCCCTGCCAGCGCGACTCCCTTGCGGACTGCGTCTTTTTGTTCAGCAGGAAACCTTCCCTAGGCACTTGCCCCTGCTTATACCAATCGGGCACGTTGAGCTTCTGCAGGGATCGCTGCACCCTCAGCTGCTGCTCAGACATGACCCGCTCGCCGCCCTTCTGAAGTTCGTTCTCCGGAGGCTGCAACAACAACGAAAATTAGAATAACAAACATCGAACCACCAAACAACAACTTAAACAACACACACCGTTTGTGTCATACTCGTATTACTTCAACCGCCCGAAATGACACAAGTATCATCTAATGCCACATACTCAACTTGGAACGTATTAATAGATCCTCACAGTTCCCAACAGCTATATCTTATCAATACAAGATAAAAGGTGCAAACATCCTAATGCTTTAAAAACAGAAACACCTTAATAAAATAAACCATCCATAACTTATCGTCCGGTAAAGCGCGCGCTCGACCCTGACTCCAAAGAACAATCAGTATAAATTACGTCCATCCGTACAACAATTTATTCGGAAAAGTCATTGTTCCGCAACGAATGAACGAATAAATAAAAGCACGCGGATTGCGTAACGCGCACAGTAGATGCGTTTCTCTCTCCAGTACTTGGCGATTATTTTTAGCGCGCCAGAAATGCCCTTGTCCGCTTGCCAACAGCGAAAGGAATAAAACAAAAAAAAAGAGGAGGAGGGTTAAACATTTGCATACTGCATTCTGCCACTCATCCTCAACGATTTCCTGGTTTCTATTCCCAATCCGCCATTCAAATGTCGCGGGTCGCTATTTTCGAACGCACGCCAATTAAGCTGCGATGCACTGGAAACAAGCATTCGCAGAAGACCAAAAAAAAAATGACATGATTGCAGTGCTCTCTTGCAATTTGGTTACTTATACAGGGTGATTCTATAAGCTTCAAAAGTACCATTCAAAGTAAGTAGTTTTATTCAACCCTTATATTTTTTTTGAATCATTGTTAATTGTTTATTAAATAATAAATATTACAAGTTCAAATAATACTAGTTTGTTGATATTTCTTACGGAAAGAGAAAAATTTATATTATCACTAAATATTCGCAAATAACATAAAAGTTATACAATAAAGATTATTTTACAGCATTCATAGAAAATTCTTTGTTTCAATGGATGGATTTATATGAACATTTTATTGTTGTAGGTTTCAAAGGTCTGCGCCTACAATGCATTAGGACTTCCATTCTCATTGACCTACATCTGGATCTGCGACCAACCACTCAGATTGCAATATTATTTCCACAATAGACTTCTTCTCGAGGGAATATCTCAAAATCTTTTTGTTTACACTAGAGCTTTTAAAGAAAATACATGTGGTCATGTAAATGCTTGTCATTTCAACTAGAAAATCGGTTATCATGCTACTAAAATTACAAGTAAGGCTTTACACAATTTTAGATATAATTTTGTTTATGATATTTAACGTGTAACTTGTCAAGTAATTTATAGCAGCGTTTTTCATCGTATAAGTTAAATCTTGAATGAAATAATAGCTGTCACCTTACGTCAAATTGTCATTTTATGTTTCAATCAACTACAAACTAAAATGTTAAGAAACGCTATATTAAAGCATCCAAGGGAATAGAAGTATTTATAACTACGTCAAGTTTAAACTGAAGTTTAGTTGATAATTTACTTCATGTTTATAGGTTAATACTTGATTTAAAAAAAATATAATAGAGGCCATTTGGTAAGGTAAAAAGTGTGATAAAAAGTTAACAAATGAATACCATGTACGTGTCAGGATTAAATATTTGAATTTGTTCTCATTGTTTTCCCAGAGCGAATGGCGTTTTAGAATTGCAGAAGATGCAAGGAATTACGAGACAAAGAGCGATTGTCGTGACTTCACGCAAGAAGAATGTTATAGGAAATTCAAATTTTAATTAAAGAAAAAGTTGTACAATGATGGCATACGATATAAAAATAAATGTTACAGAATTCAATTTAATTATGTTCAAACACGTCGCACATATACACACACCTCTTACGTAATCATCATATTCTCTTAACATTTAAATTGGAAAACCGATCATCGTCGTCGTCGTCCGCGGTGCATTTTAACGAGAAAACTGATTAGACGGCAACCGGCTCCATTATATAACCCATTAAGAATCATCCTTATTCGGATGCGAAATTAATTACATCGACGTAAATGCTTTTCGAAAATATTAAAAGGAAAACAATACTCAACTCTGTTATTAAAAGAACCATGAAATATTCCACTCAATCTATAAGTGTTTTCATCTTTTTTCTGCCGACCGGAAAATATATATTAAAATAGTTTTCGAACATCATTTCTAGAACATTTACAACATACCGAAGTATAAGTTTTTAATAAAGCCTATTCCATTCTCCACTCAATCATACTTAGTTTAAAAACTGTCGAGTACAATAGAAAACTTTCGTGTACTTATCGATTGTCGCCGTAATACCTAGGAGAGTATGTCCCACGTTTCTCCAACAAAAGCTACTTTAATCACGCTATTCTCTTAGAATTTACATTTTTAATTAATTCACGAAGCGAAGGTTGCTTTCGCCTTGCTAATTAAACTATGTGTATACATCGAGTCTTTAGGACTTCCATCACTATACACAATATTTATACTGTTTAGGTTTTATCTCGTTATCTATTAGATGCTTATCTAAGGAATGATAAATAAAACGTTTTCAATTTAGTAATTAAGTAAATATTGGATCTCGCTTTGGTAAACATAATTATTTTTAATTACATCATACGGAATGGGTTAAAATAACTTTTTTTTAAGGACAAGACAAATTATAAAGTATTTGCACTTACTTAATTTTTTGAAACATAATTGCATGATTGATAGTTAGCAATTAGTAATATTTTGGTGGATGATCCACTTTTTTTTACCAACTTGAGAAAAATACAATTGCACCAATAGAAATAGTAACTAAAGTTAAAAATTTAAAAAAATAACGAAAAACTTCATTGTCCATGTTATATGGAGTAAAAATCGTAAAACCAATAAATATTACGTTTAGCAATCAAATATTAAAAATAATAACGAATAAAAGTATATATAAGTGTTGTCGTAACTGCAATGGAATGCGACTTTCGATGGTAATTAATTGTCATAACATTGAGAATAATAAATCGAAAAAAAAAATTATAAAACGAAAGTTACGATTTAGTTAATTGCAACATTTTGCAATATGCAAATGACACAAATTTAGTTCAAAAGTGAAATAAAATGCCCAAAGTAAAGAACAGTAAAAAAAACGCAAGACTTCTTCTATACAATCGACGTTACGTAAGATCCTGATGCTTATTGATTCAAACTGTGAAAACTGAAGCCCATGTGGCATCGTGTTTTCTTGTTTACTAATTCCATTCGAATTGACACAATAACCTTCATATTCGCAACGCTGTTTATCCAATGTTTAAACAATTTATATAATAATTAAATTTTTGAATAACTCATTACTGTTGGGTAAATATACTGAAGTTTTCGAAACGTGGACATCTGAAATTACGGTCGTATATCACGGGGACGTCAAAACATCTCGAGATATATGTGTGTGTATCACATCTAAAAATACGGCGAATACACTTATCGCGCGTCAAAACATAGAAATCAAACTGCTTTGATTACATTTGCGCAAACTTCTTTTGCATAAACGATTTATAATTTCATTTATTTAGTCTTTAAGTTATACAATTTACTAACTTTGATGTTAAGTTAAAAACATATTATTTCATTGAATGTAAGTTTATGAAAAATTCAGTGATCGAATGGATTACAGAATAATTGTAGCTGAAATATACACAATTGACTCAGACGCCATCTAGTGAGCAGACAGTAACTTAGTTTTATGAATTTTATGTCTTTATATATTTAGTAGATTTCAATAATAAGAAAGTAATCGTTCTTTGAAATGCAGAAATAGAGTTTAACCATTTCCTTTGGATTTATTTGCTACTGAAAATACATCGCTTTATGAGCTATAATTCTTTTTAAATATGACCTTATTTCCGTATATTATAGATAACGTTGTTGCTATGAAACGCGTACGTATGGTTATCCTCCAATATTGCATGTAAATATAATTAGAGGCAGGTAATATAATCGGAACAATGTTACCAACACATACCAGATCAGTTATTGGCATCCAACCATCCGCTCTATCCAGGAGCGATTAATCAACGCGCTTCCCGGATTCCATGAAAATACTATCCACCTACTATTCTCGTACATCCGAGAAAATAAAGCAAAAAAAAACTTACTAAGATATTAAACATTGCACAACGGACAATCTGTAAATATTTAGCAGATTAATGGAGCGCTAGGGGATTGCCCTATTAAAAAAAGTTAAGTTTATTAATGCCTAATTCCATCACTTCTTCGTTCCCAACCGCAGAACACGCAACTTCGTGCATTCCTAATCCAATTTTCCGAAATTTCATAGCTCTTCCATCTAAATATATATATTTCGATGGGGATTTCCCAACCGCCGTTCGGATAGGATTTCGCCCACGAATTCAGGCCAAAAACAGTCGTCCGGATGCGCATTGCAGTCTCCCCTGTGCGGCAAATCATGCAGCGAATAAACTTTTACACCTGTTACGAGTATATTTAGTGTTATGTCACTCTCAGCACTCTTCGGCAACAAAGAAAACGTAAACAAAAGCGGATTTCGTTTATTTTGAGGAACGCATTTCGAATCAATAAAAACAAGCATATGGGGGAGAAGAAACACAAACACATCTTCTAAATCAAACCAGATGGAGAGGAAGCTACAGAGACCCAATCGTTTTTGGGAGAGTCTTGAATAATATTCTTTGTCTCGCGTTTGAGGGGGGGTTATTGTGATTGATTTGGAAGGGAAGCTCAGCACAATCTCTCTCTTACCTGAAGCGAAACACTACAACACTAGATTGATTGCTGACCGAGAACCGGATGCTGAGACGTTAAATGAAGTACTGTGTACGAATCGAGAAATAAAAGATGAGAGAAAGAGAGAATATATATACATTTACAGACACACACAGAAGAATGAAGGACCATGACAGAAGAAGGAACGTTCATTACTGTTGTTTCAATTCAGTCGCGTGACATAATTTCATTCCTGATAATCGATAAAAACCCTAATTGCCCTTTATTTAATTCA